TGTAGGATTCACAGTCTGTACATCTCTTGGAGTAGCCACTCTAAAGCATAAGTATTATACAGGCTCTGATAAATCATATTTGCATTGAACATTGTAGGATTCACAGCCTGTACATCTCTTGGAGTAGCCACCATAAATCATAAGTATTATACAGGCTCTGATGAATCATATTTGCATTGAACATTGTAGGATTCACAGCCTGCACATCTCTTGGAGTAGCCACTCTAAAGCATAAGTATTATACAGGCTCTGATGAATCATATTTGCATTGAACATTGTAGGATTCACAGTCTGTACATCTCTTGGAGTAGCCACCATAAATCATAAGTATTATACAGGCTCTGATGAATCATATTTGCATTGAACATTGTAGGATTCACAGCCTGCACATCTCTTGGAGTAGCCACTCTAAAGCATAAGTATTATACAGGCTCTGATAAATCATATTTGCATTGAACATTGTAGGATTCACAGTCTGTACATCTCTTGGAGTAGCCACCATAAATCATAAGTATTATACAGGCTCTGATAAATCATATTTGCATTGAACATTGTAGGATTCACAGTCTGTACATCTCTTGAAGTAGCCACCCTAACGCATAAGTATTATACAGGCTCTGATAAATCATATTTGCATTGAACATTGTAGGATTCACAGCCTGTACATCTCTTGGAGTAGCCACTCTAAAGCATAAGTATTATACAGGCTCTGATAAATCATATTTGCATTGAACATTGTAGGATTCACAGTCTGTACATCTCTTGGAGTAGCCACCATAAATCATAAGTATTATACAGGCTCTGATGAATCATATTTGCATTGAACATTGTAGGATTCACAGTCTGTACATCTCTTGGAGTAGCCACCATAAATCATAAGTATTATACAGGCTCTGATAAATCATATTTGCATTGAACATTGTAGGATTCACAGTCTGTACATCTCTTGGAGTAGCCACCCTAAAGCATAAGTATTATACAGGCTCTGATAAATCATATTTGCATTGAACATTGTAGGATTCACAGCCTGCACATCTCTTGGAGTAGCCACCATAAATCATAAGTATTATACAGGCTCTGATAAATCATATTTGCATTGAACATTGTAGGATTCACAGCCTGTACATCTCTTGGAGTAGCCACCATAAATCATAAGTATTATACAGGCTCTGATAAATCATATTTGCATTGAACATTGTAGGATTCACAGCCTGTACATCTCTTGGAGTAGCCACCCTAAAGCATAAGTATTATACAGGCTCTGATAAATCATATTTGCATTGAACATTGTAGGATTCACAGTCTGTACATCTCTTGGAGTAGCCACCCTAAAGCATAAGTATTATACAGGCTCTGATGAATCATATTTGCATTGAACATTGTAGGATTCACAGCCTGCACATCTCTTGGAGTAGCCACTCTAAAGCATAAGTATTATACAGGCTCTGATAAATCATATTTGCATCGAACATTGTAGGATTCACAGTCTGTACATCTCTTGAAGTAGCCACCCTAAAGCATAAGTATTATACAGGCTCTGATAAATCATATTTGCATTGAACATTGTAGGATTCACAGTCTGTACATCTCTTGGAGTAGCCACCCTAAAGCATAAGTATTATACAGGCTCTGATAAATCATATTTGCATTGAACATTGTAGGATTCACAGCCTGTACATCTCTTGGAGTAGCCACTCTAAAGCATAAGTATTATACAGGCTCTGATAAATCATATTTGCATTGAACATTGTAGGATTCACAGCCTGTACATCTCTTGGAGTAGCCACCCTAAAGCATAAGTATTATACAGGCTCTGATGAATCATATTTGCATTGAACATTGTAGGATTCACAGTCTGTACATCTCTTGGAGTAGCCACCCTAAAGCATAAGTATTATACAGGCTCTGATAAATCATATTTGCATTGAACATTGTAGGATTCACAGCCTGTACATCTCTTGGAGTAGCCACTCTAAAGCATAAGTATTATACAGGCTCTGATAAATCATATTTGCATTGAACATTGTAGGATTCACAGCCTGTACATCTCTTGGAGTAGCCACCCTAAAGCATAAGTATTATACAGGCTCTGATGAATCATATTTGCATTGAACATTGTAGGATTCACAGTCTGTACATCTCTTGGAGTAGCCACCATAAAGCATAAGTATTATACAGGCTCTGATGAATCATATTTGCATTGAACATTGTAGGATTCACAGTCTGTACATCTCTTGGAGTAGCCACCATAAATCATAAGTATTATACAGGCTCTGATAAATCATATTTGCATTGAACATTGTAGGATTCACAGTCTGTACATCTCTTGGAGTAGCCACCCTAAAGCATAAGTATTATACAGGCTCTGATAAATCATATTTGCATTGAACATTGTAGGATTCACAGTCTGTACATCTCTTGGAGTAGCCACTCTAAAGCATAAGTATTATACAGGCTCTGATGAATCATATTTGCATTGAACATTGTAGGATTCACAGTCTGTACATCTCTTGGAGTAGCCACTCTAAAGCATAAGTATTATACAGGCTCTGATAAATCATATTTGCATTGAACATTGTAGGATTCACAGCCTGTACATCTCTTGGAGTAGCCACCCTAAAGCATAAGTATTATACAGGCTCTGATGAATCATATTTGCATTGAACATTGTAGGATTCACAGTCTGTACATCTCTTGGAGTAGCCACCATAAAGCATAAGTATTATACAGGCTCTGATGAATCATATTTGCATTGAACATTGTAGGATTCACAGTCTGTACATCTCTTGGAGTAGCCACCATAAATCATAAGTATTATACAGGCTCTGATGAATCATATTTGCATTGAACATTGTAGGATTCACAGCCTGTACATCTCTTGGAGTAGCCACCATAAATCATAAGTATTATACAGGCTCTGATAAATCATATTTGCATTGAACATTGTAGGATTCACAGTCTGTACATCTCTTGGAGTAGCCACTCTAAAGCATAAGTATTATACAGGCTCTGATGAATCATATTTGCATTGAACATTGTAGGATTCACAGTCTGTACATCTCTTGGAGTAGCCACCATAAATCATAAGTATTATACAGGCTCTGATGAATCATATTTGCATTGAACATTGTAGGATTCACAGCCTGTACATCTCTTGGAGTAGCCACCATAAATCATAAGTATTATACAGGCTCTGATGAATCATATTTGCATTGAACATTGTAGGATTCACAGCCTGTACATCTCTTGGAGTAGCCACCCTAAAGCATAAGTATTATACAGGCTCTGATAAATCATATTTGCATTGAACATTGTAGGATTCACAGTCTGTACATCTCTTGGAGTAGCCACCATAAATCATAAGTATTATACAGGCTCTGATAAATCATATTTGCATTGAACATTGTAGGATTCACAGCCTGTACATCTCTTGGAGTAGCCACTCTAAAGCATAAGTATTATACAGGCTCTGATGAATCATATTTGCATTGAACATTGTAGGATTCACAGTCTGTACATCTCTTGGAGTAGCCACTCTAAAGCATAAGTATTATACAGGCTCTGATAAATCATATTTGCATTGAACATTGTAGGATTCACAGCCTGCACATCTCTTGGAGTAGCCACCCTAACGCATAAGTATTATACAGGCTCTGATAAATCATATTTGCATTGAACATTGTAGGATTCACAGCCTGTACATCTCTTGGAGTAGCCACCCTAACGCATAAGTATTATACAGGCTCTGATAAATCATATTTGCATTGAAAATTGTAGGATTCACAGTCTGTACATCTCTTGGAGTAGCCACCATAAATCATAAGTATTATACAGGCTCTGATAAATCATATTTGCATTGAACATTGTAGGATTCACAGTCTGTACATCTCTTGGAGTAGCCACCATAAATCATAAGTATTATACAGGCTCTGATAAATCATATTTGCATTGAACATTGTAGGATTCACAGTCTGTACATCTCTTGGAGTAGCCACCCTAAAGCATAAGTATTATACAGGCTCTGATGAATCATATTTGCATTGAACATTGTAGGATTCACAGCCTGCACATCTCTTGGAGTAGCAACCCTAAAGCATAAGTATTATACAGGCTCTGATAAATCATATTTGCATCGAACATTGTAGGATTCAGAATTTAGATTCATGTTTTCATTATTCTTTACTTGACTAAGACCTGTAACACATAACGACCAAAATCAACTGATTAATGTTTTCATTATTCCTTGCTTGACACAAGACCTTTAACATATAACAACAACCAAAATCAACTGATTAATGTTTCCATTATTCCTCGCTTGACAAAAGACCTTTATACATTAACAACCAATATCAACTGAATCACGTTTTCATTATTCCCTCTTGACACAAGACCTTTAACATATAACAACCAAAATCAATATATACATCTGCATCAGTATATTAAAGCAAATGAAGGATAAGACAACTATGAATGGTAGAAAGTCCCAGGTTGGAATAAATAATACAAATAAAGGACTTTTACAGATTGAACATCTTCTTTCTTCATTGTTCTGGAGAAGTTGTGACAGCACTATCTAAAATTGTCATAACTTTTATATCATGCCCATTAAATTCCCATCTGTTTGTATGTTACACAGGGTTCACCTTTGTTTTCCTTCTTCAGGCAATTTAAAAAATCACTTTTTGCTTTAAATACATGTATGACATGTTCAAAGAATATTTGCTGCAATTTTCAGAAATCGGCCGAACGGGTTTCCCATATTTCTCTCCTCATAATCTTCATAGTTTGACTTTTTTCCAACTTTTCTCCGAATCTTTATTAACCATTTAAGTATTTGTAATGATAATATTGCATAAACACATCAAATAAAAGAAAAATTGTCAGGAAGAGTTTTCAATTTTGTACAATTCCCTGTGAAAACCTATCAAGTTCCACTTGACTTTAAATCCACAAATATTTATATGTACATATATATATATAAACATGTACATTACATTTACCTTTCCTTCCAATTCTGTTGGAAATTTTGTGAGAAATTTCACTGTAGTTCCTTCAGAAAAGTCTCTTGAGATGAATATTTTGGTACAGTTTGGAGGAGGTATCCTCCCCATGTCATCTATGTTGTTCCCCTGAAATAAAGTCATACATGCTGATGATTATATCAATTCATGACAAAACATTAAAATATTAAGGTGAAGCTTAAGTTCCAAGATGGCTGAAACCAGGATAAATGTACAGTAAAACCTGTCTAATCCAAACGCCATTGGGACTGGCTAAAAGCGTTCAGATTAGGAGGTGTTCACATTGCAACACGAGGGGAAAGTCTACCCGCTTATATACAACCTACCGCTGAGTAGGACATGCTAATATCGCCAATCTAATGTTTGGTAAACTACATCTCATAGGAAAATGGACAATAAAGGTAATATTGGGCCACTATCAATTCCCTTAGATGGTTAGAATCGTTACTAAGATGTTCTAGCGGAATTGGCCTAGAATTATAGTTGAAATATATTTTTATGTCCAAATTAAGAGATAAGTAAAACGTTTAATGGTTTTCGGTTTCTTTTCTCATTCATATTCGCTTTAATTGATAACCAGCCATACATAAGACATACCTGGGTCAGTAAATGTATGTCATGTGCATAATATATTAAGTGTCAAACTTTTAGGTCAAAATAGCACTTCTGAACAGCTAAATCTTCACATAAACTTTGTGTTAAAAGAGCTGATGTTATTGATGTGATCGATGAGTAATATTTTAAAGATCCGAAATCACTTGAGTAAAATTTGTTGAGATCCGATGATATCGTCGAATTCATGACGTGCTGCTGATGAAATAGTGTTAGGGTTACTTTTGGGAGTTTTCGAACCTTGATTTAATTGCCTTTATTAGAAGGGTTACTCGTTATTAATACTATTTTAACATTTTGACCCAGACCACCCTATGCAGACAGAGCCTGTGGGAAATATTGGGTGCGGCGCAAATGAGCGGAGGGTGCGGAGCTAACGGTCATTTTTGAATTTAAAATTGGGATATTTCTGAAACTAAGCCGTTTTGGGACTTCAAATATACCAAGATATGTGTATTTGACACCAAATATCAATAAAATTGTGAAAATAGTAGTGCAATTCATTTTATAGCGACGCAGTATGCCTTAAACATTTCCCAGACCTATATATTTTGAGACTATCCTTTTAATACTGCGTCCCCAGCATTCATAAAAAATGGTGTTCAAGATACACTACCCATGCAAACTATTTTTGCATCTTGGAAGCCAGGCAGTATCTGTGTGATTTTATAAAAATTCGGAAATGTTCTTCAGATATGAGCCCCTCTAAATATTGGGTGTGGAGCTACGTTTATGGAGCTGCTCCGCACCCAATATTTAGAGGGGGCTCATATCTGAAAAAATTTCCGAATTTTTATAAAATCACACAGATACTGCCTGGCTTCCAAGATGCAAAAATAATTTGTATAGATAGTGCACCTTGAACACCATTTTTTATGAATGCTGGGGACTCAGTATTAAGGTGGGACCTGGTCCGTCAGCCAAAAAAAATCCTCGATAGATTTTCCTGAAAATCGCACAGTGTATGTAAACAAGTGGTGTACATATGCTGTAGAAATTTTAAACAGAAAAAAATAAGTTTAGATACAGTAAGCAAGGTTCAAAGATCGTATTTTTGAGGAGCCTATACTGATTAAATTGTCAAATTTAACATGTAATCCTATGGGAAAACCATACACTTACTTTACCCTCGGGAGATCTCAATCTACAGAAAAACGGCTCGATAGATTTTTTTTAAATTTCAACATTTCTTTATTTAGAATATGATTATGCTTATGTCAGTTTTTTGTAAAAAGATTACAAAAATTGTAGTCAGGGTATTCAGTCAAAGTACCTTGTATTTTGAGAAAATATCAGCATCCAATTCCATCCGTTGGCGGAGAGAACAATTGAATTACGTCATAAATTTCTCACATGAATGATCCGACAAAGATAAAGACGATTCCCAGGACAATGGGGTTTAGCCTTGCTAAATCAAATGTAGTTAGTTGATTTTGAATATAAGTCAAACGGTATGAATTACTACCACTAAAGTTAAGCGTCCCACAGTCTTTGAGAATCAAGGACGTCGTATAGGCCGAGTACAAAGACCGTAAATAACATGCTAAATCAACGGCGGCCGATCGCAAATTAACTAACTATTGATTAAATCACGGTCCGTGATTAAATTATCGCCTCATCTACCTGCTATTTTAAGTATTGATGTAAGTAAAAGGAAACTTTTGTTTTTTTTCATGTGCCGAGATTTAATTACGTATATTATACGTTGTGTCAAATCATATCATTGAATCATATCGTATTTTTTATCTTCAGGTAAGTATTGCCCATTATTATGGACCTTCTTTATTTTGATTTTTCATGATGTGCAAACAGAAGCTCCGCCGATCGCCGATCGCGCACTTTGGCAATTCACTAAGTAAAGGTGATCATCAAACGTTTGTAATCACCGGTTAATATTTAAATCAGAAAGCCTTATTTGTCGAATAAACTGTGCACGTCTGACTTGATTTAGTTAAAATACATTACGATAAGACTCGAGCACTATTGATGTATGTACAAATTAATAAACGTCGGTACGTTGTTCTCGCTTGTTGATGTGTAATATCGTTTTGTCAACTCACGTTTCATCAGCAAGAAGTCGGCACTCGCGTACAACAAAAAGTCAAGCATATCATTTGTGGTATGATCGTCATTATTGAATGACAAAATAAATAGCGCGATCGGGATGTCTGCGGCAACAAGTACGATGGTTGAGTTCACTGAATGAGTACACAAGGTACAATGAAGTGTGTACAAAACATAAAATATCCCATGGAAAACCATATATTACTTTACTCTTCAGCCCGCTTCTCTAAAGAGAGCTTCGTCTAGTTTATAACTAGACTCTGAGTACAGGGAAACAGAAAACGGCTTGATAGTTATTTTAACTTCAACATTTATACGCCATGATGATGCCAGCTTATCTCAGAGTTTTGTAAAAATGAAAATAAAAATCGTAGTCTCAATATCTTGTTTTAAAGTACCTTATACATGTATTGTAAGCTATATTGCATTTCTTTTATTTCCTTCAATATTGGTGATAAGAAATATTTTGCAAAACAAAATTACCATATGGGCGTTAACATCAATTTACATTGATGAATTCTTCTTTTTCAACAACTCTTCTAATTTGATAGAACATCTTTTCATAAACTTTTCCTAAATATTTTGATTCTAGAAAAGTACAGTGGATACGAATACGATGAGGTGGATTGCCGTGCGCGAATGTTTCATGTTTGGTACCTTTACTATAGCCAGACATGATTCTCCACTCTCGTCATTACCAGTTTTTCAGTCGGAATAATGCAGTCGAGCGGACCGAGACATTCTGTTTATATAGCGTTATACGCGCGGCCTTGACAGAACTAACCTACTAACCTAGATATGCGACCTACTAACCCAGAGTGAACTAGCTAATTTGCATAAAGTTTTTGCAGTCTGAATCCACTATTCTCAGTCTAAACTGCCTGTTTAAGAAATTGCATTTATCTGTTTATGGCCCCGCTGTTTATTGACTGATTTCTAAATAAATAATACCATGGTTTAGATAGGAACGATGTCTTCCATGTGGTGCCATTTTTGTGGTGATGAACTGCGAGGAAAACGGAGGAAATCGAGGATAAAGCCGATTGCTTGAATTCCAAGTTTCACTTAAGAAATGCTGCTTTCTGATTGGTCGGATTTCTTGCAGTCCGAATCCACTTTTAGGTTTTCAAACTCGACGCCAGTTTTAGAAATGGCACATACTCGATCTTTTTCTTCTCTATTTCTCTGTCGATTTCTAAAGAATAATGTCATCGTGAAGCTGACCAAACACGTTTCTCGATGGTAGCACTTTTAAAGCGATCCACTAGTGATAGATAGGTGAAATTCGAGCGTGGAGACGTTTCTCGAGAATCAAAGAGTATGCGCTTATAGGACATACTGATAAATCAGGCATTCTGATTGTTCGGCTTTTTTGCAGTCTCAAACGGCACTCTATTGTGAAGGACTCACAGACGCAACTTGCCAGTATGTTTTTCATTTTAATAATAATTCTAAGTACATACCTTCATAACGCCTTCATTAGCGACGATCAGTCGCCGTAAACCTATACAGCATGTCTCAACCCCGGGGACTCAACTGGCGACATATAACACGCCTGGGGACACGCCCCTTCGCACTCATTATTGCACTCTTCCCGACATTGGGCATTGATTGTGTTGCCAATGGGCCAGTTGCACTCGGTTTTAAAAATTCTCGGATGTTAAGATATCTCTTATCAAACATTTTAGCATGACGAATTAACAATTCATATATAAAAAATGTAAAAAAGGCAAAGAAAATATAACTAGACGAAGCTCATACGAAAGCGAAAGTGATAACAACTAGGACGAAAGTCGTGCCAATAAAAAGGATAATCTAAAACGTTTTACAGATAAGAGAATATAGAATTTTACGAAGTAATAAAACGAACAAAAGTCATTTTTGAATTTATTAAACATAAATACAGAGTAATACGTATTTACAAATATAAATAGTGCGACGAGAAACATTTAATTATATTTTGAGCAACATTAGATGTGACGTGTCGGTAACCATGTACACAGTGATCAGGACTCAACTAGTAATCACATCATATTTTTCATATGCTGTTAATATAGAACAAACAAACTATGTGCTTTAGATTAATTAGTTTTACTATGTTTTGAAAGAATTATAACAATATGACTTAGAAAAATTCAATCATTCATCGCCATATACTTCAGGATGCTGCACGTAAATTTGAGCGCCATTGTTTTCCCATGTCATAGAAACCATGACGGTACCAGCGCTCAAATATTTCAAATGCAATACGCTAAATTTCCCAACTGTAAATGCCCGAAGATGCAAATATTTCTTCGTACATGAATATTCAAATACATTTGTATTATTATTACATCATAATTATTCGTATGTATGGGTGTCTTTGAGCTTGAAAAACTACATTAATAATTAAGCAATAGTATCGTGCTGGGTATGCTGACGGACCGGGTCCCACCTTAAAAGGATAATTTCAAAATATATAGGTCTGGGAAAGGTTTAAGGCACACTGCGTCGCTATAGAATGAATTGCGCTACTATTTTCACAATTGTATTGATATTTGGTGTCAAGTACACATATCTTGGTATATTTGAAGTCCCAAAACGGCTTAGTTTCAGAAATATCCCAAATTTAAATTCAAAAATAACCGCGGAATTGCATTTAAATCAATTATAATCCATATTTATGGATAAAAATGAATATGTTTCACGTTCCTAATCTCTACTGGTCAATCTTTTTTCATTTTAGTAGCCATTCTACTGATATCTGATCTTATTCAAATTTGATATATTTGCAGCTATTCATGTAAATCAAGATCAGATCGCAAATTTTAGGTTGGCTTTGTTATATGGATGTTTCTTTAATAGATACAGAGAAACCAACATAATTGTGGTGATTTGAATAGAAGCACGTATTTCATACTTGAGTGGGTTTGGGGTAGATATCACCCAGGAATATATATCATATCTGAGGAGCGGGCAGGATATATTGTATATGTCCCGCTCTAGGCCAAATGCGGGCAGATATCCATCCCGCTCCCGGGAATTTTTTCAAAAGTTTAAAAAAGTTAAAAAATTTTAGAAATTTAAATTTCAGAAGTTTAAAATGTTTCAAAAAGTTTAAATGTTACAATTCTATTGTATTGAACTGAAGGAATATTAAGAAAATGTTAAATATAAATTGTGCTTTTACAGTATAGGCCTATCTTGTCATTTGAAAAAGGTGGTAAAGGTTATATCTACCCCAAACCCACTCAAGTATGAGATACACCAGTTATGTACGGTCGGTTTTGGATACAGTGTTTATCCAAAACCTCCCAGTACATAACCCTTATATATCATATGACACTTTCACAGTCATAATGCAATGATCATTATGATGTAACACTCGCAGGTGAGATTTATGCAATCAATTTATAATCAATAAGCAGAATGTCCATTGTAATTCATAATTTGAAACACCAGGTTAATTAGAAGACCCAGTGTTTACTACATATATAATCTAAGTAATATTTCTTTTATAGTACGTATACTTAGGTAAATATCAATGATATATTAAATCCCAGGGAAGTATTTCATTCCAAAATTGTGGAGAAAATGCCGTTCAATCTTGTGAATTTCCTGTCAATGTTACGAACCAATGAAGTCACCACCGAACTTGCATTCTTGGAAAGTCTAAATCGATCGATGGAACGCTTTTTATTGCATGTCACTTGACGGACATGACGGCAATTGCCGTTATTATCTATTGACATGTGCACTTATGCTTCATAATTTCACGTCAAGTGTCGTGCAACATGGCCATTACCCTACTTCACGTTAAACGGGGTTATCGTCTCCACTGATGGTCATTGTGACCATTTCCATTGTGTTCCCGGTCATGTAAATGATATGTGGAACTAGTCAAACTGACTGGAGGTCCAAACAGAACTCTGTTATCTTGGTTCAAAAAATTTCCAAAATCCAGCATGGTTTTGTCATTTTTTTCCATGGCACCTTAAGTCTCTAGTTCGAAAGACAATCGTATCAGCTTGAACAAAAGTTGAGTTTTGACGAAAAATTTTAACATGCGCAGAAGTCGCATTTTTGTCGTAACATATTGACTGTACTTTTGCAATATAGTCATTTGATTGCTTATTTTTCAAATTCTTTTATTTAAACCTGGAAACAGGTCGATGGTAGCTCCCGTGTTGTCTGGAAACTTTGAAAGAAAATTTGGAAAAATAGAAAGGGTCAAATATCAGAATTTCCTGAAGTTCCCATTGAACTCTTACCAGATATACTAAAAGAAGACAATGTAATGATACTTTCCTGAAAAAAGCAAGGAAATACACACATGCCTTCATACTTAATTTTGTACCAGAAAATAATATGTGCAGGTACATAGATCCCGGCCAGATTCTTTTGTAGTAGGATCAGTAGCTCAATAAATATTCCTCAAGATGAGACACCTCAGAAAATTTCAAATTTCAAAATAACGATTATGGAGCCATTTCTGAAAAATACGAGACAAATCATACCTCGTTCAAAGCATCTTGTTATTCTTTAACTTTTTTATCACCAATGACCGTTATTCAAGCAATGCTGTGTTGATAAGAGGCCAAAACAGTGATATTTTATCGCCGGACTCTTGTCTGTCCAAATCTGAATGGTGCTCCCGTGGTTCCAGAAATGTGACGTCATCAGTACAATGATAGGACACACAAGAGTCCGGATCTCGTGAAAATTATTCGCCGTATTAAAAGACAAATAACTGCATCCATAGATTATTTACTCGAACCAAACAAGTAGAAATAGAAAGATGAAGATCTCAGCTATAAAATAAGTGCAAAATCTGTCATGGGGAAGCAGGTACCATTTTGTATAGATCTAAGGAACATTTTTAAAGGTGGTCATATTTTTTTGAAATTTTCCAATTTAGTGTCGTATCTTGTGAATTATTCTTTGAGACTATGAGATCCTACTACAAAACGATCTGGCCAATATCTGTGTGCAGGTATAGCAAATTTTTTACCAAAATGTTACTTTCCAGCTGAACCTAGGCTAAATGTCGAACTCGAAGATCTAAAAAATATCTGAAAATCAAATCTCACCATGCCTTACAGTCTCTACTGGAATAACTTATATAATACCGTCTAATCATTGGAAATGCAGCAGATTTAAAATTTAATATTCGTATTGTACTTCAAACAGCAAAGTATGGAGAGAAATCATCTAAAAAAATCCAAAAATATTTATTTACCTGATTCGCCATTTTAGATTCACTATCCGGGTACTTTAAAAAGTCCCCAAAGTCATTTTGAAAACTGTAAATTATTTTACCGCTTTGATTATTCACCCGATAACTTCATAAGACTTCATTCAATATCGATTTTTTGAATTAATTTGATTTAATTTCATGGCTTTGTTTTACATATCACGGTCAGTGATTGTTCTACTAAATTTGAAACGTTGCCCTGTAAATCAAAATGATGCATAGTCACGTGGTACAATTTCAATATGGTGGACGATTTGATTTAATTTTTACAAGAAAATCCATTGATTTGTCGTAATTATGTCTACTAGGCGTTTCAAAAGACCTTCGTCTGCCAGAAGAAATATTCGACAAGAATCCTTTACACCATTTGTCAGGTAATAAAGAGTGAAAACTCATTACGTTTGCAAATATTCGATGCTCATCAGCTTGGAGGAAGAATGTCACTCCACTTCGCAAATAATCTAATTTGCAAATTATAAACCCGGAAGATTTTTTGAGACCCTATCTGTTGCAAGACTTACGCCTGCCACAACCGTCACCATGTTATTCAGTGTTTTTTAAGTATCGCAAGGATCCTGCCATGAACGTGGTAGTGTTATCGTGAAAGCCTGGTATAAGGGTTTACGTAAAACACCGACCGCCGACCACCGACCAGTCACTCTCCACAGTTGGGTACATGTGGTAGGCTCACGGTCTTTTACATAAAGATGAAAAAATGCAAAATTAGAAGTAAAACTAAAACTGGGAATCCAATGACTATAGTACCTTTACTAGGTCGTGATTTAAAAACGTATAATTATCATTTCAAATGAAAACGTTACATCGTCGTAGTGTGTAATGTCATATTTTTAAGTGATGTTTCAGTTGTTAGAAGACCAATTTCATCCTGGTTAGTCACTTTGGAAAAAAACGCACGTAACATTGCATTAAGTTCATTCTTCATTCATATGAAACGCAATAACAAAAACACACAAACTTAACATCGTCGATGTTGACGTCGTAACGTTATGTTTGATTTCTCAGTTGTAAACGTCAACTGGTAAAAACTGCATTTGATATGACAAAAAAAGCTTTCTAATGGTGTACTGAAATGGTAAGTCACTTTTAATCCCGATAAGAGAACGCATGTAACATTATATCGTGTTCAGTATTCAGTTGCTATGACGATAACAAATCATTTTTGTTTCGAAATTGTTAAATTTCAGTAAAAAATTAGGATAGATTCCCGTAGAAACGATAGGTTGGTTAATGATAGGTTAGGACCTAAGGCAGGACAATTAATCGAGAGGAGACGGTCATGACCAATTTGTTTGCTTGCCATTCGTTGCAAGGTACAAAATCGGTAAAAAACGTTGCCTAGTCCAACGATTGACATTCAAAACCAAATTATTAATATTCTAAGGCTACAAATATGTTCGGTCTTTTACATGATATGGTCGGTCTTTTACACATTTTCTTCAAACCCTGTTTTGAGGCTACCAGTGGAAAACACCGACCGGTCGGTGGTCGGTGGGGTCGGTCTTTTCCGTAAACCCCTGGTATAACCGTGACAATGCTGTATTATATTGCATTGGCAGCTATGACCGTGGTAGTGTTATCGTGTAGGCCTGGCGCGACGGTCGCCTTTATATGGCATTTATGACTTATGTTTCGCCCGTTGCTATTATTAGTATTTTTATGGATTAACCTTAGTAATTGATCATCATAGAAAGTATGTGTTTTCGAATCGAACCTTCTTGAATGATAGTAGAAATACAGTTTCTTTCCAAATTATTTATGAATTAAAAATGAGGTTTTCGTTGTTAAATTAATATCCATTTTTATGTATCAATAAACATGAGTAGGCTACCATACGCATGTATAGTAGTCTTGATTTACATATTTAAGGTAGTTCAACACTAGGAAAATTATCATTATGGTGTTCTTATGCTACTTTAAATGTTATTTAATACAAGCACGGTCATGAGAGGCCTTGCAACTATTGTCACGGTCATATCAGGCTTTAACCTTACCACGGTCATGACAGGCTTTAACATTCTCACGGTCATGACAGGCTTTAACATTATCACGGTCATGACAGTCTTTGCAAGCATTTTCACGGTCATATCAGGCTTTAACATTACCACGGTCATGACAGGCCTTGCGATCACTGTCATATGTGGTCATATGGGGCTTTAACATTACCACGGTCATGACAGGCGTTGCAATATAATACAGCATTGTCACGGCTTACGCGATAACACTACCACGGTCATGGTAGGATCCTTGCGGAACTTAAAAACACTGAATAACATGGTGACGGTTGTGGCAGGCATAAGTCTTGCAATAGATAGCATGTGGATTTTTTTCATTTTTTCCAAGAAGCTTCCTCACTTTGTTTTTATTTAGGATGTATTTCCTAAGAAAAATTCTGCCATCTGTGTGCCCCCCCCCCCCCCACCTCCCTCCATCCAATATAATTTATTTCGATTATTTTTTGTATATCGCATGGCATGGGAACTAACTTTAAAAAGTGAGCAATGTCATTAGTGTTGTGATAATAACGTCCCCTATACCTATTTATTACATGTCGTGTATACCATTTATAGCAAAAACTTTGAGTTTTGCACGTCGGTGATGATGTGCCTTTTTTAATAGATCTCATATCTTAGAAGCTTATCAGTTTAAAAAAATACTAGAAGACCTAACATATTTTGCCATGCACTGCGCCTATTCATTTGGCAATTCAATTGTAAAGGAAGAAGTGCATTTATTGGCAAATACCCTTATGGTCAAAATGAATAATTGTTAGGTGTAAGATGAAGAATAGAATGTCATATAACTCTTTAGAAAATATTAAAGTGCTTGGGCACACATAGGCTGAGATAGTGGCCATTTAGCTCAGTAAGGTTGAATTGACTTACATGGGGCTGTGTATCATTGACTTAACATGAGGATATCAGCAGATCCCAATAGAGGCCAATTGGTTTCCATTGATTATCACAAAAATACACATTGACCTGAATCGATTGCAAACTTAATAATTTCACAATATGACACAAATGGTTTATCTCGTCAAATGTGCAAATATGAAGTTTGCAATCGATTCAGGTCATACTTAAAATTTAAAGATTGTACATTTTTTCATCAATTTTTTCCCTACAAAATGGCCATAGAAAAATGCTCCAATCTATGCCTCTACACTTCATGATTGAATTATGACCCTAATAAGTGGCCTATACATCAATACAGTGTTGAATATAGGTCAACAAGATACTAGTGTGCATATAAATGTAATAATTAAAGCAGAATACTCATTTTGAAAAATCAGATGAATTATTTTTTTCTCATGGGGAGATCCCAATGGAATATGCATATGGTCCTTTTCTCTTGAAAAAATAAATCTTCCAAATTTGTTGAGTTTTCTTGCAGAAATCACCTACTCCCCCCCCCCCCCCCTCTCCATCCATTTTGTACGATCACCGGGCGTGAATGTGATGTTTTGTTTGTTATATTGATGTTGAAATGACGTGTCCAACATTTCGTCAATTTTCGTCAGTTCTTTCGTTCTTAGTTGCTTCAGATACGTCATTGATGAAGCCCAGGCGGTTCACTCCAAATAATTTGGGTAGGTATGTGCAGCACGGGCAATTTTGGCTTTGAGCATAAAACATGGAAATAAGCCAATCTAAGAGGAAAAAAACATGGAAAATTGTTAAAGTATCCTTTTTAAGTCAAAATTCAGTTTTTCTCCAAAAAATTATATTAAATTTGTCAAATCAGTTGCTGAGGTCTGGAACAAATGACTAGAAAAGTTGATTTTTAGTCAATTATAAGTCTCAGAGGAATTAAACATGGAAACTTTCAATCTTGAGAGGAAATTGACATGGAAAAAATGCTCAAAAAGGGGGTCTTTTGGGCGGCACATAGGTATTGGGAAGTATATTGGAATGAAACCCCCGGGTGATGAAGGCAGCAAACAGGGTCGGCCCAAGGCGAGTTCCCTGAGGTATACCAGAGGTTATAGGGGCCAACTCTGATACTTTACCATTTACAAAGATTCTTTGTGCCTTGTTTGTGAGAAAAGACCTAGTCCTGGCTAGTAATTTTCCTGTTTTTCCATAGTTAGTGTAAATGGGTTCTATGTAAATAGAACTCAAAACTATGTCTAAAATATATTTTTAAGTAAAAATTTTCTGAACTGCATGCGCATGAGTCTCAACTAACTAACTGAACAAAAGACAAAGTGGACAATACCCAAACTCAGAAACATGTGGATGTGCGCCATATTGAATTCAAAAACAGTACAAAACACACTAGTATGGAAACATATAAAACCGGTTTAAACAAAAAAAGTTACCCATAAAGTAGTAGGTTAATCTAGTAGTCGACAGGCGTAAGTTGCATTCGTGAATACAAGCTGTCAATCTTTTTGGCACAAAGCCACGCTGCTCATCTTTGAAAATATTTTGATGGGGTGTTCCAGGATTTCGTCCCCTTTGTACATTTATGGCTTGATATGACTTAGCTTTATTAATTCCATGCCAGGACCATGGTCCTCAGAGTTCACCAGTCCTTTGCCTGTATGATTACAACTTTGGAGAATAATCCATGCCTCTTACACATATTTTAGCAATCTTTTTATGTTAGATGAATCCCCAATCATATGGCTTCATCAGCAAAACGAGGACATTTTCCTTTTTATTGAGAAAATAAATTACAGTACTGGATGAAAATTTCCCGGGAATTTCTGAAAAATTGGCGAAGACACAAAATGGCGAATTTTTGTGATTCGCCTTTGCCAGATTAAATTGTTCGCCAAATTAAGTTGACTCACAGTTTTAGTATTTAAAACTATAAAATGTTTACTAGCCAACAAGACTTCATCCAAACAGTCCTGAAGTATTAATTATGTGTGCATTTATATTTTTCAGTTGTACTAGATTGAGGAATGTCCAGTCTTTGCTGGTAAACAATCCAGAAGGGAAAGATGAAGTTGACTCTATACTCTGCATCTTAGGTACATTTACCATTTAATGGAGTTACAAATTACTTATGTTTTCATGTCTGCATATTAAGATTTTGTGATTATATAATGTAGGTACATGTACAGTAGAACCGGTATATCTGAACACCTGGCTAATCTGAACACCTTCCAATCTGAACACTTTTTTTCGGTCCCATTTTTTCCTCCCATTAACTCCCATATTAAAAAAACTTGAAATTTGAACACCTCTCAATTTGAACAGTGAACAGTCATATTTGAAAAATTAACCTGTCTGATCTGAACACTTTTCATAAAATTTCACATGTTTCATACAAAATTGCTCGAATATTGTTATATCAAAACTTTGGGAAAAAACTTAAATGGTCTTGATTAACCTATAATAGGACTCTCAAGCATGACTGGATTCATTTGAATTGAATTTTCAAATTTCTGAAATGCCGTAAAGCTATGTGGTAAAATGAACTATAAATATGTACCGAGAATTTGCAAAAACCTCAAAATGTGAACACCTCCTAATCTGAACACTTTAAGCTGGTCCCAATGGTGTTCGGATTAGACAGGTTTTACTGTATATAGTATTGAGATATTTTGACCAAAATAAGTAAAATTAAGATTTTGCACAGCTGTAGAGAAAACCTGGATATTTTATATCGCTTATTTGATTAATATTATTAGAAAGATAAATTGATTCCTCATTTGCAGGCATTGATAGCAGATACAACGATGGAACCAGAGAACTGGTGGATTATCTCTTGTTTGACTTCTTCAATACACGCAAAGCTGAGATTGAAAAGTTAGTCAAGTTTGTAGAATGCTCTGACTGAATAAGATTTTAGACTAATTAGTCTGATATTAATCACTGAGTCTCATGGAAGTAGATTGAGGGCTAAATCTTACAAATGATATACTTTTTCAGACTAAAACTCAAATGAAGTCCAGAGTAATAAATATCCTAAATCTTTTGTTTTTGAGATCCTAGAATTAGATTGAAGATTGCCTCCATTTGTAAATGAGTATAATCAACATGAATATTATAAATTGCACAAGTCTACCGTATTAAAATGAAATGGCATTTGGCATCCATCAGAGAGAAAAACTTGAATACAACATGTACTTGATAGTGTAATTTAAACTTGTACTGATATTTGCTGTTGTAAATAAATTCTCACTCAATATGATATTTTTCAGATCTGGATACCCTGAGGAAGTCATAGATGGTAAGTAGACTTCTGTTCTATGACTTTATTATATTTTCCTGGTTGATAGGAGGTAAGATCTTATTATAGGTCTCTGATTTTCCAGTTTGTGTTCTTTGCCTGGTGATTGTGCTGTAATATTTTTATAAAATACCCGTTTTGTAGTGTATACATGTATTTTATTTTGTTTACCACCAATGGATTTGAGTAAAAATGTTAGTAATAAATCACTATCACTAATAACTTAAATGCGAGTAGGTATTTACTAGTTTCACTCATTTGGATCAGATAGCATGGCGGGTATAGTAAAGTTCCCTTTAACTGAAATATTCATCAGTTTTAGTTGTTCAATTTTCATATCACTCTTATGTATCCAATACTTATGCAAAGTAAAATATGTCCAGTAAAGGAAAATATTATATGTCCAATACAAGAAAAGATATTTCCCTCTTTGTGATTTTATAACATGGGGTATATGGGGTATCTACCCCACCTAGAAGTCACATTTTCAAAAAATAAAATTTTTCAAAGATACAAAGAAACCGTATTTCTAGATGCTCTTTTACATGTAGATTTCAAATATGACATCACTTTGACTTTGAATATTTAATGACGTAAATCAAGATGATTTCTACAGTACTTGCATCAAGTCTATTATTTTTGTAATCATAAAAGACAGACCCCAGATCTTCTTAAAGAAGTGGACATGTCCATTTATGTGTCCTTTTACAAACCACAGCCTTTAATAGAGTAAGATTCCCCTAAGCCAACTGAGCAGTAATGATAGATGATGTTGTCTTCTATATGATTGTGCAATAAACAAATGTAATTGTGCTTAATCTTATGATTGTGCATCATCAGCTTTGTGATTGTGCTATTTCAGATATGATTGTGCTGGTGAAGAAGCAATGTGTCCATGTTTACTGCAATCCAATTAACTACATGTATCTGCTGCCTTACATTGCTCACTGGAGGAATCTTAGAATACATTGCCTTACTGATGAAAAGGTAGTATTTTTGTTGTCAGCTGAGCATACATAATATGGGTTATATCAGTTGGCTTTATTATTTTCTGATTTATAGGGGTTAACTTGAATTTTAGAATGTTACAACTTGTAAATATTTGACTACATTAAGCCATCTATTAATTGTGTATGTAAGGATATTTTTTGTAGTCTTGCTTCTACCCTTTGATCTCATCAACGTTAACATAATCTTTTGGGAAGGTGTGTAGTTGGGGGGGGGGGGGGCTCACTAGCTCTTGTAGCTAAACTAGATGTAGTATGGAATATACTCATACTCAAATAAAGTAATTACATCTAATGTAATGGAATATGAAACTTCGAAATTCTGTTATTTATTAACATTCTTAACGATAAATCATTATATATAATATGTTAACCATTGGGTATTATATTAGAGTTGAAGAAATGTTTTGATAGCATTTTTACTACATACTTCATTGCTCCAAGAACATAATAAATAAATCATAAATTTAAAACACAAACTCAATTGGATGATTTCAGTTCCAAGATGAAGAATATGCGGAGGAATTTAAAATTCACAGTTTTGTAACCATGACAACAGGCTGTTCTATGATTGGAATACCTTATAACAGTACAGGTAAGAATGCAAACTTTAATATCATAGGAATACCTTATAACAGTACAGGTAAGAATGCAAACTTTAATATCGTAGGAATACCTTATAACAGTACAGGTAAGAATGCAAACTTTAATATCATAGGAATACCTTATAACAGTTCATGTAAGAATGCAAACTTTAATATCATAGGAATACCTTATAACAGTACAGGTAAGAATGCAAACTTTAATATCATAGGAATACCTTATAACAGTACAGGTAAGAATGCAAACTTTAATATCATAGGAATACCTTATAACAGTTCATGTAAGAATGCAAACTTTAATATCATAGGAATACCTTTAGTCATATAAATCCGACCGTTGTATGCTGTTCTTCGATATTCCTTGTTCCTATTTGGCTATTTATTTTTTATCATTTTCTTAGCATATACGGTCGTAGATATTATAGCTGACAAATTGCGGTAAACGCTTTTCTGGCCTGTCTTGGTAACCATAGTTACCATACTAACCAAAGTCACACAAATTATCGAGTAATTATTTAGCTCCAATATCAAAGTGTTAAATCTTACCTTAGACATGTAAAACGCTTGATAATTGACGAAATATAATCAATTGAATTATATTTTCATTATCGCCCGCCATGTTGCTGAATGTTGTTTCCGGTAGTCTAAATGTGAAACATGAAACGAAACGGAATCGTAATTATTTATTACACAGAGATCGATTCCAAAGCCGTTCTCTCATACTTATTACTTTTCTCATTTTGAAACAATAACTTTTCCAAATAGCTTCCCTTCTTAACGACACTGCTTCCCTTTCAACTGAATCTTCGTGTAACAAGTACTTATGATTTCGTTTAATATAGTTTTACATCTAGACTCAGTTTAACCCGGAAGTGACCTTGGCATGGCAAAATGAAAAAATTTTAAAATTCAAGCGGCATGCTTATATTTCTTCAATTACCAAGCGTTTTACGTGTCTAAGGTAAGATTAAATACTTTATAGTTGAAGCAAAGAAATTTATTTATCATTTGTGTGAATTTGGTTGGGTAGACAGGCGAGGAAAGCATTTCCCGCAATTTAGATGCGCGGAGTGTGTATGACCCTAGTATGCAAGAAAATAAGAAAAAATAAATATCCAAATCAAAAAAAATAACAACAAATAACATCATACGAGGGTCAGATTTATATGACTAGAATACCTTATAACAGTACAGGTAAGAATGCAAACTTTAATATCATAGGAATACCTTATAACAGTACAGGTAAGAATGCAAACTTTAATATCATAGGAATACCTTATAACAGTACAGGTAAGAATGCAAACTTTAATATCATAGGAATACCTTATAACAGTACAGGTAAGAATGCAAACTTTAATATCATAGGAATACCTTATAACAGTACAGGTAAGAATGCAAACTTTAATATCATAGGAATACCTTATAACAGTACAGGTAAGAATGCAAACTTTAATATCATAGGAATACCTTATAACAGTACAGGTAAGAATGCAAACTTTAATATCATAGGAATACCTTATAACAGTACAGGTAAGAATGCAAACTTTAATATCATAGGAATACCTTATAACAGTACAGGTAAGAATGCAAACTTTAATATCATAGGAATACCTTATAACAGTACAGGTAAGAATGCAAACTTTAATATCATAGGAATACCTTATAACAGTACAGGTAAGAATGCAAACTTTAATATCATAGGAATACCTTATAACAGTACAGGTAAGAATGCAAACTTTAATATCATAGGAATACCTTATAACAGTACATGTAAGAATGCAAACTTTAATATCATAGGAATACCTTATAACAGTTCATGTAAGAATGCAAACTTTAATATCATAGGAATACCTTATAACAGTACAGGTAAGAATGCAAACTTTAATATCATAGGAATACCTTATAACAGTACAGGTAAGAATGCAAACTTTAATATCATAGGAATACCTTATAACAGTACAGGTAAGAATGCAAACTTTAATATCATAGGAATACCTTATAACAGTACAGGTAAGAATGCAAACTTTAATATCATAGGAATACCTTATAACAGTACAGGTAAGAATGCAAACTTTAATATCATAGGAATACCTTATAACAGTACAGGTAAGAATGCAAACTTTAATATCATAGGAATACCTTATAACAGTTCATGTAAGAATGCAACACCATGCCAGATGTGTGACATGTGCTGTCCTAGTCAAACATGTTTGAATCTATGGCTCTGTGCGGTCACTTATTAGGCATTACTTTACGTAGGTGAACTGAAAGCTAATTGTCACGAGGCCTTCGTGTTTTCCGTATTATACAAGATTTACAATGATTATCATTTGAATGATGAGAATAGGACACAAACAGCAGTTATTATTAAAACAGCCATTTGTAGAATTAAACAACCTTGTAATGGGATTTTGATTATTTATTCAAAAGAAAACTAATTTTAAACTTGGCAAATATTACCCTGTCCCGCTATAGCATTATTGAGGTTACCATAGCAACCATAACTTCAGAAATATTTGTAACCAACCAAAATTTTCATAATCTATAACCCAGCTACTGAAAATATTGTGCAAAATGAATGATTAACTTTTAAGTTAGAGCATTTTTATCAGGACCTCTGGATCGGCCCTTGTATATCTAACATAATTTTCATGTGACTTAACAATGAATTTTTGTATTTGTAAAATTTATTAAAGTGTCCTGGGCATATATTAATACAACATGTAGCTAAAATACACATGGTAATAAAATCTTAACGTATTAATATCATTCAATATTCTGATACATTTAATATTGGGTTCAAGGATATTGGGAGTTAAATGTCTTGTTAGGTGAATAAAACATATTTTAACAGATTTTAGTATTGTATCAAACAGTATTACCATGGGCTTTCAACTAGTCTAATTGAAAGCCCATAGTATTACTATACAGCCGATAAAATGGTTCAAAAAATCTCAGTTGCACATAAAAAGAATAAAATCGGAAAATTGACATTTGATATATATTAAGAGATTTCTAAATTGTCCTTATTGTGTATTGCAAACTTATATATTACATGTCATCTTCTTTTCATTACAGGGCAGAAGTTAGTATTTGACAAGATGGTGATTGAAAGGTGGCCCATAGTACAAGCATTTGCTTTAGAAGGGTTTGGCAGGTTTGTTTTGCTTCTCAGCTAGAAAATATACCAATTAATGATATCATAAGTTACTAAAATCAATTTATTCAATGTAAATACTTGCAGCTGGTTTTTAAGATTCTTACATTATTGTTGCTCAACAAAATGTTCTAATACCCCATTTGGCTCAAAAATATATATATCCAGCTTTGCAGGATTACAATTATGTTCTTTTTTGTCTTTTAGAGGAGGTTTCTTCACTATGCATCATGAAGTGGTAGATGTAAGTCATTCTGTCAGCAAGTTGTATGATCTGATGGACCCTGTCTTTCTGGAGACTATCATCACAGAAGTAAGCTTTTCTGTTTATTTGTCATAGTTATTGTCTAATGATTCATACACCTGGCTATAGTACAAGTATTAGGGTTGTGTCCATTCTCCTGTTTAACATAAGATATCAATGTCGGTAGCTACCAGATTTTGTTTCAGAGGACATTGCAGCCTCACATACACCTCCAAACGATATAACTAACATTGTTCATTCATATATTTCTAGCGTGTTAGGTTATTTGAGGGTCAGTGGGGCACCATGCTGAGTACAGTAGACATAGAAAGAACCAAAGATATGGCTCAATTGACAGAGAGTTATGTCTGTGAACCTTTAAGAACTTACTACAACCATGGTAGAGTTGGTACTGCTAGATCAAATAAAGTGTAAGTTCAGATTAAATACGCATTTAAAAGTTTTGATGATTAGAGTGACACACTCTCATTAATTATGGAACCTTTATGAATTTTCATGTATACTGTATTCAAGATAATATGTACTTATATAGATGCACCAACAACTTGGAGTTTGGAGAAATATGTTTTTCACAGCATGCTCTCACCCCAAACCACTCAAAAATGCAATTGTAGAAATATCTTTGTCACAGCATCATCATTTTCAAAGTTTTCAGTAAAAAGGATGTATAAGATATATTGAAATTAGTGAAAGCATCAAGTTTTTTAAAAATCTAAAGACAATGTGATTGCACAGCAAACATTTCTCAATGTTGATTCAATGAAAAATCAACATTGATTTTCCCAAGCATTGATAAAGCCATAATTGCCTTTGGGTTAATTTAGTGTTAAATCAAGCTTGATTCAGGCTTGAATCAATGATGTCAATTCAACCCAGGGTCAAGTTAAGCTTGATTTCAAGCTTTATTCAGTGTTGATTTTTCAGGTTTGATTCAAGATTGAGGACATCAATGTTAAATCAAGCTTGATTTTAAGGTTGATTCAGGTTTGAGGTTTTATGTTAAATCATGCTTGATATCAAGATTAAATTAACAATGATTTGCCATCAACCTTGATTCAACCTTGAGAAATGTTTGCTACATGTACAGTTTGGATGTTTGGGAATATTCTGAAATATTCCTGAGGTGAACATTTATTGACTATGTATTGTTTTAATTCAGGCTTGAGTCCCAGAGGCAGCCATATGTGTTGTTTGGCAGCCACTCTTCTAAAGCAACTCTTGATGTGGTCAAGTCTCAACCTACTTCCATCAATGGCACAATCACAGATGTTGGTCTTGGAGGCCAACATGCCAAACACATGGTGCGTGTTTCTCAGTGTTCCACTTTCTACAGACACAATTTGCATTTCAGTTTGCATAAAATAAGGAGGAGTAATTTAAATGACTTCTTTGTATACATACAGAATCATTCTCAGCAAAAACTCAAAACACACATTCCATATTTCTTGCACACCATGTAGTGATTGCAATATTTATGAAGGTAAACTTGCCAAACAAATGTGGTGACATATTGTTTTGTTTTTTTTATTATTTTTTTGTGATGGCAGTCGGCGTCTGGCATTCAGCACCTGTAACAAATGGTTTAGCATGTTAATAATGGCTTGTTGCTCTTTGTTTTGGAGAGCATGGACATAGTGAATTCATCTGTTTCACTTCAAGTATATACTGGCTGTTTCACATTACAGGTGTGCCAAGCTGTGTCTCCTAAAGGCCCTCTATGTTGTGCCAGGTCCTACTTCTTCACAAATAGCCACACCCCTCTGGGGAAGAACAATAGCTTGGCAGATAAGACAGATTCTTCAGATATTAGGTAATGTCCTATTTCTATTTGTATATATACAAGTATAAGGGTTATGTACTAGTGTGGTCCCTTGAGAGATATTTCACCTAAATATACACATATTTCTCTTAGAATGAATCCAGTTTTTCAAACCAAATGGATATTTCTTATGTCCCTGACTGGAAATATTCTTCATGCTCTCTTAGATACGATAATATATATTTTTTCATTTACACCATTATGCCAGACGTTCAATACAAGGCAAATATTAAGAATATTTTTGGACATAATTTTTGAATATATTTTGTTGCCAATGAGAATTTACAAAGAAACAGATTCAATGAAATATTTGGAAAACTAAGTGCTAGAAATCTTTGTTATCCTGACCTCCATGTACATTGGCTGGTTTGTTTTTGTAGATTATTAAATAGCCTGTATCTCTGCATGGTTGAAGCAGTGGCCTCATCCATAGAAACATATGCTCAAACACTAAGTCTCTCAAAGGTAGGTTAACATTTGTTTGTTTTATATTTCTCAAAAAAGAGTTGTATTGTTATGTCTAGGGGCATAACCACGTCAGACAAATAGGCAAGCCAAATTAGACTACATGCAAGGCATAACCAGGGTAGGCAAATAGGCAAGCCAAATTAGACTACATGCAAGGCATAACCAGGGTAGGCAAATAGGCAAGCCAAATTAGACTACATGCAAGGCATAACCAGGGTAGGCAAATAGGCAAGCCAAATTAGGCTACATGCAAGGCATGGCATAACCACAGTAGGCAAATAGGCAAGCCAAATTAGACTACATGCAAGGCATAACCAGGGTAGGCAAATAGGCAAGCCAAATAAGACTACATGCAAGTAGTTGAAAATAAAAATATGTTGGTGTTGAAATATTAAATGTTGAATGCACATTGCCTCTTATTTTTTTCAGAATGTGCCAAACTACATTATATAATGTATGTCTCAGAAACCTGCACATAGAAATATGGTTCATGACTTTAATTATGTCTGTTTTTAGGCTGAGGATGATGTTAAAATGTGTCTGGAGGCAAGTTGTAAGAAGAGAGATGTTTCCTTGCCAGCATCCTTTTGGTCTAATGCACATGTAGACTTCAGAATAGACGCTGTAGATAATCATGGAAGGTTGGTACTATTTGAATAGGGGCCCTTTACCGATCTACATAACATCTAACCTCGCATATAACTGCTGTTAGAAATAAAATATCTGCAACTGTTTTATATTATAATTAGACATATGTGATATTAATGTAATGAGAATTTCATGAGATTATATCAACAATGATGAGTAACTAATGAAGCTTTGACATTCAAGGGACATGCTAGTAAAACGAAATGATACTATCTTGTGCCAAATTGGAATAAAAATCAGTACAAAACCTCTTGTGCTAAATTGATTCTTAGATTCTATCAATGCTGTAATTTTATGATGCATAGACCTATGAAGAGGAAATACATTGGTTTGATTTCAGGAGTGTTTCCATTACTGACAATGAGTCTTTAAAGATGGTGAAATATGCCTGCCTGACACTGTATGATGTTCCTAGTGTTGAACATAAGGGAGACACACTGGGCTCCCTTGTCTTTGGGGAATCATTCTTAGAATCCAGCATACAAGTTATATGTGCAGGTAAGTATTGTGGATGTGTACAGGGTGGGTCGAAATGTTGAGTTTGAGCTCTTTATAACATTTAGTATTCATTTTAAAATTGATTGACACTTTTTGGCCTACCTTATACATGTATTATTTTAAAAATACTGTTAACTGTAGTGTTAAACATGATTTTTACTTATCTATAAAATGATGATATTTGGTATACCTCTGCTCATATTATAGAATAATGATAATGCTTCTTGTCCTTGCAAATGATGCAAAGCAACCTCTGCTTTCCAGATGGCAGCAAAAGATTGGACAGTGAGCTTACAGTATTAACCAGAAATGTGCCAAGGTTCATAACATGGACAGTAAGGATATATTTCTCAAAAGAAATGAATTAAATATAAATAATCAAAAATCTTGTGTAGCTAAGTTGGAGGATCTTGCAATTGACATAAATAGATTTGGGATCTTATTTGAATAAGCTGGAAGATCCAATGTAGATCAATTTGTGGAACTTCAATTTTGCAACTCAATGTCTTCTATGCATTCTATAGAAATGAGAATGAAATGATTCCAATACAATTGTAGACACCAAATGAAGAACAAGGGCTTGTAGAGAGAATGAAACAACTCACTCAACAGAGTACTGAGAAGCAACAATTTGGCAGAGTTCTCATAGACCAACAATCAGCAAAGATGCTCAGTGACACTAACCTCTGTAACCCCGATGAAGGTATGAACTGCAATTGTCTGCATGTTATTTATAGTTACTCACATAGATAGCAAACCCCTACAAACCATGTCAACAGCACTCAAGTCATAGATTTATCAATTCATCAGAAGCATTTAATGAATCATTGAAAAGGAGTTAGTTTGATAAGTGATATTGATAAGTGTTTCATTGTTTTTCCAGGGGAGTTGACACTGTATGAGCGAAGCATTGTTTTCATCAACAGTCGCCATGGCCCTACATTGCTTCCCCTTGATCAGTTTGAATCTCTTTCATTCTATGATGGCGTGAGTATCATTAATTATCTTACCAAACATAGTTCATAAGGGATACTGAAAAGCTGTCAATATGTCTGTTAACACTATGATATCAGAAAGGAACAATAGTAGGAGGTTGTATTAGGTATCATTGGAAATGTTATTCAATCCCCAGTATTTGAGTTTACTTATAATTACAGGGTGGGCTAAAAAAATTGGAGTATTTTGAGCTTACTTATAATTACAGGGTGGGCCAAAATATTGGAACATTTGTTCCATCCATTGTAATTTTTTGTTTACCTGGCTATTACATGAAATGTTCAAAATGATGAGTGATTTGATAAATATATTTTGTTTAGCAGGATTTGCTACTCCTTTGAGTTGCAGTTTTTCTAGTATTTTTTTTATTTATTTTATTGTGTGATAAAAATAATTAACATTTTGTGTATAGAGTGATAACTTTTTTCGGAAATCATAGCAATACTTCGCAGTCAAATTATAAGTTACAGCGGATTCAAAAACTGAATGTTCTCAATATTATTTTGCATTTTAGGATTCACCAAGTGTTGTAGCATTTGTAATTATAAGATACAACAAAGAGCTATGTAGTAGCCTCCCTTCCCATCTCAATGTTGTTTTGCATTTCAGGATTCACCCAGTGTTGTAGCATTTGTAATTATAAGATACAACAAAGAGCTATGTAGTAGCCTCCCTTCCCATCTCCAGAGTCCATCCAGCACAATCATTCTAGCCCTCACTCCTAAATCAAAGGCATACAAAGCTTTCTTCAGAGAGGTAAGTTAGGATCTACTAAACTACAGTTTAGAGGCATCATAATTGTGGGTGAGGCCAAGCAACTGTCTCACCAAAATTTACAAAAACATATATTCTCTGATGCTAAATCTGTAGAAATTAAGTCCAGCAATTTGCCTGACCTATTGATTTTTGCCTCACCTGGCTATGCCTATTAAGCCATTAACTCTAACTGCAAAATTAAGTTTAGTCATGTTTGTGTGTGTCAGTCATCAGTAATCAGCAACCCTTTGTTTAAAAGATCCAGATTTCCGCCCCAATATAAATGCTTTTATAATAAATTAGGGATGGTTCAATAGATCTTAGAGATAGTATATACATTAAAGTTATTTATTAAGAGATTACATATGTTTAAAGTATTTGCATATGTCAAAGAGTTGGCATATGCGACAGAGATAGCATGTATTTAAGATTTTTCATATGTTATTAGGTGCTGCCTTTATGGAGGAAAGAGTCTCACACACCATCAATGGAACTTCTTACTGAACTACATGACAACATTAAACAATTGTAAGTTACACATTTTATTTGAAAACACAGAATAAAATTGGCAGCTAATATAGTCTGATATGATTCAGGTTTCCTGTATCCATCATTAGTGAACAAAAACATCGTCTCTTGTTATGTTCTCTGTTACCATGCCATTGACAACATCAATGAACGGTCATTGATTGCTTATTATCCCATTGAACGAAGTTCAGAGGGATATAGGGAACGCCATCTGTCTGTCTGTCTGTCTGTCTGTCTGTCCGGGCAATAACTCAAATGCCATTGGCCCAATTTTGTTCATATTTTGTACACATATACATGATTGAAGTAGAAGTTCTGCTCGAAAGCCGATTTTCAAAATGGCTGCTCATTTAAAAATGGCGGCCTTTGTAGTGCCGATTTTACAATAATTTAGGTACAATATGTAAAAGTGTAATAGCAATATGTTTTAAATGTCAAAAATTATATAGGACATTTAATAAAGCTAAAAATGTAGATATCAAAGAAGCACATGGCAGCCATCTTGAAAAATGGTGGCCTTTACACGCTGTTTTACGATTTTTGCTGTTACTCGAAAAGTAGTGGAGAAATTTTGTTCATATTTAGTATGTGAATACTATAAGCATGGAACACTGTCTAATGACACTTTTTGTAGAAATAACGTTTTTTACTATAACTCGAAAAGTAGTGGATCAATTTTGTTCATATTTGGTATGCGAATACTATTACAATGGCATACTGTTTAATGACACTTTTGGAAGAAGGCGCCCATTTTGAAAAATGGCCGTCATTTTTACGTGTTTTACTATAACTCAAAAAGAAGTGGAGCGATTTTGTTCATATTTGATATGTGAATACTTATAAACACGGCACACTGTCTTACGACATTTTGGCAAGTAGGTGGCCATTGACATGTTTGTGTGTGCGACTTTGTTGAAATATTACATATACATTTTCTGTTATTTCATATTGCACTTTCTTATGACAATTTGTGGTGTGTTAATTTACGATTTTTGCTTTATACTTCGTTTGTAAAAATGCCAGCCATGTCTGTACGATGGGATTTGCTTTGGTGTTGCTGTTGTCTAGTTTACATGATGATTTATCTATTTTTATGATATATCAATTGCATATATATACATTGGATTGGTTAAAAACTATTCAGAATGTAACATTTCTTCTGCAGGCATTCACATCTACAGCTCCAATACACCAACACAACATCAGCTAAAGCCACCCCACTGAAAAAAGCTGTTGCAAATCTGCCAAATCTTCACACATTTCTTGATCATTTCGAAGGCTCAAGTGTATCTAGTTTGGACGTGTCCTATAAGGATGTGAACATATTAACCAAGAGACCATACGACAGTGGCAACTTTGATGATTCAAATCAGGTTTGTAGAATTTAAAGGAGCGAAAGTGATAGAGACAAGTATAAAAAGATTTTACAATATTTTTCCAAGTTGTTCCTATTTTCTAAGAAATCAAACTTAAAGGAACATTCCTGGCCAAACCTTTTCTATCCTGATGTAATAGCTATAATCATATATATACTTTCCATATTTAGCAAAACACCAGGAAATGTTTTAATATAGTCAATATTGATAATTTAAAAATGTAGGAGAGAAATGGTCTGGCCAGGCCTTTAATATAGGGATACCATCATTCATTTATTAGCGTTATCTGGCTATTGTTTTGAAAAAGGGAAAAAGAAGACAATGTTACTGTCTGGTTATTTCTATTTTATGGTTTGATAATATTACTTTTGTTTGGTGGAATTTGCTACAGGGCTAGTTCCTGTTTTTCAAGTTTTGAGTATGTTCACCATCATGACAAGGTTACTTTATTGTTGCTTACAGTTAGTGGTAACCATCCTGACAGGGGTACCAGGAAGTCATAAAGAGAATCTCTGTACAACTCTTGCTAACCTCTCCAAGGAAGAGGGAAGGTGGGTTCAATTCATACATGTTATAGTACTAGAATTAATAATTTAATAACTTATCATAAAAATATATAACATATTACACTTTGGATCATATGCTTCAGTATTGTATGTTAGGCCATATGCTTCAATATTGCATGTCAGGCCATATTTTTCAATATTGCATGTTAGGCCATATGCTTCAATATTGCATGTTAGGCCATATGCTTCAATATTGCATGTTAGGCCATGTGCTTCAATATTGCACTTTGGTTCATATGCTTCAATATTGCACTTTGGATCATATCCTTCAATATTGCGTGTTAGACCATATGCTTCAATATCGCATGTCAGGCCATATTTTTCAATATTGCATGTTAGGCCATATGCTTCAATATTGCATGTTAAGCCATATGCTTCAATATTGCATGTTAGGCCATATTTTTCAATATTACATGTTAGGCCATATGCTTCAATATTCCATGTTAGGCCATGTGCTTCAATATTGCACTTTGGTTCATATGTTTCAATATTGCATGTTAGACCATATTTTTCAATATTTCGTGTTATGCTTCAATATTGCATGTAAGACCATATGCTTCAATATTGCAGTAAGACCATATGCTTCAATGTTGTGTGTTAGGCCTTATACTTCAATATCGCACTTTGGGTCATATGCTTAAATATTGCAGTTTGGGTCATATGCTTCAATATTGCACTGTGGGTTGTGTTTTTCCAAAGTCCTAATTTACAAGAATGGCTGACCTTTATTACCTTACACTGTATGAACTTGTATTTTAGGTGGGTTGTGTTGAGGCAGCCACTAGACAACACTGAAGCATTTAATGCTGAGAGTCTCCATGGCTCCCTCTACCAAACATACCACGCACAGAAGAAACGCAAACCAGGGTCAGCTGCAACTAAACGCAAGATGAGAGCTTTAATTGTCACTCCTGGGTCAGTAGAATTTGACTTTTGGGTGTTAGTGGCTTACAGTGAGCTTATGGGATTGATTAGGTGTCCTTGCTTTGGTCCATTCATCACTCAGTTGCCCATTTGTCCATCCATGAACATTGGTGGTAGAAATATTAATCTTATCTTAATTATTTTATGGTTATCTATGGTACAATATACAATTGTAGACATCTCTTGAGGTCAACTGGCAAAATTGTATACCCATACTGTAAACCTTGAAAGTACTGTTGACTGACCGCAGCACTTTCAGGGTTTACAGTATCGGTATACACTTTTGCCAGTTGACCGAATAGAGAGGTTAACAATTGTTTTGTTGATCTAGGAATATTATTATAAATGGAAAGATATATTATCGAATATAACGTGAGACATATTTTAGCAAAAAATCCCCAAACCATTGAATATCACTTCTAAAAACGTAGTTTGATTTTCAATTTTTTATTAATACTGCAAAATGAAAAACGATTTTTAAAAAAAATTCAAATTTTCTTTAATATATTTTTTTTTATATTAAAAAAGAATAAAAAAAAATGTATTTTTTTTATATTTTCAAATTTAAAATTTAAAAAAGTAGCGATCAACAGTACCTAGTAGCGGTCAACAGTATACAATTCTTGACCTCTCCAGAGGTCAACCGGCAAAATTGTATACTGAGACTGTAAACCGAGAAACTATTGTTGACAGAGACCGAAGGTCTACAATTGTTTTGTTAGTCTGAAGAAACTAATAATACACATAAAGACAACAATCATCAATCGGCATGGCATCATTTCACAACCTTTTCTCCGAACCACATTAGCAATATTTTTTTAGAAAATCTGAAGACAGTGTAAGTAGCTAAACTCTCTGTATTCGGCACATCACGGCGTACTCATTAGTAAATTAATGTTAATTTTACGTTTCTATTTGTATTTTTGCTATAGTAAAGTCAAAATATCATTTTCATCAACGTTTACACATGTTACAAAATGTCCGTCTTTCATGTTTTTTGTGACGTCATGAAACTTTTTTTCAAAAGTAGCGGTCAACAGTACCTTGTAGCGGTCAACAGTATACAAAAAGTGACTGCCATTGAGGGCAATTGTGTAAATTATTTTTACAATAGTACATTGTAGAGGATATTCCCAAGGGGAAATCATTTTCACTATTGCTCGAAATTAGGCAGTCACTATTTGTTTTATTATATACCCTATACTGACTCTTGTCCCGTTTCCTCTGCGAAGGCCAAAAAGGCTTAGAAAGCCCCCTCCCCGGGTCCATTGTTAGCATTATAAGCTGTGACGTCATCAGATGCTCAACAGAAATTTTTGCCTCTGACACTCTCACTTGACAAATTCAATCGCGTTTAACACGCGGAATAGATTATCATAACACTTGAAATCACACAGACGTATTTAGCTTAGGGAACTTTATACACGTTGCTTATACTGTATCGTTCACGTACGTCTGTCATGGTGAACGGAGTTGATTTGTGTTTGTGCTCATCCTCCATTTTTCTGTTTTTCGTCTGCGCAGTGATGATGACGTTTCCAAGGGTAATAGAAGTTGCAATCGTGACGTCAGCGGGCAATAGTTCAAATGTATATTCCCGCTGACATCACATTTGAGGGAATATAACTTTCCGAGGGAAATAGTAAATCTATTTTGGAACACGTGACTCGGTATTGACCAATCAGGATTAGTGTTACATATTTAAGGAATAAAGACGGATGATATGGCGTGATATATGACTGAAAAATTTATTCTGTTCATTGTTAAAAGACCGAAATCGCGTAGCAATTGACATGATTGAGGTCTTTGGCAATGGCCAGAATAAAATTTGAGGTCATATATTTGACATAAATCATAAAATCGAGGTTTTTGTTACGATTCTAATATGATAAACAGACAAGAAAAACAAATATTTGCATTTATGAATTTTAGTGGTCATACATACTCAATATAGACCAGTAAATCAATTGTTCTTGTTATTGTCACATATCATATTAGAATAATGAATATATCCAAGTTAATGAAAGCCTTGTTAATTAAAGCACCTGCTTTAAAATTACAGGTTCACAGATATAGTAGAAGTGGTCCGTGCTGTGATGACCCATCCAGATAAAGAGGTGTTGATGAACCTTAGAATAGGAGCTGTAACAGCATGTGTTGACCCACTCAATACATACATGCAAGACAGGTATGTGGACATTTGAATAGTTGCTGTAACAGCATGTGTTGACCCACTCAATACATACATGCAAGACAGGTATGTGGACATTTGAATAGGAGCTGTTACAGCGTGTGTTGACCCATTCAATACATACATGCAAGACAGGTATGTGGACATTTGAATAGTTGCTGTTACAGCATGTGTTGACCCACTCAATACATACATGCAAGACAGGTATGTGGACATATGAATAGGAGCTGTAACAGCATGTGTTGACCCACTCAATACATACATGCAAGACAGGTATGTGGACATATGAATAGGTGCTGTAACAGCATGTGTTGACCCACTCAGCACATACATGCAAGACAGGTATGTGGACATATAAATAGGTGCTGTAACAGTGTGTGTTGACCCACTCAATACATACATGCAAGACAGGTATGTGGACATTTGAATAGGTGCTGTAACAGCATGTGTTGACCCACTCAATACATACATGCAAGACAGGTATGTGGACATTTGAATAGGTGCTGTAACAGCATGTGTTGACCCACTCAATACATACATGCAAGACAGGTATGTGGACATTTGAATAGGTGCTGTAACAGCATGTGTTGACCCACTCAATACATACATGCAAGACAGGTATGTGGACATTTGAATTGGAGCTGTAACATCATGGGTTGACCCACTCAATACATACATGCAAGACAGGTATGTGGACATTTGAATAGGTGCTGTAACAGCATGTGTTGACCCACTCAATACATACATGCAAGACAGGTATGTGGACATTTGAATAGGTGCTGTAACAGCATGTGTTGACCCACTCAATACATACATGCAAGACAGGTATGTGGACATTTGAATAGGTGCTGTAACAGCATGTGTTGACCCACTCAATACATACATGCAAGACAGGTATGTGGACATTTGAATTGGTGCTGTAACAGCATGTGTTGACCCACTCAATACATACATGCAAGACAGGTATGTGGACATATGAATAGGTGCTGTAACAGCGTGTGTTGACCCACTCAATACATACGCGCAAGACAGGTATGTGGACATTTGAATAGGTGCTGTAACAGTGTGTGTTGACCCACTCAATACATACATGCAAGACAGGTATGTGGACATTTGAATAGGTGCTGTAACAGCATGTGTTGACCCACTCAGTAAATACAAGCAAAACAGGTATGTGGACATTTGAATAGGTGCTGTAACAGCATGTGTTGACCCACTCAATACATACATGCAAGACAGGTATGTGGACATTTGAATAGGTGCTGTAACATCATGGGTTGACCCACTCAATACATACATGCAAGACAGGTATGTGGACATTTGAATTGGAGCTGTAACAGCATGTGTTGACTCACTCAATACATACATGCAAGACAGGTATGTGGACATTTGAATAGGTGCTGTAACAGCGTGTGTTGACCCACTCAATACATACATGCAAGACAGGTATGTGGACATTTGAATAGGTGCTGTAACAGCATGTGTTGACCCACTCAATACATACATGCAAGACAGGTATGTGGACATTTGAATAGGTGCTGTAACAGCGTGTGTTGACCCACTCAATACATACATGCAAGACAGGTATGTGGACATTTGAATAGGTGCTGTAACAGCATGTGTTGACCCACTCAATACATACATGCAAGACAGGTATGTGGACATTTGAATAGGTGCTGTAACAGCGTGTGTTGACCCACTCAATACATACATGCAAGACAGGTATGTGGACATTTGAATAGGTGCTGTAACAGCATGTGTTGACCCACTCAATACATACATGCAAGACAGGTATGTGGACATATGAATAGGTGCTGTTACAGCATGTGTTGACCCACTCAATACATACATGCAAGACAGGTATGTGGACATATGAATAGGTGCTGTAACAGTGTGTGTTGACCCACTCAGTACATACATGCAAGACAGGTATGTGGACATATGAATAGGTGCTGTAACAGCATGTGTTGACCCACTCAATACATACATGCAAGACAGGTATGTGGACATTTGAATAGGTGCTGTAACAGCATGCGTTGACCCACTCAATACATACATGCAAGACAGGTATGTGGACATTTGAATTGGAGCTGTAACAGCATGTGTTGACCCATTCAATACATACATGCAAGACAGGTATGTGGACATTTGAATTGGAGCTGTAACAGCATGTGTTGACCCACTCAATACATACATGCAAGACAGGTATATGGACATTTGAATTGGTGCTGTAACAGCGTGTGTTGACCCACTCAATACATACATGCAAGACAGGTATGTGGACATTTGAATAGGTGCTGTAACAGCATGTGTTGACCCACTCAATACATACATGCAAGACAGGTATATGGACATTTGAATTGGTGCTGTAACATCATGGGTTGACCCACTCAATACATACATGCAAGACAGGTATGTGGACATTTGAATTGGAGCTGTAACAGCATGTGTTGACCCTCTCAATACATACATGCAAGACAGGTATGTGGACATTTGAATAGGTGCTGTAACAGCATGTGTTGACCCACTCAATACATACATGCAAGACAGGTATGTGGACATTTGAATAGGAGCTGTTACAGCATGTGTTGACCCACTCAATACATACATGCAAGACAGGTATGTGGACATTTGAATAGGAGCTGTTACAGCATGTGTTGACCCACTCAATACATACATGCAAGACAGGTATGTGGACATTTGAATAGGTGCTGTAACAGCATGTGTTGACCCACTCAATACATACATGCAAGACAGGTATGTGGACATTTGAATAGGAGCTGTTACAGCATGTGTTGACCCACTCAGTACATACATGCAAGACAGGTATGTGGACATTTGAATTGGTGCTGTAACATCATGGGTTGACCCACTCAATACATACATGCAAGACAGGTATGTGGACATATGAATAGGAGCTGTAACAGCATGTGTTGACCCACTCAATACATACATGCAAGACAGGTATGTGGACATTTGAATAGGTGCTGTAACAGCATGTGTTGACCCACTCAGTACATACATGCAAGACAGGTATGTGGACATATGAATTGGAGCTGTAACAGCATGTGTTGACCCACTCAATACATACATGCAAGACAGGTATGTGAACATTTGAATAGGTGCTGTAACAGTGTGTGTTGACCCACTCAATACATACATGCAAGACAGGTATGTGGACATTTGAATAGGTGCTGTAACAGCATGTGTTGACCCACTCAATACATACATGCAAGACAGGTATATGGACATTTGAATAGGTGCTGTAACAGCATGTGTTGACCCACTCAATACATACATGCAAGACAGGTATATGGACATTTGAATTGGTGCTGTAACAGCGTGTGTTGACCCACTCAATACATACATGCAAGACAGGTATGTGGACATTTGAATAGGAGCTGTTACAGCATGTGTTGACCCACTAAATACATACATGCAAGACAGGTATGTGGACATTTGAATAGGTGCTGTAACAGCATGTGTTGACCCACTCAATACATACATGCAAGACAGGTATGTGAACATTTGAATAGGTGCTGTAACAGTGTGTGTTGACCCACTCAATACATACATGCAAGACAGGTATGTGGACATTTGAATAGGTGCTGTAACAGCATGTGTTGACCCACTCAATACATACATGCAAGACAGGTATATGGACATTTGAATAGGTGCTGTAACAGCATGTGTTGACCCACTCAATACATACATGCAAGACAGGTATATGGATATTTGAATTGGTGCTGTAACATCATGGGTTGACCCACTCAATACATACATGCAAGACAGGTATATGGACATTTGAATAGGTGCTGTAACAGCATGTGTTGACCCACTCAATACATACATGCAAGACAGGTATGTGGACATTTGAATAGGTGCTGTAACAGCATGTGTTGACCCACTCAATACATACATGCAAGACAGGTATGTGGACATTTGAATAGGTGCTGTAACATCATGGGTTGACCCACTCAATACATACATGCAAGACAGGTATGTGGACATTTGAATAGTTGCTGTAACAGCATGTGTTGACCCACTCAATACATACATGCAAGACAGGTATGTGGACATTTGAATTGGAGCTGTAACAGCATGTGTTGACCCACTCAATACATACATGCAAGACAGGTATGTGGACATATGAATAGGAGCTGTAACAGCATGTGTTGACCCACTCAATACATACATGCAAGACAGGTATGTGGACATTTGAATAGGTGCTGTAACAGCCTGGGTTGACCCACTTAATACATACATGCAAGACAGGTATATGGACATTTGAATAGGTGCTGTAACAGCATGGGTTGACCCACTCAATACATACATGCAAGACAGGTATGTTGACATTTGAATAGGAGCTGTAACAGCATGTGTTGACCCACTCAATACATACATGCAAGACAGGTATGTGGACATTTGAATTGGTGCTGTAACATCATGGGTTGACCCACTCAATACATACATGCAAGACAGGTATATGGACATTTGAATAGGTGCTGTAACAGCATGGGTTGACCCACTCAATACATACATGCAAGACAGGTATGTGGACATTTGAATAGGAGCTGTAACAGCATGGGTTGACCCACTCAATACATACATGCAAGACAGGTATATGGACATTTGAATAGGTGCTGTAACAGCATGGGTTGACCCACTCAATACATACATGCAAGACAGGTATATGGACATTTGAATAGGTGCTGTAACAGCATGGGTTGACCCACTCAATACATACATGCAAGACAGGTATATGGACATTTGAATAGGTGCTGTAACAGCATGGGTTGACCCACTCAGTACATACATGCAAGACAGGTATGTGGACATTTGAATTGGTGCTGTAACATCATGTGTTGACCCACTCAATACATACATGCAAGACAGGTATGTGGACATTTGAATTGGTGCTGTAACAGCATGTGTTGACCCACTCAATACATACATGCAAGACAGGTATGTGGACATTTGAATTGGAGCTGTAACAGCATGTGTTGACCCACTCAATACATACATGCAAGACAGGTATGTGGACATATGAATAGGTGCTGTAACAGCGTGTGTTGACCCACTCAATACATACATGCAAGACAGGTATGTGGACATATGAATAGGTGCTGTAACAGCATGTGTTGACCCACTCAATACATACATGCAAGACAGGTATGTGGACATTTGAATAGGTGCTGTAACAGCATGTGTTGACCCACTCAATGCATACATGCAAGACAGGTATGTGGACATTTGAATAGGTGCTGTAACAGCGTGTGTTGACCCACTCAATACATACATGCAAGACAGGTATGTGGACATTTGAATAGGTGCTGTAACAGCATGTGTTGACCCACTCAATACATACATGCAAGACAGGTATGTGGACATATGAATAGGAGCTGTAACAGCATGTGTTGACCCACTCAATACATACATGCAAGACAGGTATGTGGACATTTGAATAGGTGCTGTAACATCATGGGTTGACCCACTCAATACATACATGCAAGACAGGTATGTGGACATTTGAATTGGAGCTGTAACAGCATGTGTTGACCCACTCAATACATACATGCAAGACAGGTATGTGGACATTTGAATAGGTGCTGTAACAGCATGTGTTGACCCACTCAATACATACATGCAAGACAGGTATGTGGACATATGAATAGGAGCTGTAACAGCATGTGTTGACCCACTCAATACATACATGCAAGACAGGTATGTGGACATTTGAATAGGTGCTGTAACATCATGGGTTGACCCACTCAATACATACATGCAAGACAGGTATGTGGACATATGAATTGGAGCTGTAACAGCATGTGTTGACCCACTCAATACATACATGCAAGACAGGTATGTGGACATTTGAATAGGTGCTGTAACAGCATGTGTTGACCCACTCAATACATACATGCAAGACAGGTATGTGGACATATGAATAGAAGCTGTAACAGCATGTGTTGACCCACTCAATACATACATGCAAGACAGGTATGTGGACATTTGAATTGGTGCTGTAACATCATGGGTTGACCCACTCAATACATACATGCAAGACAGGTATGTGGACATTTGAATTGGAGCTGTAACAGCACGTGTTGACCCACTCAATACATACATGCAAGACAGGTATGTGGACATTTGAATTGGAGCTGTAACAGCATGTGTTGACCCACTCAATACATACATGCAAGACAGGTATGTGGACATTTGAATTGGAGCTGTAACAGTATGTGTTGACCCACTCAATACATACATGCAAGACAGGTATGTGGACATTTGAATTGGTGCTGTAACATCATGGGTTGACCCACTCAATACATACATGCAAGACAGGTATATAGACATTTGAATAGGTGCTGTAACAGCATTTGTTGACCCACTCAATACATACATGCAAGACAGGTATGTGGACATTTGAATAGGTGCTGTAACAGCGTGTGTTGACCCACTCAATACATACATGCAAGACAGGTATGTGGACATTTGAATAGGTGCTGTAACAGCATGTGTTGACCCACTCAATACATACATGCAAGACAGGTATGTGGACATTTGAATTGGTGCTGTAACATCATGGGTTGACCCACTCAATACATACATGCAAGACAGGTATGTGGACATTTGAATAGGTGCTGTAACAGCATGTGTTGACCCACTCAATACATACATGCAAGACAGGTATGTGGACATTTGAATTGGAGCTGTAACAGCATGTGTTGACCCACTCAATACATACATGCAAGACAGGTATGTGGACATTTGAATAGGAGCTGTAACAGCGTGTGTTGACCCACTCAATACATACATGCAAGACAGGTATGTGGACATATGAATAGGAGCTGTTACAGCATGTGTTGACCCACTCAATACATACATGCAAGACAGGTATGTGGACATTTGAATTGGTGCTGTAACATCATGGGTTGACCCACTCAATACATACATGCAAGACAGGTATGTGGACATTTGAATAGGTGCTGTAACAGCATGTGTTGACCCACTCAATACATACATGCAAGACAGGTATGTGGACATATGAATAGGTGCTGTAACAGTGTGTGTTGACCCACTCAGTACATACATGCAAGACAGGTATGTGGACATATGAATAGGTGCTGTAACAGCGTGTGTTGACCCACTCAATACATACATGCAAGACAGGTATGTGGACATTTGAATAGGTGCTGTAACAGCATGTGTTGACCCACTCAATACATACATGCAAGACAGGTATGTGGACATTTGAATAGGAGCTGTAACAGCGTGTGTTGACCCACTCAATACATACATGCAAGACAGGTATGTGGACATTTGAATAGGTGCTGTAACAGCATGTGTTGACCCACTCAATACATACATGCAAGACAGGTATGTGGACATTTGAATAGGTGCTGTAACAGCATGTGTTGACCCACTCAGTGCATACATGCAAGACAGGTATGTGGACATTTGAATAGGTGCTGTAACAGCATGTGTTGACCCACTCAATACATACATGCAAGACAGGTATGTGGACATTTGAATAGGTGCTGTAACATCATGGGTTGACCCTCTTAAAGAGACATTCCTGGCCAGACCATTTCTGTCCTCATATATATATACATTCCGTCAATTTAAAAATGGTGTGGTGACTGAACAGTACTTAAAAAACAGAATGCCCAGACAACACAGGAGAATACTTGCTCAGTTCCGAACAGGAAGTCTCCACTTAAATATAGAGACAGGTAGATGGAACAATACACCGCTGCAAGAACGAAAATGTATTCTCTGTGATAATGATTGTATTGAGGATGAGATACACTTTTTGACTCAATGTGAACATTATAAGGACATAATGAAAGAGTTTTATGACAATGTTAAAGTAACAGCCCCCCATATAAACATTAACTCAAATGATGGCCTGGGTACACTGATCAGTCTTATACATGACAAAAACATCCAAAATTTATTGGCTTCAACTCTATTTAAAATGTGGCAAAAAAGGAAATTCAATATTGAGAGGGTCTGAAATGATCAAAACAACTGCTCAACAGATATTTATTCTAGTCAACTTAAAATGCTTACTCTAAAAACATGCTGATATTATATTTGAACAGTGCAATAATTGTATATTATAGAATAGTATATTTATTTATTATTTAATGGACATTGTTCCAGATGGTAGAAGGACCTAAGTGTCTCATAAGCCGACACCGGCTGGTAGTGTTTTAGTTTACTTTGTATTTGACATTGTATGTATACTTTTAACACTAGTGACACTATAATAAAATATTTTAATAATAATAATAATAATATATATTTAGCAAAACACAGGAAATGTTTTAATATAGTCAATATTGATCATTTAAAAATGTGGTGTTCATTTCCAGTAAGCTGCCATCTTTTAAGATTTCACTCAGGAAGTGATGTCATTGACTCTCAACCTTCATAACCTTACCTATATCAGTATAGGAAAATAGCACAAAAACACTTCTAGACAAGGGGTCCTTATTTTAAGTGCAAAAATATTTTCAGAGCTTGTCAGCTTAGAATAAAAGGAGAGACTCTTAGAAGGATTAAATCATAGACAAACTTGAAAAAGAATATTCAGCTTGTTTTGTAATTCTTAATAGCTCCTTACCCAAGGCTATATGTAAAGTTGAGAGTCGATTACATCAATTTCTGAGTGAAATCTTAAAAGATGGCAGCCTTCTGGAAATGAGCACTACGTTTTTAAATGATCAATATTGCCCATATCAAAACATTTTTCTGTGTTTTTGTAAACATGGAAAATATATATATGATAATTGCTACCATCTTTTAGGAGGTCTGGCAAGGAATATACCTTTAATACATACATGTAAAATATGTATGTGGACATTGAATATTTTCAGGTTGACACTACCTCACCTCCTTGAGCAATGTGGTCAGGGTTGGGTGAATATTTACACAAACATGTACTAGTAATTCATTTTCAGGTTGACACTACCTCATCTCCTTGAGCAATGTGGTCAGGGTTGGGTGAATAATATTGTGTTTACCAGCTCCTTGAACCCAAAGAACCAGGACTTAGCAGATGTCCAGCATCTCATTAGGGCTGTCAATTCAGATGTAGCCCTACTACTGGCACCAAAAGGAGAGGTTACCAGGTGAGAATATTCAAAAGTTGATCATTTAATGGTCATTTATTAGTGTCACAGAAAAAAACTACACTGTTGCACTTTCTGAGGTTCATTTAGCATAAAGTCAATTGGGATAAAACATTCAATTTCTTAAATTGTTTTAGATGTTCACCCATCCCACGATTAATTTCACAGTAATAAATTATAGAGTAACACTTATTTTATTTCAGCTGTAATAGAACATTAAATTGTTCCACTTGTTTTAATTTTCACAGAATGCGTAATTGTTTCCCAAACTCAAATTACCAAGATTAAATGAGATGTTTTTGTTTTCTAAATTTTGCAATATTGTTATTTGTACACAATGTTTCATTGGCAGGAAACCCCCAAAGGTGTTCATAACAGCCTTAGAATGTAATTGTTTTGATTTATATTGATGTATGTTTATTCCAGGACCCCTGATTTGGATCTTATCCTGTCAGACACAGCCTATAACAGAAATGATCTTGCCAGAGCACGTCATCTCTCATACCCTGGCTGGTGAGTTCGCAGATTTCATTATTACACTTAATAAGTTACGGGCCCTCTAAGGCTCATGAAGCATGAACACCCCGTGTATTGTTTCAGTTAATACATAAGGATTCAATAAGAAAAACAGACGAAAAACAATTTTGATATGATTTAAATACAACTTTCTCACATAATCAAAATACAATTTTGTTACATTATCATATTATTGAATTAAAATACTGCACTTAACTCAAAAAAAGACTCTGATTTTTATTTGTGGTATTCATTCATAAGTAATGCAGAAGTGACAAAGGGAAAGGACCAAATATTGTTACAGAACACAGCAAGAAAAAGAAAACACCTAACTGTACACCAGTCATAAGGTGTGTTGTTTATTGTTTCAGGTCAATTTGTGTCTTCATTAGAGACAGACTAGAGCCCACCATGCAGGAGACATGCCTTAGTAATAGTAAATTGTATTCTATGTTTATTGTTTCAGGTCAATTTGTGTCTTCATTAGAGACAGACTAGAGCCCACCATGCAGGAGACATGCCTTAAGTTCTCACAACCACTAGATAGACAGAGGTTTGCTTCTCGGTTGAGAGGTATGTTCTTATATTCTTCATTAAAGGGGCAACAAAGACTGGAGAGGGTAAAACTTTGGAAGTATTTTTCAAAAAGCATGTCAGTGTTTCCCATACACATCTTCATTGAGGTATCTGCTCAAATATAGAATTAATTGAAGATTAAGATGCAGAAATGCACAAATCCATTAGATTTGAAAAGGGGGAGTTCTGTCAGATAACCATAAGATCAAAAGATGTCAAAATAAAGCTATTTAAGGAATTTTTATTTAGAAATAAACAATAGAACTATGAGAGCAGAAATGTTTTAAAATGGAAAAATAAAGAGATTATTATTAGGAACAAAAGAGCATGTAAGAATAGCTCAAGCATAAAACAACTGTGAAGTGTTGATATACTTTTCTGTAGGTTTGAAGGCATTACTGAAGAGGAACTCCTTTGAAGGAAATATATATGTAGTGAAAGGCAGATCAAGATTTACAGGTTAGTAAGGGAGTAAAATGATTTGACTTACAGCTAAGTGGGGCTCAGACACTTTCATGATTTCTCGTGATAAAAACAAACATGAATGGTTATACATGCAAAAGTGCCGAAAGGTAAAATGCAGATTATTACAAAATACACCAAGGAAAACAAACCATTATATCCAAAAGTATGATCTAATTGATAACTTCATTCTCAGAGTTAACATGGTTAAGCTATACATTAAAACTAATTCATAAATAAATGAAAATGTTGCTTTCAGACTCACAGAGTATGATGGAGTTTGAGTATGTGACGTTGAGTGGGTCACTGAGTCTAGTCCCTGCGGAGGTACAGCCCACCCCTCCCTCTAGGAGTAATGGACCATCCACACAAACCAATGGCCACTCTAACTGTACTGTGTTCATAGGAGTTGACCTTCAGGAAGAAGTTCTCAAGAACTGGCTGAGGCAATGTGCTCCACAGGTTTGCAACATCACTTGCTGAATTCAAAATTGCTCTCTTTAGGATCGAGGAGTAATACAAATTTTCTGACCTCTACTCAAACTACTGACTGTATTAATATTTCTATCATGTTATGTCGAAAATGACAAGTGATTTGACGAAACATGTTTTGTGGATTTATTCTTCAGAAAGCTGCTATTTACTAGTTCAGTTTTGTTGTTTGTTTACACCCCCAAAATGCAATCTGATTTTTGACGCCGTTTCAGTGCCAAATTTCGGCACCAAATGGACTGACTAGTTCGGTAGTAAATTTTTGTGTCGGAAGGTTTCGGTGCCGAAACGGTGCCGGAACAGTGCCGAACTTTTTCGATGCCGAAACGGCGTCAAATTATATTGGCTGTGTAGAGATTGGTCATTCACCAAATATGCCATTTACTTTGTAGAAACCTGTTAAGAAGAACCACAAGAAAAAGTTTGATCTGACACCAGCAGAGAAACAGAAGATACATGTAAGTAAAAGCAGGAATTAATGAAAGATACATGTAAGTAAAAGCATGAATTAAAAGTTCACTCACAAGAACATACAACGGTTTTTCAGTAAATGTTTTTACATCTTATCCTTAAATGTTGCCTTTCCAAAATTTTTGAAACCAATACAATTTCTCTATAATATGCTAATATGCAATACTGTGTATTGTATCTTACAGAAGGACCATCACCTAGAGCCTCCCCCTGAAGGATGGTTCTACAATGGAACACATTTTGTCTGTATGACTGGAGAGAAATCTGACAAACACCCTGGTATGCTAAAAAAATTGTTTATGACAGTCTATTCTTAAAGAATTGAAGTCAAGGTTTAATTGGATTGTGTTGCCTTAATACTCCAGTCTAATTTGTCATAATCATGACTTTTTGGAAAATCATACAGTGTGTCTCATTGAACTTTTTGTAAGTGTAACATTTTTTGAGGCACACTGTAGTTATTAATGTCTCATTATTCCTAGCAACATTTAGTGAGATGTTAATTTTACCAAAAAATAAAACTTTTTCTATTTTTTGCAGATATGGATAAATTCATAGCTGATTACCTGACTGAAGTGAACAATAAAATTGATAAACACAATGCTGACATTGATGCTCAAGTATATCTGGATCTCTTTGACTAGTGTACAATGTATAATTTAGCCAATAATGATCAACTGCAGGCATTCACTTTTGGTACAATTCTGTATGAAGAAATGTAGGATTCAAAAGTAATGTCTTAACATTTGTAAAGAATATGTAAGGCTCATTTAAACATAAAGAATGATTAAATGAGTTCCTGTTTTTCGTATATTTTTTGTATTGACATTGTATGTAGAAGAAGATGTTCATTTAAAAAACATTGAAATGATCTCATTCATATTCAGTAAGTTGACAATGAAAATTGTTATGTAGATTCTCTTATAACTATTTTAAATTATGCTCATTGTTGACAGTAGTGTTATTTGGGGGACTAACAAGGTTGTAGTGTTTCTATTTAATTCAGAGCCTAAGACCTCATATGTTGAGATGCCTTAATGTGTAATATAATATCTTTATTATATATCACTGGCATTGACACAGAACACATGATTTTATAATAGTTTAAAAAATGGGTGCCATATTGACACGATCATACCATACACCTGCTGATGGGACGATAACTAATAGAAGGGTTACTAATGTAAGTTAGCAAATGAGTTGACTCATATAATTCATGACTTCAGTTGTAGAGGGACTCTTGCAGAGGCTTAGGAAAGCAGTCGTCCAATGGGGACTAGTACAGTTTCAAAAAGACCTAAGCCTCTGGATACTTAGTTTACCTGTTTAGACTCTGGTGGACACAGGAACCATCAAGATCCGATCATACCATTAGCATCCACGTCGTACCACAGCTAATGAGAGGGGCTACATGTTTGAGCAAAAGAACAAACTCATGAAAAACTAACGACCCATATATCTTATTATTCAAAAAAGTTTTCTTGATGGACCCCCTTTTACTCTTTAAGATAGAGATAAATGTTTACGGAATTTCACCTACATAGAAATTCATTTTCCTGGCTGAACATGCTGTATTGATGTAATTATAAGATTTGAGTTATAATGTCACCACCAGAAATGGTGACATATTGTTATAGTCTGGACAATATTTGGCATTCGGCATCTGTAATATATGGCAGGTACAGGTAGTGATATTTGTTTTTTTAAATACAAGCACGTTAGAAAGTATGAAGTACTTAAGCATTCCTAGTCAAATAAATGTATCTAAAAACATTTTTTCAAAACCAATGTCATTTAATTTATTATAAGTTTGTTTTATATTACACCATGATACTTGTACTCGTCTTTCTTAAACAAGTAATGCTAATGCATATTCTTATTTTTACTTGGCATCAAAACTTGTATGGAAGTCAATCTGTATTTTTCTGGTATATAATGTGTTCCATTGATGTATTTAAATTTTTTATCAACATGATAGTTGTGCTGTCAATCCATTTATTAGTCCGTCCATTCAGAATTTCATTGTAAATTATGCATTGTTATTTTGCTGTGATATTACTTTGATTATTGTGTATATAGATAATAAATAATATTTATAATTGATAAATGTATATATTGTTTAATTTGACCTACAATATTTGCACAAGGTACATTCTACTGTATAGTTGTAAGAAATAAGTAATAAGATTATAGCCTAGTTGTAGAAATAATACTAGCTAGTTATCTTTTATGGATTTTATATTTAACATGTGTACAACACATTTCTTCAGGTACACCTTACTATGTGTACACCTCCTGTCCAATTTTGGTGTTCCATTGCCAATTGATATATTGTCACCACTTTTTGTGAATACCTGGTAATATGCTAGTATGTAGTAAGAGCTGTGTCCAGTATAAAAGCAAAAGATAGGGTCATGTGATGGCATTCTTCCATGCACTTTATTGTATCCAATCCACTCATGTAATACACGCAAATGTATAGCCTATACAAAAGTCACTAAAATTTACTGCTGTGAGTTACAAATGTAAATATCAGATTCTAGATTGATTTTTTTGTTTGTTTACTGTAAATGCTTGTTATTGTATAAAGTTGAATGAAATATAAATTGAATTGCAAAGAAAAACATTAAAATTGTTATACATTTTGTTATTCAAAAGAATGAAAATCTTCAGAATCAATTGGTTACTTCATTTCTTAGTTCATATTGTATGATACTTAACTACCAATTATGTAGGGTTGTAATCCACTTGCATGTTTTATTGCACCATTGGGTACTGTATAGTCATCAGTCATGTGAGAGGGCAGGTTGGGTACTATTTTGTCATCAGTCATGTGAGAGGGCAGGTTTGGTACTATATTGTCATCAGTCATGTGAGAGGGCAGGTTGGGTACTATTGTCATCAGTCGTGTGAGAGGGCAGGTTTGGTACTATATTGTCATCAGTCGTGTGAGAGGGCAGGTTGGGTACTATTGTCATCAGTCGTGTGAGAGGGCAGGTTGGGTACTATATAGTCATCAGTCATGTGAGAGGGCAGGTTTGGTACTATATAGTCATCAGTCATGTGAGAGGGCAGGTTAGGTACTATATTGTCATCAGTCATGTGAGAGGGTAGGTTTGGTACTATATTGTCATCAGTCATGTGAGAGGGCAGGTTGGGTACTATTTTGCCATCAGTCATGTGAGAGTGCAGGTTTGGTACTATATTGTCATCAGTCATGTGAGAGGGCAGGTTGGGTACTATTTTGTCATCAGTCATGTGAGAGGGCAGGTTGGGTACTATATAGTCATCAGTCATGTGAGAGGGCAGGTTTGGTACTATATTGTCATCAGTCTTGTGAGAGGGCAGGTTAGGTACTATATTGTCATCAGTCATGTGAGAGGGCAGGTTGGGTACTATTTTGCCATCAGTCATGTGAGAGTGCAGGTTTGGTACTATATTGTCATCAGTCATGTGAGAGGGCAGGTTGGGTACTATATAGTCATCAGTCATGTGAGAGGGCAGGTTTGGTACTATATTGTCATCAGTCTTGTGAGAGGGCAGGTTAGGTACTATATTGTCATCAGTCATGTGAGAGGGCAGGTTGGGTACTATTTTGCCATCAGTCATGTGAGAGTGCAGGTTTGGTACTATATTGTCATCAGTCATGTGAGAGGGCAGGTTGGGTACTATTTTGTCATCAGTCATTTGAGAGGGCAGGTTGGGTACTACATTGTCATCAGTCATGTGAGAGCGCAGGTTGGGTACTATAGTGTCATCAGTCATGTGAGAGGGCAGGTTGTCTCCAGTCATGTGAGAGGGTAGGTTGGGTACTATTTTGTCATCAGTCATGTGAGAGGGCAGGTTGGGTACGATATTGTCATCAGTCATGTGAGAAGGCAGGTTGTGTACTATATTGTCATCAGTCATGTGAGAGGGCAGGTTTGGTACTATATTGTCATCAGTTATGTGAGAGGGCAGGTTGGGTACTATATTGTCATCAGTCATGTGAGAGGGCAGGTTGGGTACTATATTGTCATCAGTTATGTGAGAGGGCAGGTTGGGTACTATATTGTCATCAGTCATGTGAGAGGGCAGGTTGGGTACTATATTGTCATCAGTCAGGTGAGAGGGCAGGTTGGGTACTATATTGTCATCAGTCATGTGAGAGGGCGGGTTGTGTACTATATTGTCATCAGTCATTTGAGAGGGCAGGTTTGGTACTATATTGTCATCAGCCATGTGAGAGGGCGGGTTGGGTACTATATAGTCATCAGTCATGTGAGAGGGTAGGTTTGGTACTATATTGTCATCAGTCATGTGAGAGGGCAGGTTGGGTACTATATAGTCATCAGTCATGTGAGAGGGCAGGTTTGGTACTATATTGTCATCAGTCATGCTAGAGTGCAGGTTGGGTACTATATTGTCATCAGTCATGTGAGAGGCCAGGTTGGGTACTATATCGTCATCAGTCATGTGAGAGGGCAGGTTTGGTACTATATTGTCATCAGTCATGAGAGAGGGCAGGTTGGGTACTATATTGTCATCAGTCATATTTAGTGGAAAGATGTATATTGGCGAAAAGTTTTATACTATTTTTTTTAATATGGCCACCGCTTAAAAATGGTGGGAATTTTTGGCAAGAATCTAAGTATTTCAGTTTCAACCAAATAAATAACACTGTAACACTGAAATTTTAACAGTACATCACAACATATATCTTTTTTCAAATATATTCTGTGTTCTTCAGCCTAACCTCCAGGGGTCATGTATGGAGGGTCAGAATAGGAATTTTGTCTTTCTGAAGTATAATTTTATACTCAAATGGAAGGAAAGGATGGGCATCGATATGGTGAACTTTTTGAACACACATTTCTCTTAAACCAGTCATCAAAAAATTCTGAAAATTTTACACAGTGTCAATTTAATGGTCATCTTTTGAATGGTAACACTATAATTTGAAATAGATATATATACTTTTCTCTATATTGTTTTAGAAAACACATCTTTTTTGTTTATTTCCTTTTTGTTAAATCAACCAAAATTTCCTTTGTACAACTATAATATTGGGAAGTCTAAGAAAATTTGGTATATGCTATTTCATTCAAACAAGCTTCAGAAAGATATTTTATTTCATTCTCAAGAAATGGTAAAAAGGAACAAAAAACAATTGCATTAAAAAACAAAAAATGTTAACGAAAACAGTTATATAAAATATATATACATGTAAATTATTTTCGCATTAAATTGTTGTCAATCAGTCAACATTACATAATGTTTTCAATAATTGGTTTAAGAGAAAAAACATTGTTGAATTCAGTTGTCCATACCGATACCAATCCTTTAAATTAGATTGCAAATAGTGTTTCATTTTTCTGATCAGCGTCTTGGAAAATTCAAAATGGCCATCTACAGGCTGATGTGAGGTTCGCAATAATTTCATGATCTCTTCAAAGAATTATCCCAGGCATTGTGTGAAATGATTAGAGCAAAACTATAGCAAAATTGTGCCAATTTCCTTTCAACTTGTTAATGGAAATCGTTTTTGCAGAGATTAATTCAAAGTAGTAAGTAAAAGGTTAGTATATAGAGATTATTCTATATGAGGTTCAGGATATTGGGATTATCCCGAGGCCAATATAATATATCTGCCCGAGGGCCGTAGGTCCCGAGGGTAGATATATTATATTGGCCAAGGGATAATCCCAATATCCTGAACCGACTATAGGATGATCTGTTTATCCCATATCAATCACATTGTTCAATTGGCCAAAGTTCAGAAACTTTGCAACCAACCGTGGAATTATTTTAAGATATCCATGTCCAGTTTTGTATTCTTGTCCGTAGCCGGATTTTCCTGTTCAAATCTTTGATTATTAACGGGGCATAGTGCTCCTTCCCTTCTTTAAAGCATCAAATAGATCGCGATTGTCTGCGTTTTTCTCCATTGTCGTTTACAGTATGCGAACGTTACAAAAAAGAACCAATACGGGAACAGCGATTATGAGGTAGCGGGCAGATATACTATATCTGCCCGCTCGGAGCGGGACGTAAAGCTATATCTGCCCGCTGATGAAAATATAAGTTTTTACAAACCGGCTTTATGTACCCGTAACACATCCAAGTTGTGGATAAAGGTATTTATCCCACACTTGGACGTGTTACATGTACATAAAGCAGGTTTGTAAAAACTTGAATTTTCATCAGCGGGCAGATATAGCTTTACGTCCCGCTCCGAGCGGGCAGATATAGTATATCTGCCGGCTACGTCATAATCGCCGCTCGCACATTGATTATTTTTTGTTACGTTCACATAATAAAGTTGTAAATGACAATGGAGGAAAATGCAAACAATCGCTATCTGTTTGATGGTTTAAAGAAGGGAAGGAACATCCGGTTAATCAAAAATTCGAGAAAATAAATGTGGCAATATCTTAAAGAACGGGAAAATCAAGCCACGGCCAAAAAAACAAAACTGGACAATACTGGGCAATATAATATATCTACCCTCGGGACCTACATCCCTCAGGCAGATATATTATATTGGCCTCGGGATAATCCCAATATCCTGAACCTCATATAGGATAATCTCTATTTATCCTATGCCCAGTAGAGTTTTGGAAGGTAAGCTTGTAAGATATATCCTGTATCCTGATTTTGAGGTTTCCATATCCAGAACCTTCATATCTCCCACTCCAGGGCATATCTTCCCATGAAAAAAAATTTAGAAAAAAGATGACAAAAATAAAAAATACCAAGGCATTAACATGACAAAATGTCACCACCTAGTTGCTCACAATATCATGAGTTCAATCTTAAGTCAGATTTGAATTTCTGAGAACTTGTAGATGATTTTGAAAATAAATTGGTCAATTTGAAGCAAGTTGAAAAAATACCCTTTTTTGACCTTAAGAAGGTCATTGAAGGTGAAATCTCCAATCTAAAAATTTGGTCAATTTGAAAAAAGACCTTCTTGACCTTGAGAGGGTCATAGATGGCCAAATCTCTTTCGACCTTCTGGGGTCATTTAAAGCAATTTGGTCAATTTGAAGCTAGTTGAAAAAGACCTTTTTGACCTTTTTTGAACATCAGAAGCTCATTGAAGGTGAAATCTCAAATCAGATTTGAACTTCTGATAACTTGTAGATGAATTTTAAAAAAATTGGTCAATTTGAAGCAAGTTGAAAATACCTTTTTTGACCATAAGAAGGTCATTGAAGGTGAAATCTCAAATCAAAAGTCAGATATGAACTTCTGATAATTTGTAGATGATTTTGAAATTTTTTTGTCAATTTGAAGCAAGTTGAAAAAAATACCCTTTTGACCTTTTTTTGACCATCAGAAGGTCATTAAAGGTGAAATCTCAAATCTAAAATCAGATTTAAACTTCTGATAGTTTGTAGATGATTTTGAAAAAAAAATTGGGTCAATTTGAAAACAAGTTGAAAAAATACCTTTTCGACCTTTTTTTAAAACTTTTTTGACCTTGAGAAGGTCATTGAAGTTCAAATCTCAAATTTAAAGCCAGATCTGAACTTCTGAAAACTTGTAGATGATTTTGAAAAAGACTGAAGTCAAACTAAACAGTGTTTGCTAAGTTATTGGAAGTTGTAAGAATTTGTTACATAGACGCTAACTGCCACCACAAAAAACCGGAGACCATAATCATATGTCACCACTTTTTGGGGGTGATATAAAAATTGAAAAAATTTAGAAAACTACTGGGTATAGGATAAAGCAGCTATGTATGGTCGGTTTGGATATGGGGTTTATCCCTCGTGAGATATGCACATCTACCTTTGGTCCCTCAGGTACAGTGTAGATATAGGGGTTATGCACTGGGAGGTTTTGGATACAGGGAATATCCCGAGGGATATACAATATATCTTCCCGAGGGACCGAAGGGACCAAGGGAAGATATATTGTATATCCCAAGGGATATTTCCTGTATCCAAACCGACCGTGCATAACTGTTGTATTCCATACCTGATGAGGTTTGAAATTATAAGCATGTATCCCATATGCTCTGGTGTGTTTACTTGCAAAATATGTTATCATTTTCAAAAAAATTCAAATTTTTTTTCAAATTTTTTTTTCTCAATTATTTCCATAATTTTTTTTCAGAATTTTTTTCAATAATTTTTTCAATAATTTTTTTCCAAATTTTTATTTTCACATTTTTTTCCCGAATTTATTTGTAAATTTTTTTTTCAAATTTTTTTCAAATCTTTTTTTTAAGCGGGACATACGATTTATATGTCCCGGAGCTCCGTTGGAGCGGGACATACGAAAAATATTTGCCCGGATATGGAATATATTCCCGGTTGATATGTCCCTGAGACCTCATCAGGTATGGAATACATGCATATATCCCTCTGGATAAATCCCATATCCAAAACCTCTCAGTACATAACGGTACCCTTATATATAGATAGAAACAAACATTGTATTTGGCGAGTAACATTTCTCAAAGATATTCTATTTAGTTTTTTATATACTGCAGTACAAATAACAGAATATTAATTATGAGCTAAAGTGAATGGCCATTGAACAATTCGTGTAGGTTAAATTGATCAGTTTATAGAACAGAAAAAGTCAACTTGAACATCTCTGTAAAGAGAAAACTTCCATAAGTGGACCCATGATCCATCCACTAAAGTTATGTTAAATGCACATTGTAAATGGAAAAACTCAGTGACATTTTTAGGATACCAGTAATGTTCCCCTTGCACAGGTTTTACTGTAAATGGTCATAATGGTACAAACTGTCTGTAAATTCATTCATTTACAAATATGAAATGAAAAATGGCAATGTTAAACACAACTAAAACATTTTTACAATTAGAACAATATTCTTGTTACCAGTCTCTTGTATTCCGAGTTGAAAATACTCTACTTTTGAAAATGGTAATATTTGTTAAGGGAAAATGTCAAAAATAAGACTCATAATCTAGGCTATCTTGAATATCTAATAGAATACACTAGGTATACTAATATTGGATGGATTGAAATGAAATTGGCACTTTGCTTTTGCTACTAAGTCCGTTATTAAAATTTAGAAATACTCCATATCATCAGAGTTTTCTTCATCTTCGTCACTGTTGTCATCATCATTGAACAGTAACCATGGAAACAGCCCACCAATACCACCATACCTAGGGGGTGGAGAGTAGGACTGGTACTCTTCATCAGAGTCATAGTAACTTCGTGTCCGTTTAGGAGAGTTCTCAATGGCAGCCAAAGCCGCAGCCCTGTCTTTGGTACCAAGAGGATAATGCTGGAATTTTCTTGAAGCGTACTGGCTCTCTCTGAATTCCATAGAGCTGAATGGTTGGCTTTCAATCACTGATTGATCCATTTCAATTTCTTTGAATGTACTGAGCAAGTCGGTTGGCACATCGAGGATTGAATAATCATGTATAGTGAGAGATTTCTTGGAAGGAGGGGGTGATGGAAAAATTTGACATTCCTGGGTGTTGAAACAGAATATTCCAAAGCAATTGCATGCAGCTGTTTTCAGTGTAACGCGATATTCATCGTTTGGTGTAAAGACATGCGCACTACTACTCTGGAGGTAATCCAACTTCAAATACTCAAACTCATTCTGTATTTTGTGTTTACAAAACCTCAGATTAGTCTTCCTATTCCATGTTTTAGCCGCAGTATTGTAAACTACACAATAATTTTGATCTCTTGCAGCAACTGTAATATTTGGATATGAATAGCTCAAAGAGAGCTTTGAGTGATCGTACATTAATTGAACCATAAAGTCCTTCAGCACTTGGTCAGTCTTCGCTTTAGGACCACCTTTAATGTTGACAATTGTTTCGATTATCTTATCAGACTCTGTGTTGAACTTTAAGATATGGAGTCCACGCTTCTTGGTTCTGTTCTTTGTAGATACAAGTAAGTAAAGGTCACTTGGCTTTTCGCCTGAAGCATGTGAGATTGATATAGATGTTACATTGTTAGGTAATGGAGATTCGTAGCATACTTTCCATTCTTTCTTCTTCTCCACATACCTCATCAACTGAACCGTCTTTTGTTTAGTGTCAGAGTTGGATTTGGAAGGTCTCCCAGAGTAACCTGGTTGATCATAATCATGGTAGTCGCCACACTTTACACATTTCTTCGCACGACCTTTCCCTGACCCCTTAGATTTTCTGGTAGAAGCATTTCTTGTTGTTTTTTTGTTTTCTGCAGTGACAACAACAAAGCAGTAGAGAGCCTGATTGTGTATGAAGACCTCCCTGACATTGTCACTATCAGGTAACTCAGCAAATCTATATGATACTCCAGTATCAAGACTCGTTGCGGATGTAGCAGTGCTGGAAAACCTTGAACAAAAGATGAACCGATGATCGATCATACCCATCAGGGTGCTCCTTCTTTCATAAGTGCCTAATCTATCAGGATGACCCAATGCTTCCTTCTTATCTATAACTATTGTCTTTTCCAACCATTTCTTGGTTGACAAGTCAAATAGAGTCACCTCCTCTGTGTTAGCAACTTGGTCGGCCATTCTTTGAGTTGATCCTGTCAATGCCACCATACATTTATGTGTATGCACCGAGTCTGAAGCTGTCACTACCTTGTCCTTTGCTTTCTTAACTAAGTGTTCGATAGTTGAGAAAGTGGAGCCATCTTTCTTCAATTCTGAGTACTCCAACTCATCAAGTGATTTCCACTCAAATGCACCCACAAGCTCCTCTAACTTTGAGAGACGTTCATCTTTTTTCTCATTCACCCAACGCAACACCAAGCTTATAAGCTGGAAAGTGGAACAGTGACGTACAGTGTCATCTTTCAGCAACTTTGACAGAAACTCAGCAGGGACATTCAGAATTTCATCTCCATTAATGACTACATCGTGGAACCTGTCATTGACTAGACGCTGAGCAACATTTCTCATATTGGTGAGCTCATACAGATTGGCGAGAGCAAGGGTTTCGAGACAGTTACTCAATGTCAGATTCATTAGGAGATGCTGACTACAGAACTCTTGTATATCTTTGATCAACAGAAGAGATGATATGGCAAGAATCTCTTCAACCGAATGTTGAGATATCACCATGTGTCCTGTATAGATAAAATTGATTATCTCATTCAACGAGCTGAAGTCCGTCACAGTATGGGACATATCTATCGTCATTGACCCACTGTGGCTCTCCTGTGCCAGACGTCCTTCCAAAAAGTCACTCGTGAGCATGGTTTGGAAATATGGGCTTTTGGCAGTCATCACACATTTATGAGTAGCCACTTTGTCATTGCCGACCTTCAGATCCAAGTCACAGTTTTCTGGATTATCTCGTTGCTTATTTAATAGTGTCACTAAATCCAGAGCACTCCCCTTCTGATCACTGATGCAGTATTCCATGATACTATAATCCACCTTACTTTGCGTCATCTTTACTTTCAATGCTTAGCCAGACCTGAAAATATAAAAGACCACGTGGAATTAAATAGGCAAGTATCTGATAAAATTAGAAAATAGAAACAAAATGGTCAGTATTGTTATTGAAAATTAGTTGGATTTACACTTGACTATCTTCAGAGCTCTAATATGTAAAATTTTAGACCTCTTAAGACATGTAAGATTACAGTTATGTGTATAGATTAACAATTTATTTCATCATTTAAATATTTTAATGCATAAAAGCTTGCCAATCGCCTTACTGGCATTATAGGCTAAGCTGAACAACATTAATGTAAATGTATGCAACAAGGAAGCATAAAGGCAAGATGGGTAAAAAGGTGGGAAATTGGACAGGCTTGGGTTGTTCATGTGTCATGGTCTCAGTGAGGGAGTAGTGGGAATAGGTAATACTTGCATGGAGGGTCCCATAAAAATATCACTATAATGTTATGTGTTCTTTATCAAAGAGTTGGCAACAAGAGCAAAAAGTTCATTATTTTGTGCTAAGGATAGTATGTCACTCCCATATTTCGAAAATCTATAAATTGATTTTTATTCTTAATGGTTATAGGCTTATAAGTCTAAACAAGTGTGAGAAAAGTGTTTCTATTTTGTGTAATGTTTGGACAAAAATCTTTTTTTGACCTTGAGAATGACATTGAAGGTAAATCTATAGTCAGATTTGAACTGTTGAGAACTTGTAGATAATTTTGAAAAAATAAATTGGTCAATTTGAAGCAATTTCAAAAAAGACCTTTTTGACCTTTAAAAGGTCATTGAAGGTCAAATCTCAAATCCAAAGTCCTTCTGATAACTTGGTTATCAAAAAAATTGGTCGATTTGAAGCAATTTGAAAAAAGACCCTTTTTACCTTTTTTTACCTTGAAAAAGGTCATTGAAGGTCAAATCTTAAATATAAAGTCAGATTTGAAGTTCCGAAAACGTGTAGATGAAAATTCATTGTCCAAATAGCTCTAGTTTGCGATGTCAAACACAGAGGATGACTAGAACAAGTTTAGGAAATAATTCAGAATCTGAGAATCTCCAGTGTCAAAAGAAAACACAACCCTGGAATGCACCAATGAGATGATGTTCAATTTTTGAAATTTTTCTGAAATTTCACAATAATCTAAGCTTAGACTACTTTCCAAACTCCCATGCAGTGTCTCGGAATAGACACTGCGGCGGGCAGATGAAGAAATCATCAAAATCTGGAGAAGATGGTCCCCGTTTTCATCACAGATGTACTCAATTTTCACACAACTTATAAAATATATATTCTTTTACGTTCCCCAATCATTATTTTGTCGAAATGTTTAAAATGAAATATATGAAGAAATATCTGCGGCAGGATTTAGAGTTAAAAGTTTTGCTGATAATGTTTCACCGCACGCACAATCAAACCAATGAACTTTTCTTACAATCACGAGTGAAACCAGCGTGAGATAAGAACCAATCAGGTAAGTTGTTTATTACAAAGTTGCCATGCTTACGATACAAGGGCATAACGCCTGGTACGCACTACGCACTCACAGGCGTACCAGATGGTTTCAAATTGCACCAAAATACAACCAAATTCCAAAATTTTCCTCGGGGGAGAACCCCACAGACCCCCCTGATTCCTGAATGCTTTTTTACTTCTCTCAACTCTTGCTCCCATGCGGGCTCCTGTGGTGGCATACTTAGAAAAATCACATGCTATCTATTGCAAGACTTATGCCTGGCACAACCGTCACCATGTTATTAAGTGTTTTAAAGTTTCGCAAGGATCCTGCCATGACCGTGGTATTGTTATCGTGAAAGCCTGGTATAACCGTGACAATGCTATATTATATTACAATGCATAGGTTCATGGAAGGTCAGGATACTACAATGACCGTGGTAATGTTAAGGTCTTATATGACTGTGGCAATGGTTGTATTGTAAGGCCTGTCATGACCGTGGTAATGTTAAAGCCTGATATGACAGTGACAATGTTCACATTCTTGAATGAGATTAGAATTACAGTTTGTTGAAATGAATTATGAGTTAAAGTAGTGGTACATGTAGTAGTAGTCTAGATTTACATATTTAACGTAGATAAACAATGAAAATTTTCATAACGGTATTCTCATGCTACTAAATGTAATTTAATATAATCATTGTCACGGTCATACTGTGCTTTAACATTACCACGGTCATGACAGGTCTTACAACCATTGCCTCAGTCATATAAGGCTTTTACATTACCACAGTCATGACAGGCCTTGCAATATAGTATATCAATGTCACAGTCATATCAGGCTTTAACATTACCACGTTCACGACAGGCCTTGCAATATAATATAGCATTGTCACGGTTATACCAGGCTTTCACGATAACAATACCACGGTCATGGCAGTATCCTTGCGAAACTTAAAAACATGGTGACGGTTGTGCCAGGCATAAGTCTTGCAACAGATAGGGTCTCAGAAAAATAGCGCTACGGCCATGTGATAAACGATCTGTCCGCCGCAGCATGGGCTCATGGCCGCAGTGACATGTTGAAGACTTCTATCACTGATAAATTATATATCTGCTTTGATGGGCTTATTAGCCTTTAGCAGATTATTGACATAGACATAGGACTGCACTTATCCTGTTCCCGGACTATAGTCCTGTACTGAGCCCATACATTTGCCTGTACGATTGCAACTTGGGAGAATTATCTACGCCCCTTCCACTTAAGAAACCTACCTCAATGCATTCTAGAACTCAAAATGTTACTTCTAATATATTGGAACCGCCGATTGTCTGGGTTATTTGGCAGAACGAGGTCTTTTTGTTTCTTATGGCTCTTTTGGTCGAAGTTCGATTAAGATGGCGGTTATAACGAAATTTCCCGAACTCTTCCGTAATAGCACGAACTTGGTTTTTCGTTACGTCACTTCCGTGTAAAATGGATTTGTTTCCGGTAAGAAACATTGTTTAACCATTCGGTATACAGTTAAGAGCATAGGATGTCGACATGGCAGTAAATATTGAAAATATTGTCCGAAATTTTCGAAATTCCCTCTTACCCGAACTCCTATGCAGTGTCTCGGTATAGACACTGCGGCGGGCAGATTATGAAATCCCCAAAATTTGGGGAAGATAGTCCCCCTTTTTGTCACAGATGTACTTGTTTTTCACACAACTTATAAAATATATGTTATTTTATGTTCATCAATAATTATTTTGTCAAAATATTCCAAAATCCATGAAATATAAGAGCAAATCCCCGCGGAAGGAATTCTGAGTAAAAGTTGTGTTGATAAAAGTTTACCGCACGTGTTGTTTATTAGTTAATACGCGCAATTCAACCAATGAAATTGTCTAAATTTTACAATCACACGACCTGAGCATGGGACTAGAACCAATCACGGCAGTTGTTTATTACGATGTTACCATGCTTACGGTGAGACACCTGCCCGCCGCAGTGACATATCACTGCACGGGAGTTCGCCTCTTACCGGAAACATATCCATTTTACACGGAAGTGACGTAACGAAAAACCAAGTTCGTGCTATTACGGAAGAGTTCGGGAAATTCCGTTATAACTGCCATCTTAATCGAACTTCGACCAAAAGAGCCATAAGAAACAAAAAGACTTCGTTCTGCCAACTAACCCAGACAATCGGCGGTTCCAATATATTAGAAGTAACATTTTGAGTTGTAGAATGCATTGAGGTAGGTTTCTTAAGTGGAAGGGGCGTAGATAATTGTCCCAAGCTGTAATCGTACAGGCAAATGTATGGGCTCAGTGCAGGACCATAGTCCGGGAACAGGATAAGACTGCACGGGAGTTTGGCTACTTTCAACTTTGAATTTTCAGAAAATTTTCATGGATGTCAATGTCATGAAAAATCAGGCGATGAAACATTTTTATTTTTCATACGTTTACAGAATCATGACACATATCACCGAATGAGTCGGTCCCTGTTAATACTCACAAAGGCAGGATATATTTCGAAATGTTTTCTTCAGACGGATCAACGTTGTAGATAAGAGATGAACGTGCTTGGTTTCGTTTGCCAGTTTGCACTCGTTTGGCGCCGGAGAGCTCTCTAACCTGAAGGTGCGATTTATCAGAACTCTTCAAACTGAAGGATTAAACACGTAAACCTCGACGGAAATTCAAACCTCGTAAATGTTGTTTTCTTCCCTGAGATACACTCTGTTATCTGAATTATGGTAGGGAATGTAAAGCTCAAGCAATGTAGTATATTTTTCCTTGGATGGATAGCATATGGATCTTTGTATTTACTAAGAAAACCAGTCGGAATCGTAAGTTCAGATTTTTTTTTCATGTTTTTTTAATTTTCGTTATTTTTAGGCTAGGCTTACCATAGGCCCCGGGCCATAGGCAGTGGTGTAGCCAGGATTTGGTGACCGGGGCTTCTATTTTTATGTTATTCACAACCCCCCCCCCTCATTAGGGTTTCTCAAATAATGCAATTTGTACAATTACACTCCCTCCAAAAGTTTGGCAATCCTAACTAACCTTACTTCCTGCGAAAGCTATTTGGATTTTGATATAATAGCTTTACTCGAGTCTCTAGCTTACAGCTAGACGGGACTTCACTGATTTCGTATGTACTGTGCTACACGCACCTACACGCACCTAGAACTCATTTTTAATAAATTTTATAAATATTTTTAAGAATATTAATCATATTTAGGATGAAGCGTTGCTTGCCTGGATTTAGATATTTCAAAATTTCATTTCGGAGTTTGAAACATGATGAAATTTTCTCGCTGTAGCTAAAAATGGCTTCCGGTTCTGGACGTGAATAAAATTTGAAATTATTCTCGCTTAAAGAAATCAAATATAACAATAGATTCAGACAGGGATGTGAGCTGATGTTCTTCAAATCTATACATAAAGGTATATTTCATATTATTATGCCATATTTACTGTGCGTGTGACACAATGATTTACAATATTTATAATACTAAGGCAGCTCAATCTTCCTCCTCAAAGCCGGAATATAGAGAAGGCTTTGGACCGAAGTAATAATAGCTTTCCCACGGAGCATTTGGACAGCTCAATGATCGTGACCTTTGAAATCGAATTAAGTCGATCCGCGGCTTACTTTTGGTCTCTAACTGTGTCTTACATCAGTATCATCAATCCGTGTAAGTATTGGAGCGCTGGTGTACTTCTTTTTCGATCAAGACTTGTAATTGTTAGTCGAGTGAATCGTTTTACTGCCAAAATCCAATATGGCGGTTTCTGCTCGGACATTTTCGTAAATCTCCGGAGGTTGTCCGAACCTAACTAATTCTCAAAATTCATTTCGTTCGTTGCGTATCTCGCACCTAGCAAACCGCCATATTGGAAATAGGTCTGTAAAACTTTAACTCGATGAACAATTTACAAATCTTGATCGAAAAAGAAGTACTCCAGCGCTCCAATACTTACACGGATTGATGATACTGATGTAAGACACAGTTAGAGACCAAAAGTAAGCCGCGGATCGACTTAATTCAATTTCAAAGGTCACTATTGATCAGCTGTTCACTTCTCCGTTTGAGAGCCATAAGTTTCAAAATCTAACATGGCTCTCGAAGTGAGTAAAACTAACCCATTGGATTATGTATAAAAGCATCTTTAAGTTTGAATTCGTATTTGCATAATTTGTAAAGAAAAAACTATAATGGGAGGGGAAATATAATTCATTTCAATACCTTCATTAAAGTCAGAATCTGATCTATAGGGGGTGACAAAATTACAAGCAACATGTATAATTGACCTACCAATCTATTCCTTACAATATCTAATACAATATCTCCCAAAAGATTCACAACATGTTATAAATTGGTGAAGTTATTAATGATTCAAAGTGCAAAAATGAGTGGAAAATGTTTAAATTCTCCCAAATAATAAGAATTGTAACCATTCTTAGAGAAAAAATAATACATTTTTGTAAAATTCTTTAGTTTTCCTGGAATAAAGTATGCACTGCTTTGATTTTTAGAAAATAGACATGACAAGGAATGACATGAGAAAAGTCTGAAAGTAATAGGCTTTATCAAGAAACCTCTCCCATTGAAATACAACGTAAAAATGATTTTCAAAAATGACCTTGTAGCTTTGTAACTTTAATGTTCACAAAGTAAAATAAACAGGCAACGTGCAAAAAATAGTCGGACAACTTATAATTAATTTTCTGCATCAAAATATATTTCGGTGAATCTTTTACTGAATACATATCCTGAAATCTGATTTGCCCGAATCCACCATTATTTCGACTGATTTCTAGAAGACCCTGGAGCATGATTTGTTTCCATGGTATATCAACTATTTCGCACAATTTATTCTTTAACTTAAGCTAATCCATCTAGGATAAAATAAATCAACTCATGCAATGGCTTATCATTATTTTTCAGGAATTTTGTTGGAAGCCAGTTCGGATCAAATGCAAGCTTATTGAAATTGACGCAAACACCCTATACTCCGAAAGATCGTTCTTCTATGATAACTTTTAACAACGCATACACGAAGGCTTTATAAACTTTCCGGGATAGTAGTATTCTGATGAAATATCTATTATTCAAATAAGTGGGTCTCGGTTATGCTTTGTTTTAAAAAGTTAAAAATATTTCTTTGGACGTCCCCGGAGCTCAGTGGTAAGTCCCCCAGAGCAGATCAACCGCAATTGATAATATTTATTATTTATAAATACAAGCGACTGTTATTTTGTTAAGTTCAGATGACTTGATAACAAATTAGGCCTTCATTATTTGAAGATTAATACCATATGATTTTTCAATGTTTTTTATTATGTAATTTATTCGCTAAACATATCGTGACATTAACATGAAAATGGAGTAAACTTGAACGATAACAATTTGAATTCTATACAATCTCTTAGATGAGTGGAGTGTATCTGAAAAAACAAAATCATTTTTTGCAATGATTGATTTTTTTTGGAAAGTGATGGGTATAAATAAATACTGAACAAATGAAAGAATGAATGAATTTGAACAAATGCTTGGGTTTATAAATGATATAGGCTTTTAAATAATTCATTTCACAACGTTTTTAAATATTTAACGCAATTGGTTTCGGGGACTTGCCAGCCCCAGGTACGTCCCAAGAAATATTTTAAATTTTAATCGAAATAAAACAAAACAGAGATGTACACATTTGAAACAACATCTATTCCAGATATTTATTCGTCAATGCTGTAAAAATCATTCGGAGTATGGGACGTCTGCATTGTTTTCAAAAACTTTCAATAACTTCGTATTGGACCAGAACTGGCTTAAAACAAAATTCATACAAAGGACTGATTTAGCCATTGCCCAAGATGGGTTATTTTGTCCGAGAAGAAGCATGTTTTAAGCTAATTGTCCGAAAATATTGTTATTTCTAAATGTAAAATCTCATGCTCTGGGGTTTTCCCAAAATTAAATCTCATCCCGTACCTTAGGTTGCCAAACGTTTTGAGGGAAGTGTAAATTCACTATGACATGTTTTTAAGAAAATAAGGCTCTCGTGTTCACCATAACAAATATCAATTCATTTACTGCTCATATATGTAGTTTTCAAATAGCACAGTAATTTAATGATTCTGGTTAGATGCATTTTTTCCGCAGAATGATATTTTGGGAAATCCCGACCGGGGGTTCGTTCGAACCCACCGAACCCCCGCTGCCTACGGCTATGCATAGGCCAAGGGTAAAGTAATAGTACGCCGTATATAGAAGAGACAGGTGAACAAGTCTGACTTAGACCACTTAGATTTCAACAACATGATAGAAAATTGATAGTTTGTAGCTCTTACACTCTTTTTTTTATTCTGTGAATCAGTTCATATGGTTAAAATAACGAAAGAATGTGATGTAACCATGACGTGTCTACTTACCAGCTTGTTCTATGTCATCCATCGGACTAGGTTACATTGTGGAATGCAGCCAAACAGGACACTGAAGGCAACAGCATATCGATCTTGATCTTAGCCAAATTTTTGGAAATTTAGATCGTCCATTTTGCAAGCTCAAGTGACTGACACGTGACACATGTCTGATCACGTGACTAGTTACTGTATCGATCATGTGACTTAATGACGTGTCACCCAACCATGTCTTCAAGGAAAACAGAAGTAAATATTTTGGAAAATGTTTTCCGAGCATTTGCTACTGATTATAGAAGGCCCAATTACGCAACGAACGAAACTGCTAAATTGTTTTTCGTGCCTAACAGGCGCAGAACGCAATGAAAGAAATTGCTAAATTGTATTTTTAGTCTGCTTATTGATCTATTGATTCATAAAGACCTGAAATGATGCATTCAAATAAGACCGCCTCCTAAATGAAAACACTACACATAAGGTGAATAACAACGAACTAAAGTTGAAAGATCGCAACGTTCGCTACTTTGTTCAATTCCGGAAATCTCCAAGGGGCTGCAAATGGGAAATTATTTAGATTTTATAACCTCAGAATACTGCCTTCAGTGTCGTGTTTGGCTGAGTTCCACAATGTAACCTAGTCCGATGGATGACATAGAACAAGCTGGTAAGTAGACACGTGGTTACATCACATTCTTTCGTTATTTTAACCATATGAACTGGTTCACAGAATAAAAAAAATGAGTGTACCTAAGATTGAAACTCAGTGATATATAATGAGTAATGCTGTCTAAAAGAGAGAATTTGTGCAAACTAAGTAAGGCTAGGCCTAGAATTGTACATAAATGACATTTGTATATATTCGATTTACTTCCTGCGAAAGCTATGTGGATTTTGATTTAATAGCCGTTGGAGAGCCATAAGTTTCAAAATCTGAGTAATCTTGGATTGCTTCTAGTTTGGCTAATAAAGTATGTGGCCTCTTTAATATTATATTTTGATGCTTCCCCCAATGCTTCTCTGCCATAGTTTTTTCAAAGATTAACATGGCTGAAATTCTTTAGATTACAAGAGGGCATATAGGCTATTGCACAAAAAAACTTAATAATCTGAATTATACAAATGTCATTCATGTACAATATGAATATACTTTTCCATATATTATTGCACAAAGGTCTCCTGATTTCTTATTTTTGGGGTTCTACTGACGAAATAAAACAGTTAGAATGGGCTTGTTTTAATTATTGTTTTTGACTGAGTTGGAGGCACTACGAAAGTATAGTGAAGACCATTCCATTCAGGGATTCTAATAGGAGACTAATAGATAACTATCAATAGAGATCATAATGGATGGTTACTGAACACAGCTAGCTCAAAGAGACTTCTGTCAGCTCGGTAGAGTAAATGGATGGTGTTCACAATGACGGAAAGGCTCTGATTCAATTTACTCACTCCAGACCCCAAGTCATATTAATGCTTATGATTTACTCGAGTCTCTAGCCAAGACATGACATGTGGACCTAACATTCTATCAAATATTCTGTTTGCTATAGACCAATAGCATGTGTCAAGAAGACCTTGAATATGGGTAGATTTGAGGTGTTTTAGCCTTTAAGTTTCTTTGTCAGTGGGCCAGAATAACTGCAAGAGATCGCCAGTAATAGACTGCAACAGCAGTTATATAGTGTACCATGTACGGTTATATCAAGACAACCACGAGTCCGTGAATCATTGACACAGTTAAACTGTAAACATGCGGTTTTATCTAACCTCAGCTGCAGTAAGAATCTTAAAATCATAGATTCAAAAATGTAAAAAATAAAAAGGGGGACGTCCATCCTTTCAATTGCTTATTTAGAAGTCTATTTGCAAGTATGATTGGTGGTATTCATCAACAAGTTCATATATTTTAAGAAAATAGGTATGGCTAAGAAGATATAAGGCCAAACGTTGCACTAATAACTCATGAAAGCTAAAATGACTCCCCAGTTTCCTCTATTGTCTTTACTGCACCTTTAAGTAGCAATGTGCAGAGAAAAGGAAATGAGTAGAACTGCTTGGAGAATGAAATGTTGTCTTCATTTCATTAATAAATTCCAAAATTAATATAATACAAGATGTTGGCAGGTGTTTCATTCAGCAATAACATGTTATCAGACATTTTGTATTAAATTGCCAATTACAGTTTCTAGTTAATATTCTTGGGACAAATACTACATTCACATCCAATGAAATAATATTTAAAAGTATATCTACTTCAGAAATATAGACCTCAGAACAGGTGTTATATCGACTAATAGACCCCGCAGGGCTAGGCTCAAACGTTTTCTGCATCCAAAAAAGGAATGAGGGGTTCGAAAGCTTTTTGTGTCCTAAGGGGTGTATTTGTTGATATTACACCTTCTCTGCCCAGCCTATTGCCAGGTATAGTCAGTCTATACCAAAAGTATACTAAAAGTATACCTTGTTGATAGGTCTATACTGATACCAGACTGATACCATACCAATTAATAGGTATATATACTGAATATAGATCTGTAAATAGGTATGAAGATACTGAATATACTGAAAGTATACCTGTTTTACTTATGATTTTCAATAGTATACTGAAAGCATACCAAACAAACTCTGATAAATACTGAATATACTGAAAGCATACCAGTTTTACTTATGATTTTCAATAGTATACTGAAAGCATACCAAATAAACTCTGATAAATAATGATTAGACTGAACGTATACCAGTTTTACTTTATCATTTTATAATATAAACGGCAAATGCAAAATTCATGATAAAAGTCAACAATTATTCATATGTAAGTTCTATTTTATGACCATTTGTTTCCACAACCTGTCCTACCAGACTAGGTGGCAGGGGAGCATTCCTGCTCATAATTACATTGAATGTTTTATACATTGAAAACACAAAAAATGAGAGAAAGATATGAAAGATACAGTCATAGTAAAATTTAAAAAAAAATACAGTTAAAATTTGAAAATTAAAACTTTGCATCAAAAATACATCATGAATAAAATTTGAATATAGTTAATATAAGAATATTAATTTATTTGTGGTATGTCTTTTAGAAGTCTTCATAATCCTGCATCTAATTAATTAGATAATGTAATGCTAGAAAATAAGACTGCTATCCAAATTACATGTACTAATTTTTCTCATCTGCAGAATGATTTTAAATTTAAGGTATCTCAATGGTAGAGTCATATTCATCCATATCAGTCTACAGACTGACATGTTAAGACTGTCAGTATAGACTAAATGTCGACCTATAGGTATATACTGATACCATACTGAGAGTATACCTATACGTATATACTGAATGTATATCCATTGGTATAAACTGAAATTATACTGAAACCATACTGTCATGTATATACTGAAAGTATACTGAATGTATACCTATTGGTTTATACTGAAAGTATACTGAAACCATACTGGTAGGTCTAATTACCATAATTGAAACATACCTGTCAATGGAATCATAACATGGGACATATACTGAAAGTATACTGAAACTAGACTAAAAGTATACCTGTCAGTATATACTGACCATACCTGGCAATGGGCTGGGTGAGGTTTATAAATACGATTCAAACATGAAACTCACCAAGATGTTGATGGATATACCCCGGCAGGGTGAAATGATGCCATCGTTCACAGTTTATAGAAGACGCCATGAATACAGTCATGTTGGAATATCTTTTATTGACCCCCATTCTCAACATGGAGTATAAAATCCTAATATTTTTATCAAAATTATTATTTATCATTATCATTATTTCATCTTTTTGAGTTAGCAAACAGATTCACAACAGAATTAATTGCATGTCATTTTGACAGGGTCAACTTTAAGTTGTTGTAATGCATGGAGATCACCCAGGGGAGATCGCTGTATATACCTACAAGTCCTACAACATCTACTGTACATTGACATTTTCAGGTGAAGAGTGATTTAGAATCAGATTTACACTTCTCCAAGTCCAAACTCGGGTGTCTAGACACTGCATTCCTTCTACCATATGCTGTTATACAGGTATTTATTTGAAGAAACTTGTCCTTGGTTTTCAAGACATGGAAAAGTCATCCCATCATTGCTAGTAGACACACCTTATAGTCTATTAATAATGTGCAAAAATCTTTCTATCAGATCACCATTTATCTATTTTTCAGATATTTCTTGGTCAGCTTGGTGAACGATTTGGAGCAGGAAAGACATTTGGCATCTGTATGTGTCTCTCAGGCGTATCTATGGTACGTATTCAATAGAATTCTGTATGAATAAATACTCATAAGCATTATACATGGCACATTCTCATAAGACATTTTGGCTAGAAATGGCCACCATTTTTATGTGTGTTATTTTACGTTTTGGGCCATTTTGTTTATATTTGATATGTGAATGCTCATTCGCATGGCACACTGTCCTATGACACTTTGACTTTGGTTGTAGCTGGCTCAAAATGGTCACTATTTTTACTGTATGTGTTATTAACATTTTTTACTGTAACTTAAAAGGTAGTGCAGTGATTTTATTTGCGCCTACTTAGAAGCATTACATTTTCTTATACCAACTTGTTGAGTGAGTGGCCATTTTTATTTGTGTTCTTTTACAATTTTTGCTATAACTGAAAAGGTAATGGGGGATTTTGTAAAAATGGCAGCAATGGCTGTTGTGTTGCTGTTATCTTGTTACATTTTCTTTACATTTCTAATCAGGTGATGTTTGGCCAAGTCAGTAATTATTATGTGATGCTCACCTTGCTCTTTCTGAGTGGATCTTCCCAGTCATTATGCTGGCCTAATGCTACGAAGGTGGTTGGTGCGTGGTTCTCAGAAACTGTAAGGAACTCGATGTTTGGGGCGTATGGAATGTGTGGATTTGCTGGAGGATTAGCAGGAACATCAATAGCAGTTTGTATTAAAATCTTATATTTTGTAAATGTATCATAGAAATGAATGCAATGTGTCATTCAGATTACTTAATACTGACAAGACCTATCCAGAGGTTGTGGCTGTTAAGATTATTTTACAACATTGTAAATCGATACTGCAAGTCAAAATTTAAAGTGGAAGCTTATATTTGTCAGAAGTCTATTACATTTCTTACTTCATTTCAGGAGAATTCTGGAGCTTCAATAAGGTGTTTTCAGTCCCATTCTCTTTTCAATATTCAGGCTCTGAGAAATGCTTTCATTCACTCTTAGCACAATGTATTGATTTAGATGTCTTGTGTTTTAGGTTTACCTCCAAGTGCATTATGGCTGGAGAAGTATGTTTTTCACACCATCTATAATTGTGGTAGGTTAATATTCCTACAAGACCTCAAAAGTGTCATACGTGTTGTGTTGTGCCATTATCTTCTCAAAATGGTGATCTTCCGCCTGCTAACAGTATTGTAGCAACAATATAATGGCAGTTGAAAATTTGATTTTCTTTTCTGCCTGAAAGCTTTCACCAGAAACAACTTTTGATTGGCTATTGAGAGTGACCTTTGATGGATAAATACATTGTAAACTTCATGTGTATTTTCTATTTTTCTACATGAATAAATACAATTGTAAACTTCATGTGTATTTTCTTCAAGGATAAATACATCGTAAACTTTATGTGTATTTTCTTCATAAATACATTGTAAACTTCGTGCATATTACTTTGTTTCAGATTGGTCTTGGTATATTAGTGACCTTAGTGTATAGGCTCCCCATGGAACAGGCTAATTTATGTTATCTCACGGAAGACCCTTCAGCCACCACAGCAACTAAACAATTAACAGATCACACTCCACAACAATACAGCTTTATAACTCTGCTCAAAATCAGGTAGACCTAAAAATAAGTCACATGACAGATTGTCTTCAATGAATGATGGGACTTATTGCGGTCAAGGTGGGTGGCTTGAGAATAACAGAGGTGGTAGGCCTTAAAGGAATATTCCTTTTCAGACCATTTCTCTCCTGATATTGTAGCTACAACCATTATATACTTTCCATATTATGCAAAACACGGGAGAATGTTTCGATATGGTCAACATTGATCATTTTAATATGTAGTGCTCATTTTTAGTGGTTTACCATCTTTTAGATTTTAAACAGGAAGCCGTTGACTCTTTTATAACATTGCCCATAACAGTATTGGAAAGTAGCCCAAAATAGTTTCTAGACACCTGGCTCTTACTTTCTGCGCAAAAGAATAATTTCAGTGCTTGTGAACTTAGAGTTATCTTAGAGATTATCTCAAGGATTAAATCATTGACAAAATTGAAAAAGCGTATTCAGCTGGTTTTGTAATTCTTAAATACCTCCTTACTTAAGCAAATTTGAGAATCTTGAAAGATGGCAGCCCATATAAGGAGAGAAATGGCTTGGCAAGAAATAATTCTTTAAGGTGGCCAGATATGGGTGATTTAAAGATGGCTAGAGGTAGGTGGACAGGGTTGGGACAAGGTGGGCAGAGATGGGTGGCTTTTAGGTGCAGAGGTGGGTGATTTAAAGTTGTGAGATGTAGGAGATTTAAGGTGGATGGCCTTACGGTGGGCTGGTTGGTTGACTAAAGATTGACAGAGGTGGGTGGTTTAAGTCTGGTAGAGGGGATGGCTCAAGGTGGACAGGGTTCGGTGACTTTAGAGGCCAAAGGTTGGTCGATCTAAAATAGGCAGAAGTGGCTGGGGCAGAGATGGGTTACTTTTGGACATCAGTCCCTATGTAAAACTTAAGTTGTTATTCATAAGGGTTGACATCAAAAGTCCTAACAACATTATTTCTGAAAATTATCTATGTTAACACTCTCTTATATTTTCATAAAGTATTTGATTTTAAGGCATCTCAAAATCTGTATTATTTGTGTCTGTTTGCTTGCTGATTCCAAAGTTTTTATGTCACCACCAAAAGTGGTGACATGATGGTCGGCTGTAACAAATTCTTACAACTTCCAATAACTTAACAAATACTATTTAGACTGACTTCAAATGTTTTCAAAATCGTCTACAAGTTCTCAGATTTGAGATTTGACCTTTTCAAGAGAAGGTAAAAAAAAAGATGAAAGGTCTTTTTTCAACTTGCTTCAAATTGACCAAATTTATTTCTCAAAATCATCTACTAGTTCTCAAAAATTCAAATCTGACTTTAGATTAGAGATTCGACCTTGAATGAGCTTCTCAAGTCAAAAAGGTAATTTTTCAACCTACTTTAAATTGATCAAATTCTTTTTCAAGATCAGCTACAATATTTTAACTCATCATAATGTGAGAAGCTGGTTGGTGATATTTTGTCTTGTCAATGCCTTGTTCAACTTCACCCCACGCAGACTGAGCCTGTGGGAAATACAATTTTATTGATATTAAGTGTCAACTACACATATATGAATATATTTGAAGATACAAAATGGCTTAGTTTCAGATATATCGCAAATTTAAATTCAAAAATGACCATTACCTCTGCACCGAATGCTCATTCCTACCGCACCAAATATTTCCCACAGGCTCCGTCTGCATAGGTTGAACTTTATTTTGTTCAAACAACATGATAACAACAATCTAATTATTGTATATTTAGTACAGTGAAGGAGGTGGCATTTGGTGTCCTGTGTTTGAAGGTGGTGAGATATACCATGTTTCTATGGTTACCCATGTATCTGCTAAACCAGGTAAGAATTCATGATCCCAACTCTCAAGTGAAATGTTACTGTAAAATTAGACAAAATCATCAAATCATATTGTTATGGTCTCCAACTTTTGTGATCGGGATTGGCATCCAGCGTCTGGCAATCGGTGTTTGGTGTGTGTACAAATGGCAGGTGATGACATTTTGCATGTTAATGCCTTGTTTAATTGCTAGAATTGCATTGATTGAAAAAGTGCAAAACTGAATTGTAGATGTACATTAGTGTACATGTATAAAACATGGCTGCAAATACTTTGTTTTATGTGATAAATGTAATTTTTTAAAAAAGACCATACATAGTAAGAAAACAAGACACACTAAGGCCAGATTATTATTCCTTTGATGCAAATATGATGAAATATAAAATAATACTTTTAACATTTTCTAAAATTATTCATTTTTCTCTTTGTTTCAGCTAAACTATCCAAAAGAACATGCAGGTCTGTTCTCTATGGCATTTGAGGTTGGAGGTCTAATTGGTAGTCCCCTCATAGGCATCATTCTAGATAGGTATGTCCATATTACTTCATGTTTCATTGGGGACTTTGTGAGCTTAAACATTTTCTAAATTATGTAATACATTACAAGTTCTTTAAAAAACCTCAAGAAGTTAAGAGAATGACATATTCATCTATAGCTATACATTGATGGGTGGACTAGTGGGAGAATGTATATTATATTATCTTGTTGGCACATTTTCACACATTGCCATTGTTTTAAATGTAAAAAAGTTATAAGGACATTAATAAAGCTAGAAATGTAGATATTTAAAAAACATTTTAGGTGATTTTTATGTACAATATTGTTCACCATGTGCTTGTTGTACTTTCAGATATTTCCAACACAACAGTCTTACTGGGGTGTCATTAAGTATATTCCTGAGTGCAATAAGTCTTATTTTCTACTCAGTGACTTCCTCATGGGGCATGATATTCAATACAGTATTCATGCTTCTAGCTGGAGCCTTTAACTGTGGACCTGATTCAATTCTCAGTACGTACATTGTCTTCATTACGTTAGAATCTTGTTTGTCTGATTGTATGAAAGGTCAAAGTAAAATCGATTGATTGAATGGATTGTTTCAACTTTAAATGGTCCCAAGTAAATCCATAGTATACTTAAGCTAAATATAGTATGGCCATTTTCAGTGTCATTCATGGTTAGTGAAATGCAATGATATACCATTTGTTATATCATGATTCTAAAATGGCGCTATTGTTAACCCTGATGAACATAACCTTTTGAAGATGCAGTTTCCATTATGCTGTTCTCCAGTATTTCATGTCAACTGACACCAAATTTCAGTATTTTTGTACCAAATGTAAATGCATAAGGAGTATACACGTGAATTGTAAATTACCACATGACAAGTTTTTCAGTTTATTTATCCAACATGTTTTCATTATTCTGCTGTTTCCAGCTGGGTCTCATCCAAACAAACTGTCAGCTATGGTAGCAGGTACAGGTGGAGCAGCTATAGCAGGTGTTGTAAATGGTAGGTTGCCCTTGTTGTCTTATAGCAGGTGTTGTAAATGGTAGGTTGCCCTTGTTGTCTTATAGCAGGTGTTGTAAATGGTAGGTTGCCCTTGTTGTCTTATAGCATGTGTTGTAAATGGTAGGTTGCCCTTGTTGTCTTATGGCAGGTGTTGTAAATGGTAGGTTGCCCTTGTTGTCTTATGGCAGGTGTTGTAAATGGTAGGTTGCCCTTGTTGTCTTATAGCAGATGTTGTAAATGGTAGGTTGCCCTTGTTGTCTTATAGCAGGTGTTGTAAATGGTAGGTTGCCCTTGTTGTCTTATGGCAGGTGTTGTAAATGGTAGGTTGCCCTTGTTGTCTTATGGCAGGTGTTGTAAATGGTAGGTTGCCCTTGTTGTCTCATGGCAGGTGCTGTAAATGGTAGGTTGCCCTTGTTGTCTTATGGCAGGTGTTGTAAATGGTAGGTTGCCCTTGTTGTCTTATAGCAGGTGTTGTAAATGGTAGGTTGCCCTTGTTGTCTTATGGCAGGTGTTGTAAATGGTAGGTTGCCCTTGTTGTCTTATGGCAGGTGTTGTAAATGGTAGGTTGCCCTTGTTGTCTTATAGCAGATGTTGTAAATGGTAGGTTGCCCTTGTTGTCTTATAGCAGGTGTTGTAAATGGTAGGTTGCCCTTGTTGTCTTATAGCAGGTGTTGTAAATGGTAGGTTGCCCTTGTTGTCTTATAGCAGGTGTTGTAAATGGTAGGTTGCCCTTGTTGTCTTATAGCAGGTGTTGTAAATGGTTGGTTCCCCTTGTTGTCTTATAGCAGATGTTGTAAATGGTAGGTTGCCCTTGTTGTCTTATAGCAGGTGTTGTAAATGGTAGGTTGCCCTTGTTGTCTTATAGCAGGTGTTGTAAATGGTAGGTTGCCCTTGTTGTCTTGTAGCAGGTGTTGTAAATGGTAGGTTGCCCTTGTTGTCTTGTAGCAGGTGTTGTAAATGGTAGGTTGCCCTTGTTTTCTTATAGCAGGTGTTGTAAATGGTTGGTTGCCCTTGTTTTCTTATAAGTCCTGGTTATTATTCTTTTGTATGCACTCTATACCTGAAAGTATAATAATGTTATAGTATGTGAGTTGTTGGGTAGATCAAATGTAAGATAAGCTATAGTTCATAGTTGACCTCCTAATTATCTCTTCTGCATACAATTTTCATTTGGTTATCTTAACTTCCTTCTTTATCTTAGTTTGTTTCTGAAAGTGACATGATCAATAAATGGCTTTTGACTGATCAGATGATAATATGACATGATGAATGTGAATTTGTAGACCAAAAATAGAAGTTCACCCCTGTGAAGATAAGGAGGTTATTCCCTTTTTGGTTTTAGGCCAATATAAACATGGTAGTAGTGTAGAATTTATATTTTGATGATTCCCTGAGTAGAGGTGTCATCATCGTGAGATATCACAGCCTTCTCTCAGTTTCCTTCTAGAACGCCTTGTGCATAGCAGAGATGGTCTGAGTATCAGAATGAGGTGTCATGGGTCAGATATTTTTGGGTCGGGCCAGAAAAAAGTGTGCGGGTCGGTAATTTCAGGTCAGGTCAAAAGAAAACAGAAAATGAATTTGACTTTGTCGAACCATCAAAGTTTTTGATAAGATCTTTTGATAACATCATTACTACATATTTTATAAAGAAAAAAGGGGATAGGAACTTAACATTCAATCAATCAGGAAACCCTTTCCATTCATTTGACTTCACTCTTTCAGTTGACAATAAATCTCTGATCTCATCGAGCCAATTAGAGTTTGTCCTCGAAATACAGACAACTTTCATTCATCTGACACTCCCGCATAGTTAATGAGCACTTATTTAGCATGGGTTCCTTCCACTTCGCTGATTGGTTGAGAAAGGGTCAGCGTTGTAGATTTAAAATGATTTATTACCCGGGCTGTCAAAGGCACCAATCTTCGGGTAGGACTGCTAAACTGTAATATAGTCTATACTAGGCAGAGGGTAGTTTATAGCTAGACTCTGCATGCAGGGTGCATTCAGGAAGAAGTATAAATCATTTTCTGTTTTTAATTTTTACATATATAACAAATAAGCCAGCTAGAAGTTTGAATTTTTTGCCAGGAATATAAAGCATTTTACAATACACTGTAATTCACAATATTCCTGGGTGTTCTGACCCGACCCCAAATTCGTAAGAACTTGTTCGTGACCCGACCCGAGCCTTATGACCTGAGATTGGATCAACTTCGGGTCGGTGTGACACCTCTATCTCTGAGGATATTAAACCTGCACATCGCTCCAAAACGCAATCTTGGGTTGTTTCGGGGTTGAATTTTATCATTTTGAGCTTAATGAAAGATTATAGAATGATGAACAAATGGGGCAAATCTTGTGTACAAATACTCACGATAAATGTGTCATTACAAAGATTGTTCATTGAATTGCTTCGATTGTCGACGACGATATGATTTTTGGAAGGTTTCTAAATTAAGGAGGTGACGTCACTTCTGAATTATAGCATTCAACATAAGTAGTGGGTGGACTGTCCTGCTATTATCTAACTTGAAGCCTATGGCAATTCTTTAGACATTTGTGAATTTCGAAAAAATATGAATTCTAAATATGTATGTTTTATTCATTTTCAGGTTTCGGAAGCTTAGGTACAGTTGTACAAGGACCAATTATAGGCTTTGTGTCAGAATTGTATGGCTTTCAAGCCATGTTTTACATCATGATAGGACTGTCGCTCACTGGTGCATATACTGTTTACACTGCTTCTCAACAACTACAACACCTGCAAAATACAGCTGCAAAATATCACACAACAGTTCTATGATGCATTGGGGCATATACTGTATGCAATAAACAAATTGCAGTAAAACTTGTCTAATCTGAAAGCCACAGGGACCAGCCGGAAGTATTTGGATTGGCAGGTGTTTGCATGATGAGGTTTTTTAACATGGAGTTGCATGGCAGATTAAACAATGGGAACAAAAAATATTCACATTTAAAAGTGTTCAGATTAGAGAGGTGTTCTGATATATACAGGTTTTAATAATTTAATAATTTAATTTAATTATTCAGAATGCATTACAGTATATCATGCATGCACTGTTGAATATTGGAGAAACATTCTCATTGGTATATTTTATTACAAGAAATACATTATATCTGGAACTGGTACATGTGTTGTAGTATATTATATTATATTATATTATGGTGTATTTATTTTTGGCTCACGTGATGATTCTTATGGAATCACCCACTCATCAGTCTGTCCATCCGTCTTTATGTCAAAAATCTCAGGCACTTGAAATTCGCATTCATCTGAACTGATTGTCATTTACCTTATTTATAATATTATTATGTGAAATCAAAATGATAGTTTACACCATCAGTCATGGCTCCTCCCTTTGCCTCCTTTTTGTTGTCAAAATGGGCATAAGAAATGACCATGTAAACCAACTGAATTCATATCTGGTACATATGGTGTTCAATAAGTACTTATCAAAATGCTGTAACTTTTTAATTGTTTCATACATCTGACTAATGTTTCAAGTGTGCATTGTTGAGTATTATACTGATGTACCTTGTAAGTTACCGGAATATGCTCCAACAGGAATGTGGTGCTGGGTTGAGCCAAAGGTGATTAGTGATGGATCAGGTCTGCAAAAAAAAGTTTCAAAATGACCAAATAAAAATGTGAATGTTGCTCCTTAATCAACTGTTTGCACACCAACTTGTCACACATCGATGTCATTTCTAAATCATTATGAAAATCATGGTGTGAGGGACCAGTTCTTGAATCAGTCTGGTTTGCAATTTTTCTGATAGGAATCCATTCAATATATCTTTTATTGCATCAATCTGAGGAGGGGAAGTTACAGCTTTTGTTCACCCTGTCTGGGTTCATCTTCAACTGACTTCTCCCTCTTTGAAATAGATGACCCAAAGATATATGCCAGGGGTAGATAATAGTGTCCTTCCCATGAGCTTCATGAATGTCCTTTATTGTATCCTATTTTGATATACCTATGTATATATATTGATAAATTATCTGATCTTAATTGCTCTGTGGTGAAATTGTATTCTTATGAATTGCTCCTTGATGTCATTTCCACTTTGCAATTTGCTCTTTGATGTCATAAATAGGTCTTGCCAAAGTATCTCAGTACCAGTGTTTATTTACACACCGTCAAAATTGATTCAAAAATAAAATTATGTATGAAAATGTTCACATTTCAAGTCAGTTATTTTGGATTTTTTTTGTGCAGAACTGAACCACCACGAACCACCTTATGCTCAACCCAGTACCACCTTCCTGTTAGGGTAACTCGCCATTTACACTATCACCATATACACTATCACCATATACACCATCACCATATATACTATCACCACATACACTATCACCATGTACACTATCACCATATACACCATCACCATATACACTATCACCATGTACACTATCACCATATACTCTATCACCATATACTATCACCATATATACTATCACCATATACTCTATCACCATATACTATCACCATATACACTATCACCATATACACCATCACCATATATACTATCACCATATAGACTATCACCATGTACACTATCACCATATACACTATCACCATATACACTATCACCATATATGCTATCACCATATAGACTATCACCATGTACACTATCACCATATACACTATCACCATATACACTATCACCATATACACTATCACCATATACACCATCACCATATATACTATCACCATATAGACTATCACCATGTACACTATCACCATATACACTATCACCATATACACTATCACCATATATGCTATCACCATATAGACTATCACCATGTACACTATCACCATATACACTATCACAATATACACTATCACCATATACACTATCACCATATACACCATCACCATATATACTATCACCATATAGACTATCACCATGTACACTATCACCATATACACTATCACCATATACACTATCACCATGTACACTATCACCATATATGCTATCACCATAAAAACTATCACCATATACACTATCACCATGTACACTATCACCATATACACCATCACCATATATACTATCACCATATACACTATCACCATATACACCATCACCATATATACTATCACCATATAGACTATCACCATGTACACTATCACCATATACACTATCACCATATACACTATCACCATACACAATCACCATATCAACTATCACCATATACACTATCACCATACACAATCACCATATCAACTATCACCATATACACTATCACCATACACTATCACCATACACTATCACCATATACACTATCACCATGCACTATCACCATATATGCTATCACCATAAAAACTATCACCATATACACTATCACCATGTACACTATCACCATATACACCATCACCATATATACTATCACCATATACACTATCACCATATACACCATCACCATATACACTATCACGATATACACTATCACCATACACAATCACCATATCAACTATCACCATATACACTATCACCATGTACACTATCACCATATATGCTATCACCATAAAAACTATCACCTAATACACTATCACCATGTACACTATCACCATATACACTATCACCATATACACTATCACCATACACAATCACCATATCAACTATCACCATATACACTATCACCATGTACACTATCACCATATATGCTATCACCATAAAAACTATCACCATATACACTATCACCATGTACACTATCACCATATACACCATCACCATATATACTATCACCATATACACTATCACCATATACACCATCACCATATATACTATCACCATATAGACTATCACCATGTACACTATCACCATATACACTATCACCATATACACTATCACCATACACAATCACCATATACACTATCACCATACACTATCACCATATATGCTATCACCATAAAAACTATCACCATATACACTATCACCATGTACACTATCAATCACCATATATACTTTCACCATATATACTATCACCATATACACTATCACCATATACACTATCACCATGTACACTATCACCATATACACCATCACCATATATACTATCACCATATACACTATCACCATATACACTATCACCATATACACCATCACCATATACACTATCACCATACACTATCACCATATATGCTATCACCATAAAAACTATCACCATATACACTATCACCATGTACACTATCAATCACCATATATACTATCACCATATATACTATCACCATGTACACTATCACCATATACACTATCACCATATACACTATCACCATACACAATCACCATATCAACTATCACCATATACACTATCACCATGTACACTATCACCATATATGCTATCACCATAAAAACTATCACCATATACACTATCACCATGTACACTATCACCATATACACCATCACCATATATACTATCACCATATACACTATCACCATATACACCATCACCATATAGACTATCACCATGTACACTATCACCATATACACTATCACCATACACCATCACCATATATGCTATCACCATAAAAACTATCACCATATACACTATCAATCACCATATATACTATCACCATATATACTATCACCATATACACTATCACCATGTACACTATCACCATATACACCATCACCATATATACTATCACCATATACACTATCACCATATACACTATCACCATATACACCATCACCATATCAACTATCACCATATACACTATCACCATGCACTATCACCATATATGCTATCACCATAAAAACTATCACCATATACACTATCACCATACACTCTCACCATATACACTATCACCATAAAAACTATCACCATATACACTATTACCATACACTATCACCATATACGCCATCACCATACACTACCACCATTTCCATGAAATGGACCTGGGAACATAATGCATAGGCAAAGGTCTTCCAACTTTACAGATTTGAGGTACTTGCTAACATTTTTAACGCTTCCAGAACTATTTACCTGTTTACACTATGGATGGGGCAGTTACAGTTACATTTCGTCACTAATTAGGTAGTAAAAATCATGCACGTTTAACAAATTAACACACTGCACCCAAACCTAAAACACTGAGGTTATTGGTACATAAAGTGTGAAAATATATAGTGTATCTACTTGTGGGATGGATATTTGTGTATCTATCCTGTTATCCATCATCAAGGCCAGGTACGTAAAGCTGTATTCATAACATATGTATTGCATAATCCTGCAAATATCACATGTGATTTGCATCTTTGAAAAGTAGCATCATCTCAGATACTTCATTTTTAAACATCATGAAGTTGTTCAATCCTTCAGGTAAATGCCCTCCTTTTATCAATGTCGAAACAGTTTTCACATATGCATCACAATCCATTCCTTTGCTTTCAAACACACACATCCTGGCCTGATATTTGAGGCACAATTTCCTACTTTGAATAAGATTAATTAAATCAAGTTGTCTTTTAATGTTAATACGATGTTCTTTAAATATAGCATTGAGACGTTGGTGGTTGGGGTCTTCAACACCAAAGGTGATATCTACACAAAACATAATAATTTTGTTGCAGTGTTTTGAATGAACCAAACTTTTGTTAGCAGCACATAAATCTGCCCCTTTGTCAATAAGCATTTCCAAATACTCAGTTTTATTCCTTTCAATTGCATAACTTAATGCACTCTTCCCACTGTTGTCACAAGTATTCAAATCTGCGCCATTATTGATCAACATTTGCATATAGTCAATGTCAACACAATCAATTGAATAGATTAAAGCAGTTTTGCCAGATTTGTCAACAGCATCTACATTAGCTCCATTTGCAATGCATTCTTTCACACATTCTTTGTTATTCTCTTCAATTGCATACATCAATACAGTTTTCCCATATTTGTCATCCATATTTACAACTGCTCCACTGGCAAACAACATATGGAAGCAATCATTTCTATATTTCACAATTGCATACATCAATGCATTCATTCCATAGTTGTTGGTGACGTTTACATCTGCACCACTGTCAATCAGTACCTTCAACACCTCACTTCTATCATTCACAATTGCAGACATTAGTACTGTTCTTCCATATTTTCCTGCTGCATTTACATCTGCTCCGTTGGCAATCAACTTCTTCACACATTCAACAGTATTACACTCAATTGCATACACTAATGCCGTCTTCCCATCTCTGTCTGCAGCATTTACATCAGAATGGTTTACAATCAGCAAATCAACACAAACAGTCCTATTCCCCTCAATAGCATACATTAATGCAGTCTTCCCATATCTGTCAGCAGCATTTATATTTGATCCATTGGATAAACACATTTTCACACTTTCAGTTTTAATACCTTCAATTGCATACATTAATGCTGTCTTTCCGTATTCATCAGTATCATTTATATTCGCTCCATCGGCAATCAACATCTCAACCAACTTTGCTGGATTTCTTTTAACTGCAGACATTAGGCCTAATGCAATCTTTCCTTGTTGGTCAGTGGTAATTGTATTTGCTCCATTCACAATCAATATCTCTACAAACCTTTTTTGATTTCTTTTTAACTGCACACATTAATTACTGCTTCCATAAATCAGGTAATACATAACATTACAAGACGTGTCTTTTGATTTGAAATGGTTTGTAAAAAACAGTTAAACGATTCAGCAGTAAAAAACATATTTTGCTGTTTCGCTCCAGAAACTAAGTGTATGTCTACAATTGAAATATGAACAGTGCATATATAAATGACATTAAATAGGTTAGCGCACTGCTCTATTTTATATTTACTTCCTGGTGTCTACATAATTATGTGTAAACCTTCGTTTATGAGCAATACTGAATTGATTCCATCAATCATTTACTTCTGTTTTTGGAGACATCAAATTTAATAACATGACGAATGATCATTACGTCCTCATTATCTCTCTCTCTCTCTCTTATTGTTTTTATTTTTCAATACCTGAGAGTGTAGAATTAATTTTACTGGCTACTTGAATGAACATACAGTATTGCTTGCTGCTTAGTTGCATCTCAGTTGCTAGGCTGTATTATGTATGAATTAATTAATTGTTAATAAGTATGATTAATTAACTCAACTACATATATGGTGATAGCGTATATGGTGACAGTGTATTAGGTGATAGTGTTTGGTGATTGAGTATATGGTGATAGTGTATATGGTGATAGTGTACATGGTGATAGTGTTTATGGTGATAGTGTATGGTGATAGAGTATATGGTGATAGTGTATTAGGTGATAGTGTATATGGTGATAGTGTTTATGGTGATAGTGTTTATGGTGATATTGTACAAGGTGATAGTGTATATGGTGATAGTGTTCATGGTGATATTGTACATGGTGATAGTGTATATGGTGATAGTGTATGGTGATAGAGTATATGGTGATAGTGTGCATGGTGATAGTGTATATGGTGATAGTGTATATGGTGATAGTGTATGGTGATAGAGTATATGGTGATAGTGTATATGGTGATAGTGTATATAGTGATAGTGTACATGGTGATAGTGTATATAGTGATAGTGTACATGGTGATAGTGTTTATGGTGATAGTGTACAGTGTATATGGTGATAGTGTATATGGTGATAGTGTTTATGGTGATAGTGTTCATGGTGTTTATGGTGATAGTGTATATGGTGATAGTGTTTATGGTGATAGTGTTCATGGTGTTTATGGTGATATTGTACATGGTGATAGTGTTCATGGTGTTTATGGTGATATTGTACATGGTGATAGTGTATGGCGATAGTGTATATGGCGGATAGCGTATATGGTGATAGTGCATATGGTGAAAGTGTATATAGTGATAGTGTACATGGTGATAGAGTATCTGGTGATAGTGCATATGGTGAAAGTGTATATAGTGATAGTGTACATGGTGATAGCGTATATGGTGATAGTGCATATGGTGAAAGTGTATATAGTGATAGTGTACATGGTGATAGTGTACATGGTGATAGTGTATATGGTGATAGTGTATGGCGATAGTGTATATGGTGATAGTGCATATGGTGAACGTGTATATAGTGATAGTGTATATGGTGATAGTGTTTATGGTGATATTGTATATGGTGATAGTGTATATGGTGATAGTGTATGGCGATAGTGTATATGGCGGATAGCGTATATGGTGATAGTGCATATGGTGAAAGTGTATATAGTGATAGTGTACATGGTGATAGAGTATCTGGTGATAGTGTACATGGTGATAGTGTATATGGTGATAGTACATAATATGGTGATAGTGTATGGTGATAGTGTATATGGTGATAGTGCAAAATCATCTGCAAATTCTCAGAACTTCAAATCTGACTAAGATTTGAGATTTGACCTTCAATGGCCTTCAAGATAAATAAAAAGGTCAAAAAGGTATTTTTCAACTTGCCTCACACAATCATCTACAATCCTTATTCACGTGTAAATATGTGCAAATGTGTACATAACATACACTACATGTAAACAGCACAACAGTTCACATAATAGTCATCTTTATCCGGGATCTTTAACTATTAACCAATTATCATTAATAAACTTGTTTTCGTTTTTCTATTACAAAAATTATCGTTCGAATTTTTAACGTAGCATATGTGTGCAACTTCCGGTCACTGAGTTGTGAAATAAATCCGGTAAATATCTCTTAATATCTTATTTAATATGAAAGTGCAACAATGTTCCTGACGCTCATAACTATATTTTATACTTGTTTTCATGCTGCATTGCATAAATTTTGTTGTAAACGTTTTTGACTCAGCAATGAATGACTTTGAATTATTTTTATATTTCTGGTCTACACTGTATGGTCGCACTCGCAGTCTCTGTTTTTAAGTTAATTCACCGGGTGATCGAAAAAAATTAGCGGATGGAGGATGCAGCGATTTCTGCCAGAAATTCAACAAATCAGGCTGGGTCACCAAAGCTCCTCAAGACCTACAGTGGGAGTCAATGAAGAAGCGTCGAGAGGCTGCTAGAGTTTTCCTTTTTTACAACGGAGTGGCTCCAGGACCGACAATTGTCGGTACTGGAGACTCTCCAGGGGTATTTGCTGGGGTACCGACAATTGTCGGCACTCTATCGTCACCTAGTAGTGCCAGATAGAGAACCGACAATTGTCGGTACGCAAGTGGCTGCTATGTGTTTTTGCTAGAGAGCCGACAATTTCATAAATAAATCCACTACTTTTACTTCAGAAATTACCTCATCACTGGTAGCCTAGTGGTTAGCGAGCACGACTCGAACACACTCGGTCCCGAGTTCGAATCCCGGCAGGACCTACTTTTTTCTTTTGAGGGGGGGCATAGTGCTTCTTTTGCAGTATGGAATCGTACAGGCATTAACTTGTAGTGAGCCATAATTTATTTCGACAAAAATTGATTCAACTTCCATCAAAATTGTCCTACAAGCTTCAATTAAAAAACATTTTAAAGCTCTTTTCTTGTTCCATCTAATGGGTCGATATATACAGTTAGGGATGGGAATGCTTTCGCCCCCGTCACTCTCTACCCTTACTACGCCATGGCACAGGAGAAATATCTCATTTGGAATATATCACTGTTTACTTTGCGTTTGGTAGCTCTCTCATGCGAGATGGAATTGTGGCCATTAACTAAGGGAGCCAAATGCGACTTCCATCAAAAATTGTGCTATAAGGTATGAGTACCGCAATCCAACACCAAATTCGAAAATTCATAACAATACTTTGCACATATGGCGTTCGTGACCAACTACGAAACGCTTACCCCCCATAGTGTTATATATCAAAATGCACCTGTCCACATAGGGGTTCGATTGACCTACATCAAATTATAGGGAGTCAGGTTACTTTTTGAGATATCAGCGTCCGTTTATTGTAACTCGCGTTTGCTACCACTTCCTCAATTCTGATATGACGGGCAAACGCGTAGTAAACATGCTCACGTTCGGAACTATTTTGACCTACATCGCTATTTTCGTAATTCAAATGAAAGTTGAACTCCTCTTTATTTTGATACCAAATAGTGGCATACTAGGTACCCTAGAAGCCAACTATGGGTTATTTAGAATGATACCACAGGTTTTTAAATGGACTATAGAGGGGTCATACCTTTTGGCGGATGGATATGGAACCTTATACCATAAGCTTCAAATAAAAAACATTCTAGCTATTTTCTTCAATCTAATGGGTAGCAAACGCCCCTTTCTACGCCTGATCGGCTCAGGAGAAATATCCTGTCTGTTTAGAATATATATAGCCGTTTACTCTGCATTAATAGCTCTCTAACGTCTTACTTGTTCATGTTTTTTGGGGTTTTCAACGTTTACTACCATTCCCTGTTCCCGGGCTACCATTTTTTGACTGTTTGGTAATCCCCGGGTAACCGGGGCTAATGCCCTCCCCGGGTTTTGCACTTGTTCCCAAAATATCCGTATGATATCTGAAATATCCCCCCCCGCATTGCGCATGCGCCAGAAAATTCGAAAATCAATATTTGTCGGCCCTCTAGCGTGTAAACACAGCATATCTCCCGTACCAACAATTTATTTGTCGGTCCTCTAGCGTGCCACCACATCAGAGTCTAGAGTACCGACAATTGTCGGTACTCTAGCCTTTACGTTTTTACAAAGGAAAGCAAAACCTAGCAGCCATCGACGTGCCTCCATACTTCCGCCAACAGATCAATACCAACACTAGGTTGTATCATCCTTCAAAGTTCATACAACCATCAACTAGATGCATACCAACTTAGCTATTTCCCTAGGACAATAGCTCAGAAATATCTTGCTTTAGGGGCAAATTGCGCAAGGTTCCATTTTTTGGCATGTGCATAATGATCACGTGATTGCACTTGAACAATGGTTTAAATCAGGTCTTCAGCTAGGGGCCAATCGTAGGACTCGTACTGATTACTGCTTGGAAATTGAGTAATGGATAACTTCCTATTACTTGCCTCGTACTATTTCGATCAGAAATCAACTTTTGGGAAGGAAACTTCGAAAGAAAATTTTATTTCTTTTAGAAACAGAATTTCCTTCAATTATGAAGTGGATTCTTACGAAAGAAAGAGACTGAAGATCTTTATTAAATGATTCATCGAAAGTTGATTTCATGCATATAACTTGCACTGCGTCCAAAAATGCAGTTCATTTTTATATCCAGCTCCAACATTTTTTCTTTGTGTTTTTTCAATGCTTGGACGGCGTTATTGAAAACACAGCATAGACATAGATCAGGAAGATTTATTTCTTTCAGCTGTAAGGTTACTTTTCAGGCTCAATGGTATAAAATATGTTAGGTATTCTCATGGGCTCGGTATTCTAGAATTTTTTTTGAATTGATACTCTTCTAAGGTATGAGATTTGTTAAAAAATGCATAATGCCACCAACGTGCACAAGTCAATGTTCCAGGCCTGCCAACTTGAGAACACCTAACATGAGGGAGGAACAAGAAATTTTGAATCAAATGCATGACATATACAAAATAACGGAACCCATTCGCTTTTTCAGCATTAGTTTTTTGCTGTATCTGCTGTATTATAAAAAGCAGATTTTTTTTAAATATCAACTTAATGCGTGATTTGCATGACATTTTATCATACACGCAAATTGCGTGACTTCAATTTTCCAGCAAATGCGTGACAATCACTCCTAATGTGTGAGGGGCAGGGCAGATCTTCTTGCTATAAATCAGTCGACACTCCATATTTATTACAGGTCAAGAAGACCCCCTATAAGTATTTATTATGGGCTGTGTAGAACATTGTTGCCTGATATATAGCTATTTAAACACTTGTCTTTTGCACGTTGGTGACGATGCACCTTTTTTTATGTCCCCATCACATAGTGTGGGGCCATATTGTCGTCCTAGGCGCGTCCGTCCGTCTGGTTGTCTGTCTGTCTGTCTGTCCGTCCGTACGTTCGGCAGTTTTCTCCAAAACTGCTACAGGTATCACCTTCAAATTTTCAGGAATAACTTGTGAGTGCATACAGATGTGGATGAGAAAAAATTAACTCGATAGCTACTTCCTGTCGGCCATTTTGAGGTCAAATGCTAAAATCCTTGTCTGCAAACTTTAAGAAAATCGGCTTCACAGTTGCTTTAAAAACTTTAACATCTTGTTCAGCTCACTTCATTCTACATCTGATTAGGTTTTGGACCTGTTGGCTCAGTCATGTCAGCCATTTTGAATGTCTTAAGAAAAGTTAGCGCGCGATGATACTTTGTTTCACATTGAATGGTGTTTTTGAGTTTTCATACTTTAACTATTTAGTAGCTTTATAAATAATTTCAGGTGTACTTTGTTGTAAAAGCCTATGTTATTGTTTATAGTAGTTATAATTTTGTAAAAGGAAATCAGCAAAAACTCTTAATCACTTTTTATTTATTGTTGGCCATTTTTATGTCCCCACCACATAGTGTGGGGCCATATTGTCGGCCTAGGCGCGTCCGTCTGTCTGTCCGTCCGTCCATACGTCCGGGAGTTTTCTCCAAAACCGCTACAGATATCACCTTCAAATTTTCAGGGATAACTTATGAGTGCATACAGATGTGGATGAAAAAAAATTTAACTCGATACCTACTTCCTGTCGGCCATTTTGAAGTCAAATGCTAAAATCCTTGTCTGCAAACTTTAAGAGCTTCACAGTTGCTTTTAAAACTTTAACATCTTGTTCAGCTCACTTCATTCTAGATCTGATTAGGTTTTGGACCTGTTAGCTGAGTCATGTCAGCCATTTTGAATGTCTTAAGAAAAGTTAGCGCATGATAATACTTTGTATCATATTGAATGGTGTTTTTGAGTTTTCATACTTAAACTATTTAGTAGCTTTATAAATAATTTCAGATGTAACTTTGTTGTAAAAGCCTATGTTATTGTTAAAAGTAGTTATATGTGATAATTATGTAAAAAGAAATCAGCAAAAACTCATAATTCTTAGTATAAAAATCTAGATCTGATTAGTCTTTTGGCATTCTGGGTAAATGTGAAGGCAGCCATTTTGGATTTTCTGTCCTCAAATCTTGTCTGTAAAGTCTCGTCTACGCGTTTTCAGGTGAACCGTTTGGTAGATCAATTTCAAATTTTCAGGGATGATTCTTAGTATGAAAATCTAGATCTGATTAGTTTTTTGGCATTCTGGGTAAATGTCAAGGCAGCCATTTTGGATTTTCTGACCTAAAATCTTGTCTGTAAAGTCTTGTCTACGCATTTCCAGGTGAACCATTCTGTAGATCAATTTTAAATTTTCAGGGATGATTCTTCGTATGAAAATCTAGATCTGATTAGTTAATTGGCATTCTGGATTAATGTCAAGGCAGCCATTTTTGGATTTTTCGTCTTAGAATCTTGCCTGTAAAGTCTTGTCTACACGTTTTCAGGTGAACCATTTGGTAGATCAATGTCATATTTTCAGGGATGATTCTTAGTATGAAAACCTAGAAACAGATTAGTTTTTTGACATTCTGGGTAAATGTTAAGGCAGCCATTTTGGATTTTCCATCCTAAAATCTTGTCTGTAAAGTCTTGTTTACATGTTCTCTGGTTAACTTTGTGACGGATCAATTAAAAATTTTCAGGGGTGGTTCTTAGTTTGAAAATCTAGAACTGTAGGCATTCTGGGTAAATTTTAAGGTGGCCATTTTGGATTTTCCGTCCTCAAATTGTGTTGGTAAAGTCTTGTCTACTCATTTTCAGGATAACCATTTGATGGGATCACCCATTGGTGGGGACATTTTGTACACATTTGTGTTCTTGTGGTTTTTTCCGTCCTAAAATCTTGTCTGTAAAGTCTTGTCTACGCGTTTTCAGGTGAACTGTTTGGTAGATCAATTTCAAATTTTCAGGGATGATTCTTAGTATGAAAATCTAGATCTGATTTGTTTTTTGGCATTCTGGGTAAATGTCAAGGCAGCCATTTTGGATTTTCCGTCCTAAATCTTGTCTGTAAAGTCTTGTCTACTACGCATTTCCAGGTGAATTGTTTGTTAGATCAATTTCAAATTTTCAGGGATGATTCTTAGTATGAAAATCTAGATCTGATTATTTTTTTGGCATTCTGGATAAATGTCAAGGCAGCCATTTTTGATTTTCCGTCTTAAAATCTTGCCTGTAAAGTCTTGTCTACGCATTTTTGGGTGAACCGTTTAGTAGATCAATTTCGAATTTTCAGAGATGTATTTTCTTAGTATGAAAATCTGAATTTGATTTGTTTTTTGGCATTCTGGGTAAATGTCAAGGCAGCCATTTTGGATTTTCTGTCCTAAAATCTTGTCTGTAAAGTCTTGTCTACGCGTTTTTAGGTTAACCGTTTGGTAGATCAATTTCAAATTTTCAGGAATGATTCTTAGTATGAAAATCTAGAACTGATTAGTTTTTTGACATTCTGGGTAAATGTCAAGGCAGCCATTTTGGCTTTTCCATCCTAAAATCTTGTCTGTAAAGTCTTAATTACGGATCAATTTCAAATTTTCAGGGGTGGTTCTTAGTATGAAAATCTAGAACTAACTAATTTTGGGTGAATTTTAAGGCGCCCATTTTGGATTTTCCGTCCTCAAATTGTGTCAACAAAGTCTTGTCTACTCATTTTCAGGATAACCATTTGACGGGATCACCCATTGGTGGGGACATTTTGTACATTGTGTTCTTGTAATAAATCTTATTTCTTAGAAGCGTATCTGTTCAAAAAAATCTTAGAAGACCCGACATATTTTGCCATACCGTTTGTCTATCCATTCAGCAATTCGAGAGTAAACATTTTCTTGAAAAAATAAATCTTTCAGATTTGTTGAATTTTCTTGCAGAAATTGCCGCATCCACCCCTCTGTTCATTTTGTCTGATCACTAGTCGAGTTGCAGTACAGTTACAATGAATGATTGATTTGTTTGATGATTTCGATGTATAACACGTTTCATTTAGTTTTTTATGTCCCCACCACATAGTGTGGGGCCATATTGTCGTCCTAGGTGCGTCTGTCCGTCCGTCTGTCTGGTTGTCTGTCTGTCCGTCCGTACGTCCGGCAGTTTTCTCCAAAACCGCTACAGGTATCACCTTCTAATTTTCAGGAATAACTTATGAGTGACCATAGATGTGGATGAAAAAAATTTAACTCGAAACCTACTTCCTGTCGGCCATTTTGAAGTCAAATGCTAAAATCCTTGTCTGCAAACTTTAAGAAAAACTGCTTTACAGTTGCTTTTAAAACTTTAACATCTTGTTCAGCTCACTTCATTCTAGATCTGATTAGGTTTTGGACCTGCTAGCTCAGTCATGTCAGCCATTTTGAATGTCTTAAGAAAAGTTAGCGCGCGATAATACTTTGTATCATATTGAATGGTGTTTTTGAGTTTTCATACTTTAACTATTTAGTAGCTTTATAAATAATTTCAGATGTACTTTGCTGTAAAAGCCTACTTTATTGTTAACAGTAGTTATATGTGATAATTTTGTAAAAGAAATCAGCAAAAACTCATAAGGACTTTTTTATCGTCGGCCATTTTGGATTTTTCGGTCCTAAAATCTTGTCTGTGAAGTCTTGTCTGCGCGTTTTCAGGTGAACCGTTTGGTGGATCAATTTCAAATTTTCAGGGATGATTCTTAGTATAAAAATCTAGATCTCATTAGTTTTTTGGCATTCTGGGTAAATGACAAGGCAGCCATTTTGGATTTTCCGTCCTAAAATCTTGTCTGTAAAGTCTTGTCTACTCGTTTTCAGGTGAACTGTTTGGTAGATCAATTATAAATTTTCAGGAATGATTCTTAGTATGAAAATCTAGAACTGATTAGTTTTTTTGCATTCTGGGTAAATGTCAAGGCAGCCATTTTGGATTTTCCGTCTTAAAATCTTGCCTGTAAAGTCTTGTCTACGCGTTTTTAGGTGAACGGTTTGATAGATCAATTTCAAATTTTCAGGGATGATTCTTTGTATGAAAATCTACATCTGATTACTTTTTTTGCATTCTGCGTAAATGTTAAGGCAGCCATTTTGGATTTTCTGTCCTAAAATCTTGTCTGTAAAGTCTTGTCTACCCGTTTTCAGGTGAACCGTTTGGTAGATCAATTTCATATTTTCAGGGATGATTCTTAGTATGAAAATCTACAAACAGATTAGTTTTTTGACATTCTTGGTAAATGTCAAGGCAGCCATTTTGGATTTTCCATCCTGAACCGTCTTAAAATCTTGCCTGTAAAGTCTTGTCTACGCGTTTTTAGGTGAACGGTTTGATAGATCAATTTCAAATTTTCAGGGATGATTCATTGTATGAAAATCTACATCTGATTACTTTTTTTGCATTCTGCGTAAATGTTAAGGCAGCCATTTTGGATTTTCTGTCCTAAAATCTTGTCTGTAAAGTCTTGTCTACCCGTTTTCAGGTGAACCTTTTGGTAGATCAATTTCATATTTTCAGGGATGATTCTTAGTATGAAAATCTACAAACAGATTAGTTTTTTGACATTCTTGGTAAATGTCAAGGCAGCCATTTTGGATTTTCCATCCTGAAATCTTGTCTGTAAAGTCTTGTTTACATGTTTTCTGGTTAACTGTGTGACGGATCAATTTCAAATTTTCAGGGGTGGTTCTTAGTATGAAAATCTAGAACTGACTAAATTTTTGGCATTCTGAGTAAATTTTAAGGTGGCCACTTTGGATTTTCCGTCCTCAAATTGTGTTGGTAAAGTCTTGTCTACTCATTTTCAGGATAACCATTTCACGGGATCACCACTTGGTGAGGACATTTTGTACACATTTGTGTTCTTGTATAAATATAATTTTCTACATATGAATTTTCTATGAGTATTATAGTACCACAGACACAGGTGTATAATAGATCTAAACATAGGGCCTCAGCAGATGCCACTTCTATATTTTTTGTGGTCAAGCGGAGCATTCAATAGTCCAGCCTTTTAAAAGCCAATGCTTTTTGGCACAAGCTATACTATTGACTTTACATATAAGTGTATGTATACATGCTACATATACATATTATTTATTTGATGGCTTATAAAGTCTAAAGATTTTATTTCAGCTGACGTCATGTCCAGGTCCTACCAGCAAGAGTTGGAATACATTGAGAGGCTTGATGTGAACAGCTTCAGAATAAAGAAAGGGTTTGTCCCAAATATGAAGGTAAGTTTGTTGCCTGGCAGTCTAATATTTTCGATGGGCTATATGGGTGATTTCCAGCTGGATTGTCTTGTGGCCATGTAAGTTGCATGAGATACCCCAGCCCCCTCTCATAATCAGAACTAGTTCTATTTTATATCCTCAACAAACATGTTCAATTTATTAACAGCCTTACAATGTGTTGATCTAATTAATACCTTGGGTTTATGCTTTAATGTTCCTATAAACCAACCACAACTCTAAAACTAGTGATTATAAAGCCACGTTCCTCCTCTTTGCAATGATATGTCATTTATTCACATGTGGTCATGGTTGGGTAAGAAATCCTTCCATTTGCACAGTGGGTCAAAATCTGCCCTGGACCAAGTTTCAGATATTGCAAAAATCAGTACAAGGGCTAGGTGCCAATGGAAGTTCTCCTGGCTTGAATTGTTGTGACTTTTTCTTTTGGAGCTATCTCAGGAGCATCTGTGCTCACTATTCCTCCACCAGATATTGCAAATCTTCGAGAAACAATTGCCCATGGGCTGGTTTTCTCTGCTTTAGCCCACAGATGACTCAGAGCTGAACCATGCATGACATGGAGAGATGAGTGCATCTTTATGTGCAAAGAAGTGGTGACAATTTGGAGGGGTATAGGAATTATTCTTGCAAGAATATGATCATGAGTATGAACACTTTACTGTCTATGCCACACCTGTCACACCTTTTTTCAATAGCCCTTATGTCCCATGCATGTCCTTTGCAATGTTTAAAACTTGGGTCCAAGCTGAATTTTGCCCCACTTTACAAAATTAATGATTATTGGGCCAGCCAACTCCCTGTGAATGAATGACATTCCATTGCAAAGGGGAGTAATTTTTGGTACATTGAATGAAAATGATGCAGTCATCATTGGTTTTATGTTTTCTTCCAATATTGCATTGGGCCCCATTCACTGACTTTCGCGATGTTTATAAATTAGTCCCAAACTAATTTTGGCCCACTTTGCAAATGGAATGATTACTCGCCCAACCACGACCCAATATCAATGAATGATATACCATTGGAAAGAGGAGACCCATGGCTTTATGGTACATTGAATGAAATCAATGCTGCTATTGCTGGTTCTGTGCTTTTCCAAGATAACAATCTCTTGCATTTTTTTATACGCACTGTAGTTCATAGAAAATGTGTTAATGGTTTTGTTCATAAAACATAAGAGGAATTCATTCATTCAAGAATTCGTTAGAAGCTGAGGCACTCTGAATATCACTGGTGACAGACATTAAATGTCATTTATTTTAAACAGACCAAAGATATCTTACATGATGTAGCTATGAAGTACCCTACAAAAAGTACATCACATTATTTATAGGGTTTAGCAAAATTGTAGATTCACATTAAAACCCTTGATTGCCGGGCTTACACTTATTGTAGAAAGTAGAAAGCGTATTGTTAATGACTAATAATTTTTCAGGTAGAAGGTGTTTTTTATGTAAATGACCCACTTGAGCGTTTGATGTTAGACGAGTTGAGGAATTCCTGCCGTACTGGAGGGTATGGTGGATTCTTACCTGGAGTTAAACAGATCGCCAATGTAGCTGCACTTCCTGGCATTGTGGGGGTGAGTAATCATGCTCTCTTTACATCACATTCTCTCAGATGCAGCACCTCCATGTATTCCAAAGCACAAAAATGTTCCTCCATTAATTTAATGCGCCTCCTACAATCCTAAATTGTTGCACAAAAAGCCTAAAATGTTGCATAAAAAGTTATGAATAAAATCCCCCAAACAGATACATCCATGAGAGAATGCTGCTTGTCCTCACTGTAAGAAAATATACTAGTAGAGATTAAGAATGAGGATTTTCTCAAAGAATTCTCCATAGATCTCCATGCAGTACCATGACTGTTAATATACAGATTATTATCATACCTGTCATAATAATATTTTTGTCAAGTAAGGCTGCTCCTTAAATAACATGACAGATTCAGTATTAATTAAGTTAAAATGTCAATTTAAAAGTAAGTAGCATATTTCTTCATAATATAGAAATTGTATTCTGGCCTGATTTGAGCAGACATTTTCTGAGCCTTATTCAGAATCTTGAATAAATGGCATGAATCATTGTAGGTACCTTGCAATATTGGCTCAGTCAACTTCCAACTGATTGGTAGAGTGCCCTCTTTATTGTTTCAGTATGCTACGTCTTTGAAGTATGTACATGTGTTCTGATTAATAAGTCCTGTTTTGCAGAGGTCTGTTGGACTTCCTGATATTCACTCAGGATATGGGTTTGCAATCGGAAATATGGCTGCATTTGATATGGCTGACCCTAAAGCTGTTGTATCACCAGGTGGAGTGGGATTCGACATTAACTGTGGTGTGAGACTATTAAGAACAAACTTGACAGAGAAAGACATTCAGCCTGTTAAAGAACAATTGGCACAGTGCATGTTCGACCACATACCTGTAGGAGTGGGCTCTAAGGGCATAATACCAATGGCTGCAAGGTATAAATACATTCATCTGTTGAATATTAACTCCATGACTCAAGTAAATAGAACTGCCAGGAGCATAGTTTAGAGGATCTAGAAAGAGGTGAAGTAAACATAAACAGGTCAGACAAAAATTGGGCTAAGGACAATAAAATACAGTCATTAGACTTCATTATCCCATCGAACGAAGTTCGGAGGGATATAGGGAACGCCTCCGTCCGTCCGTCCGTCCGTCCCGGCAATAACTCAAATACCGTTGACCCGATTTTGTTCATATTTTGTACACATATACCCTATGGGAGTAGAAGTTCTGCTCGAAAGCCGATTTTCAAAATGGCCGCTCATCGCAAAATGGCGGCCATTTTAGTGCCGAATTTACAGTAATTTAGGTGCAATATGTAAAACTGTAATAGCAATATGTTTTAGATGTAAAAAAAATTATATAGGACATTAATAAAGCTAGAAATGTAGATATTATAGAAGCACATGGCAGCCATCTTGAAAAATGGCGGCCTTTACTCGTTATTTTACGATTTTTGCTGTAACTCGAAAAGTAGTGGAGCGATTTTGTTCATATTTGGTGTGTGAATACTATAAACATTGCACACTGTCTAAAGACACTTTTGGTAGAAGGAGGCCATTTTTCAATGGCCGCCATTTTGAAAAATGGCCACCATTTTAACGTATTTTACTATAACTCGAAAAGTAGTGGAGCGATTTTGTTCATATTTGGTATGTGAATACTATAAGCATGACACACTGTCCAATGACACTTTTGGTAGAAGGCGGCCATTTTGAAAACTCGAAACTCGAAAAGTAGTGAAGCGATTTTGTTCATATTTGGTATGTGAATACTATAAGCATGGCTCACTGTCTAATGACACTTTTGGTAGAAGGCGGCCATTTTTCAAAATGGCTGCCATTTTAACGTATTTTACTATAACTCGAAAAGTAGTGGAGCAATTTTGTTCATATTTGGTATGTGAATACTATAAGCATGACCATGGGCTCTATCAGATGGGTATGCAACGAGCCATTGGCGCCGTGTTAAATGGTGGCCTCGGCTTGGCGAAGAACCGGAAGTTGACGCAACGGGGAAAAAAGAATGTCCGAAGTTGAAGCCTTGTAGATTCTACTCGTATTTCCGCAATGAAACCCAACTAACCTTCACAAATATTGGTAAGACATTTGACATTTACTTCATTTTAGTGTAGAACTCGTTTAATAGGCATCAAATTGCCTAAATTGGTCACGATATTGATTTACATTGTGAAAATCGAAATCCGCCATTATCTTTTTTGCTCGTCAATTTTCTTCATTTCAACACTGAATTTCAGGACTTTGAACCTATTCATGACACCTTTGAGTACATATTTATTCACTATAAGTTAGGCTAATATGTTGAGTCATCGTTGTTTTTGAAAAAAACGTGACAAAAGTACACCCCTTTTTGTATCCAATTTTCAATCCACTGTGGCTATATTTACCAAATTTTCTCATTTTGTCAAGTTGTTCAGTTTTGATATGAAACATGACTGGTATAAAGTTTATACACCATTAGAAAGCCCAATTTGTCTCCTATCTGATGATGTGACTGTTTCTTGGGGAAAAGTAGTATATTTTCTGCAATGGCTTGTTAAAAATGAGACAAAATGACATTTCGGTCCATGTGAAACCTGTAGCGACGACTGAATTTTCTGACTTTTGTCAAGTTGTTCAGTTTTGATATGAAACATGACTGGTATAAAGTTTATACATCATTGTAAAGCCCAATTTGTCTTCTATCTGATGATGTGACTGTTACTTGGGGAAAAGTAGTATATTATCTGTAATGGCTTGTAAAAAATGAGACAAAATGCCATTTCGGTCCATGTGAAACATGACGCGACGAATGAATTTTCTGACTTTTGTCAAGTTGTTCAGTTTTGATATGAAGCATGACTGGTATAAAGTTTATACACCATTATAAAGCCGAATTTGTCTCCTATCTGATGATGTGACTGTTACTTGGGGAAAAGTAGTATATAATCTGTAATGGCTTGTTAAAAATGAGACAAAATGCCATTTCGGTCCATGTGAAACATGAAGCGACGAATGAATTTTCTGACTTTTGTCAAGTTGTTCAGTTTTGATATGAAGCATGACTGGTATAAAGTTTATACACCATTATAAAGCCCAATGTGTCTCCTATCTGATGATGTGACTATTACTTGGGGAAAAGTAGTATATTTTCTGTAATGGCTTGTTAAAAATGACACAAAATACCATTTCGGTCCATGTGAAACCTGTAGCGACGAATGAATTTTCTTACTTTTGTCAAGTTGTTCAGTTTAAATGAGAAACATGACTGGTATGAAGTTAATACACCATTTCAAAGCCCTGTTTGTCTCCTATCTGATGATCTTACTCTAATCTGGGAGAAATTGGTATATTTTCTGAAATGGCTTGTTAAAAATGACACAAAATGCCATTTCCATCTCCGTTGGAACTGTCACAATGACTACATTTTCTCATTTTGTCAAATTGTTCAGTTTTGATATGAAACATGACTGGTATAAAGTTTATACACCATTATAAAGCCCAATTTGTCTCCTATCTGATGATGTGACTGTTACTTGGGGGAAAGTAGTATATTTTCTGTGATGGCTTGTTAAAAATGAGACAAAATGCCATTTCGGTCCATGTGAAACCTGTAGCGATGAATGAATTTTCTGACTTTTGTCATGTTGTTCAGTTTTGATATGAAACATGACTGGTATAAAGTTGATACACCATTATAAAGCCCAATTTGTCTCCTATCTGATGATCTTACTCTAATCTTGAAGAAATTAGTATATTTTCTGAAATGGCTTGTTAAAAATGACACAAAATGCCATTTCCATCTCCGTTGGAACTGTCACAATGACTACATTTTCTCATTTTGTCAAGTTGTTCAGTTTAAATGAGAAACATGACTGGTATGAAGTTAATACACCATTCCAAGGCCCAATTTCTCTCCTATCTAATGATGTGACTGTTACTTGGGGAAAAGTAGTATATTTTCTGAATTAGCTTGTTAAGAATGACACAAAATACCATTTCGGTCCATGTGAAAGCTGTAGCGACGAATGAATTTTCTGACTTTTGTCAAGTTGTTCAGTTTAAATGAGAAACATGACTGGTATGAAGTTAATACACCATTCCAAAGCCCTGTTTGTCTCCTATCTGATGATCTTACTCTAATCTTGAAGAAATTAGTATATTTTCTGAAATGGATTGTTAAAAATGACACAAAATGCCATTTCCATCTCCGTGGGAACTGTCACAATGACTACATTTTCTCATTTTGTCAAATTGTTCAGTTTTGATATGAAACATGACTGGTATAAAGTTTATACACCATTAGAAAGCCCAATTTCTCTCCTATCTGATGATGTGACTGTTACTTGGGGAAAAGTAGCATATTTTCTGAAATGGCTTGTTAAAAATGACACAAAATGCCATTTCGGTCCATGTGAAATCTGTAGCGACGACTGAATTTTCTGACTTTTGTCAAGTTGTTCAGTTTAAATGGGAAACATGACTGGTATAAAGTTTATACACCATTTTAAAGCCCTAATTGTGCCCTATCTCATAATGTGACTGTTACTTGGGGGAAAGAAGTAAATTTTCTATAATGGCTTGTTATAATTGACACAAAATGCCATTTCCATTTCCATGACAACTGTCGAGACAAGTACTAGTAATTAAGTCTTTGTTGATTTGTTCAGCTTGGATAGTCAACATGACTGGTAGCAAGTTTATACACCATTTTAAAGCCTTCTTTGTCTCCTATCTGATGATCTTACTCTTATTTGAGAGAAATTAGTAAATTTTCTGAACTGGCTTGTGAAAATGACACAAAATCCCATTTCCATATATGTGAAAACTGTCGCGACGACTACATTTTTTGACTTTTTCAATTTGTTCCATTTTAATAGTCAACATGACTTGTAGCAAGTTTATACACCATTTTAAAGTCATTTTTGTCTCCTATCTGATGATCTTACTCTTATTTGAGAGAAAATAGTAAATTTTCTGAATTGGCTTGTTAAAAATGACACAAAATCCCATTTCCATATCCGTGAAAACTGTTGCGATGACTTAATTTTATGACTTTTTCAATTTGTTCCATTTTAATAGGAAACATGACTGGTTTAAAGTTTATACACTATTTTAAAGCCCTTTTTGTGTCCTATCTGATGGTCTTACCTTTATTTGGGAGAAATTAGTAAATTGTCTGAACTGGCTTGTTAAAAATGACACAAATCCCATTTCAGCCAATGTGAAACCTGTCTTGATGACTAATTTTAATGACTTTTGTCAATTTGATCTGTTTTAATAGGAGACATGACTGGTATATAGTTTATAAACCATTTTAAAGCCCTCTTTGTCCCTTATCTGATGATGTTACTCTTATTCATGTTATTTGGGAGAAATTAGTTTATTTTCTGTATAGTGACTTGTAAAAATGACACAATTGTATAGTGTGTAATTGATATAGAAAATGAGCTTGTATGTATTTTCTAATACTAATGCTGTAATGAAATTTATTTTTTCAGTAATGATTGCATCTTTGAAAGTTGGATGAGACTGCTACAGGGGAATGCCCATATTTTAGAGCTGCATCTTGCAATCCTGGTCTGCTATAATTAGGTACATTTCTAAGTAGTCTAGTTCTCCATGTATAACTTCAAACTGAAATGGCATTTCTTGGAATCCTGAGTCTTATAATGCCTAAAACAGTAATATAATATAAAGAACTAGTAAAGTGGTGATCACAAGGAATTACCACAGTATTGTTTTTAAACAGAAAGTAACAGGAACATCCTTTAAAAGAACACAAAAATCATGAATTGCTTGATATTGAATAAGTTCACAAAAAATTGGAGATGTTTTTCTTTAATTTTCTTAAACCCTGCATAACTTTAATGCTGTTAAATTGTTTTCAGGTCACAGCACATTCTGCACTCATTCCTATCAGCTTCATATCAGCATCTACCTGAAACACATAGGATGTTTGTGGATTAAAAACATGTCACCAAGAATCTTCTACTAGGAGGACTCTAAAACAACATTATTTAAAAATGTGATAGATCTTGTCAAAACGATAGTATCTTAATTACATTGAGTATAAACTGATAAAGACAGCCTAAGCAAATGTGCTTTTTACATTCTACAGGGACATAAATTAAGCCACCTCAAGAAGGTACAATATTTGATGCTACCCACCTTGCACCTCACAGTGTGATCTTTGTGTAGTATCAGTTGTATTTGATGACAATTGTAGTCTTAAAATGAAATAAATGATTGATGATTTCTCTGATAAGTACATGTCTTGTGTCAGTGCTATCCAGTGAGCCTTTTTAGCATTACTTGGCCTCCTTTTTAGATTAAAAGACCAAATTATCAAAAGATTGGCATTAAATTAAAAAAATTTGGCATTAAATAAAAAAAATTTGGGCCCAAATATCACAGATTGAAGTGGTGGTTGTCTTCAAAATTATTTATCCCAAAGCAGGTCCATAGCCAGGATTTGCCAGGGGGTTCATTTTTTGAATAATTCAATCCAGGGGGGTTCACTTTTGAGAATTTTGGCCCAAAAATTCCAAGGGCCAAAATTCCACGAATTACTTAAAAAGTGCTTAGAATGTTGGAAAACTGCATGAATTTGAAGCCGGGGGGGGGGGGGGGGGGTGACACTAAATGTGGACACTGCCCAGGCAAGGGGTCGAACTCCCCCCCCCCGCCGAAAATTATTGCAAATTCATGCACTTTTTTACCACTTTGAGCACTTTTCAAGTTAATAGTCCAAAGTTGTCAATAGGGAACCCCCCTGGAACACTTAGAAAGTGAACCCCCTCCCCCCCCCTTAGCAAAGCCTGGCTACGGCCCGCTACCCGTTGATGAGATATAGGGTAAACTTTTATCATGGTCAGCTATGGGAATCACATCCCCAGTTTCCAACCTGTCCAATTCATCCATTCCCGGGAAGATACGTCATAACGCACTAGACGAAAATGCGAATAATGAATATCGTGAAAACGAACTGACGGCAAACGAAAATTCCGCTCGATAATGTACGTGATTTACCATATTCTATGGCCACTGAGTGCAAGAATTGGCTAGAGACTCGAGTAATACGTGATTATGTTTTTTAGCATAACTATTATCATCATAAGTTATTAAACTTAATGATTTATAACAATAACATGATTGTTGTGGACTTAGGCCTATTTTTGTGTTTTTCTTTCGCTTTGACATTATTTGAAAGCTAGAATTCGCAATATATGTTGCTAAAATTAGAAGAATTAATTTTTCTTGGATTTGCGATTTTTCGTGATCTGCGCATGCGCAAGATAGGTGGCGCAATAGTACTAATCTCCATTTTGAAGATTTTTGAAGAGCTCCTACAGCCATTCCGCGGCCACCATTCTATCCGTTTCACACCCAGGTGGTAGAGCCCATGGCATGACACACTGTCCTATGACACTTTTGGTAGAAGGCGGACATTTTTCAAAATGGCCATCATTTTAAGGTATTTTACTATAACTCGAAAAGTAGTGGAGCGATTTTTTTACATGGTCTAGTGACACTTTTGGTAGAATATGCGGCCACTTTGAAAAATGGCTGCCATTTATGCTATATACTTTGTTTGTAAAAATGCCATCCATGGCTGTTCGATGGGATTCACTACGCTTTGGCGTTGCCGTTGTTCTGGTTTCAGGATATGGACTTGCAGTTTATCTGTTAATCTTATAACTTTATTTTTGGATTAATTAGAGATAGGCATGGAGAATGTTATGGCTCATTCCACAAGCACTGAATTTACACTTATCAGCCTTAGATTAGCTCTAAATCATAGTTTGATTAAAGGGACCTGGAGGAAGCTCTAGAGATGGGCATGGACTGGTCTCTAAGAGAGGGCTATGCTTGGGCAGAGGATAAGGAACATTGTGAAGAATATGGGAGAATGCTACAAGCTGATCCTTCTAAAGTCAGCGCCAGAGCCAAGAAAAGAGGCCTTCCACAGGTAAACTACACTGATTGAATTTAAACATAGTTTGAATTCATTTGATTATTCTTGTATGATTTGCACCACTATTCAATCTAATGATTAGAAGATCTCTTGATAATTGATCTATAAATATGTATATGATCAGCTGGGAACACTCGGTGCAGGGAATCATTACGCAGAGATTCAGGTTGTTGAAGAAATCTATGACAAATTTGCTGCCAAGAAGATGGGTATAGAGTTCGAAGGTCAAGTGTGCTGTATGATCCACTGTGGAAGCAGAGGGTTGGGGCATCAGGTTGCCACTGGTGAGTAGCTTTAATTCTGGCCATAAGCCATTGTAAGGTTACATTTGGGAATAATAATTGTTTCCACCTCCCCATTTGCCCCCCCCCCTCCCCACTGGCTGCACCTCCCCAGTGGCTCCCCCTCCCCACTGGCTTCACCTGCCCATTGACTCCATCTCTCCATTGGACCCATTTCCCCCATTGGCTCCACATCTGAAGTGGCACCACCACCTACCAACTGGCTCAACCTCCCCCCATAGACTCCACCTCCCCATTGGCTCCCCTCTACACTGGCTCCACCTGCCTATTGGCCCCACTTCCCCCATTGGCTCCACCTCCCCATGGGCCCCACTTCCCCATTGGCCCCGCTTCCCCATAGACTCCACCTCCCCATTGGCTCCCCTCTACACTGGCTCCACCTGCCTATTGGCCCCACTTCCCCCATTGGCTCCACCTCCCCATTGGCCCCACTTCCCCATTGGCCCCGCTTCCCCATAGATTCCACCGCCCATTGACTCCATAACTGACTCCCCATTAACTTCAACTCCCCATTGATTCCCCCTCTCCCCATTAATTGGCTCCACCTTGACTTTACCTTTCCTCATTAACTTCACCTCTTCTCATTGGTTCAAAGGTTCCACCTCTCCTCCCCATTTGCTCTATCTTGATTCCATATCTGCTCACAGTGTCCACCTCCCACCCCTCCCCATTGTCTTTTAGCCAAATTGTGTAGTCTTACAAGTGGCAATCTCCACGAGACATCAGTATTTCTGCATTACATCTATTGTTGCCACTTTAGATGCTTTGGTTGCCATGGAAAAGGCTATGAAACGGGACAAGATTGAGGTGAATGATCGGCAGTTAGCATGTGCTCACATCAATTCTCAGGAGGGTCAGGATTACCTCAAAGGAATGGCAGGGGCAGCCAACTATGCATGGGTGAACAGGAGCAGTATGACGTTTCTATGTCGACAGGTACATTTTTATCAATCACTCACTTGTCCGTCTGTCTGTCCGTCCGTCCGTCTGTCCATCAACAATAGTGGCACGTTTTAAAACCTCTGTCGATAGGATTCCTGTTTTGAGTTATTTCTGTTCAACATCAATACAGAAAACCCCCCTATGACTCCTGGTTCAAAAGCTCGCCTATTTTCAAAATGGCCGTCACTTTTGTCTCGCGAAATTCACTTTTAGCCCATTTCCTAGCTAACCTCTGTCGATAGGATTCCTGTTTTAAGTTATTTCTGTTCAACATCAATACAGAAAACCCCCCTATGACTCCTGGTTCAAAAGCTCGCCTATTTTCAAAATGGCCGTCACTTTTGTCTCGCGAAATTCACTTTTGGCCCATTTCCTAGCTTTACAAATAATTTCAGGTGTCCTACATTGTAAAAATCCATGTCAATGTAAAGATTAGATATATGAAATAATTTTGTTACAAAAAATCAGCGAAAAATAGTATCCATTTTTTATTTTCAGCCGTTTTAGTTAACATTGATTTGCCTATCTGACTCGCGAAATCCACTTTCTGTCAATAACAGTGGCACGTTTTAAAACCTCTGTCAATAGGATTCCTGTTTTAAGTTATTTCTGTTCAACATGAATTCAGAAAACTCCCCTATGACTCCTGGTTCAAAAGCTCGCCTATTTTCAAAATGGCCGCCATTTTTGTCTCGCGAAATTCACTTTTGACCCATTTCCTAGCTATACAAATAATTTCAAGTGTCCTACATTGTAGAAATCCATTGCAAAGTAAAGAGTAGATGTATGAGATAATTTTGTTACGAAAAATCAGCGAAAAATTATATCCATTTATTTATTTTCAGCCATTTTAGTTAACATTGATTTGTCCATCTGTCTCGCAAAATTCACTTTTGGACCATTTACCTTAAACCCTCTGTCGATAGGTATCCCATTTTAAGTTATTTTTGTTCAACATCAATACAAAAAACTCTCCTATGACTCTTGGTTCAAAAGCTCGGCTATTTTCAAAATGGCCGTCACTTTTGTCTCGCGAAATTCACTTTTGACCCATTTCCTAGCTTTACAAATAATTCCAGGTGTCCTACATTGTAAAAATCCATGTCAATGTAAAGGGTAGATATATGAAATAATTTTGTTACAAAAAATCAGCGAAAAATTGTATCCATTTTTTTATTTTCAGCCATTTTAGTTAACATTGATTTGTCTATCTGACTCGCGAAATCCACTTTCTGTGGCACGTTTTAAAACCTCTGTCGATAGGATTCCTGTTTTAAGTTATTTCTGTTCAACATCAATTCAGAAAACTCCCCTATGACTCCTGGTTCAAAAGCTCGCCTATTTTCAAAATGGCCGCCATTTTTGTCTCGCGAAATTCACTTTTGACCCATTTCCTAGCTTTACAAATAATTTCAAGTGTCCTACATTGTAAAAATCCATGTCAATGTAAAGAGTAGATGTATGAAATAATTTTGTTACGAAAAATCAGCAAAAAATTATATCCATTTATTTATTTTCAGCCATTTTAGTTAACATTGATTTGTCCATCTGTCTCGCAAAATCCACTTTTGGACCATTTACCTTAAACCCTCTGTCGATAGGATTCCCATTTTAAGTTAATTTTGTTCAACATCAATACAAAAAACTCTCCTATGACTCTTTGTTCAAAAGCTCGCCTATTTTCAAAATGGTTGCCATTCTTGCTTCGCGAAATTCACTTTTTGCCCATTTCCTAGCTTTACAAATAATTTCAGCTGTCCTGCATTGTAAAAAGCCATGTCACTGTAAAAGGTAGTTGTATGAAATAATTTTGTTACAAAAAATCGGCAAAATATTATATCTGTTTTTTTTGTTTTCAGCCATTTTAGTTAACATTGATTTGTCAATCTGTCTCGCGAAATCCTCTTTTGGACCATTTGCTTAAAACCTCTGTCGATAGGATTCCAGTTTCAAGTTATTTTTGTTCAACATCAATACAAAAGACTCCCCTATGACTCCTGGTTCAAAAGCTTGCCTGATTTCAAAATGGTCGCCATTTTTGTCTCGCGAAATTCAATTTTGGCCCATTTCCTAGCTTTACAAATAATTTCAGGTGTCTTGCATTGCAAAAAGCCATGTCACTGTAAAGAGTAGTTGTATGAAATAATTTTGTTACAAATTATTGGCAAAAAATTATATCCGTTTTTTTCAGCCATTTTAATTGACTGAGAGACAGATGGCTTGAAATAATTTTGTAACAAAAAATCAGCAAAAAATTATATCCGTTTTTTTCTGTCACCATGTGAGCCCAGTACCCACGGTACTAATTTTTTATTTGAGAAAAACTAGATGAAATAATAATAAAGTTCCAAATATTTTGTTCATATATTCAGGACAGGTAGACATTTAACTATAAACCATGAAATAGGATGATAATATTATTATCATTAAGTCCCCATATGCATGCTATCACAGTGTTATTCCTATCTTCATTTACTGAGGGGAAAGAGGAACACTACATTCAGGGGTATAATGACTTGTTGCAAGACCAAAATATTCACTTTATATGGACATTATTTTCTAGGCATTCGCAAAGATGTTCCAGACGACTCCTGATGATCTTGATATGCAAATGATTTATGACGTGTCACATAACATTGCCAAAGTGGAAGAACACTTCATAGATGGCAAACAGAAGACATTGTTGGTCCATCGTAAAGGTTCAACTAGAGCCTTCCCTCCTCACCATCCACTGATTCCAGTAGACTACCAGGTGAATATAAGACTGTAAAGGTAGACAGATTGCTTAACCTGCCATCTATGTCATTCAGTTGAAAATGTGCATTTTGTTGTTCATTTTTGTTGTAGGAATCTGAGGAGATAGAGAATATAAAATGTTGCAAATAATATTTTCATGTTTCCCCTACAATCCTTATTTTATTTCCTGAAAACAATTCAATGGAGACACCTGATAAAATATGGAATTTATTGAAGATAAAGATGCAATGATATCCAAATTAATTATCCCACCGAACGAAGTTCGAGGGGGATATAGAGAAGCCATCCGTCCGTCCGTTTGTCCATCCGTGTGTCCAGGCGATAACTCCAATACCAGTTGACGGATTTGGTTCACATTTTATAAGCTTATGCCTTATGAGTGTAGGACCTCTGCTCGAGAAGGAATTTTCAATATGGCTGCTCAATTCAAAATGGCCGCAATTTTTCGCAATTTTTCGTAAAAAAACGTTATCTTTGATAACTCAAATACCAGTGAACAGATTTGGTTGAAATCTTATATGATTATGCCTAGGGACACAGTAGCTCTGTTCAAGAAATAATTTTCAAGATGGCGGCTGAATTTCAAGATGGCGGCCAATTTTTGTAAAAAACGTAATCTTTGATAACTCATATACGAGTGAACGGATTTGGTTCAAATTTTATATGATGATGCCTAGGGACACAGTTGCTATGTTCAACAAAGGAATTTCAAGATGGCAGCTTTATTTCAAAATGACGGCAATTTTTCGTTAAAAAAACATAATCTTTGATAACTCAAATACCAGTGAACGGATTTGGTTCAAATTTTATATGATGATGACTAGGGACACAGTTGGTTTGTTCAAAAATGAATTTTCAAGATGGCCACTGAATTTCAAAATGGTGGCCATTTTTTGTAAAAAAAACATAAAATTTTGATAACTCTAATACCAGTGAACGGATTTGTTTTAAATTTTATATGATAATGCCTAGGGACACAGTAGCTCTGTTCGAGGAAGAATTTTCAAAATGGCAGCTGAATTTCAAAATGGTTGCCATTTTTCTTAATTTAAATTTTATATGCTGTTACCTAGGGACACTATAGCTCTGTTCGAGAACGATTTTCAAAATGACTGCAGAATTTCAAATGGCCGCCATTTTTAGTAAAAAAGAACTTAATCTTTGATAACTCAAATTTTAATTTATGGATATGGTTTACATTTTATATGTTGATGCTTAGGGACAAACAAGCTCTGCTCAAGAAGGAATTTTCAAGATGGCCACTAATAATCTAAATATGTTTTGTTCGGTGGGATTTGCTGTTTTTCTAGTTTGAATTGGAAATGTAACATCTCCCTAGATAATCCTACATACATTGAAGTATTGAAGGATTATCCTGGAATAAAGTCAGAACTTTTGAAATTTTAGAAAATAGTCACAACATTGAATGATGAGACTTGAGAACAAAAAAATGAAAAATTGAAGAGTTTTATTTTACCTCTCAACTCAAGTGTATTCATTTATAGTTCTTTTAAAATTGTTGAGTTAGTATTTTCAATTTCAATGAAATAAGCTATTTGATGGTCTGTGTTTATTCCAAATTGTTTGTGAATTGCTCTGAATCACATGAGAATTGAAAGAAATAAAAGCATAAAATTGTTTATGACTGTCATGAAAAACAATATCATTTTCTAGGTGTGATTTTTTTTTAATAGATTCTAAGTAGTATATTCAAATATTATTAATGGTAATGGACATCTGATTGGTTGTGTTATATTTGTATTCATAGTTAACTGGCCAGCCAGTGCTAATAGGTGGCACCATGGGTACCTGTAGTTACGTCCTGACTGGCACAGAGGTTGGCATGGAATCAACATTTGGAACAACTTGCCATGGAGCTGTGAGTGTTTATGTTACTTTCATTAATATTATTACTGTATCAATGTATCATTCAGGCAATACACCACTTAAAGGCCCACTATACTTAAATTAGAAGAAAAAAGAAAAAAGAATCATTGAAACATGTTACTAACACACTCGCTCTAATATAAAACAAAGTTTGATTTGCTTGAATATTGAACCAAGAAAAAATAACTCACATAGAAAAAAGCATTTAAAGTTCAGATACCATTAGTAGTGCATACACAATGCTTAAAGAGGCTCTATGCCATAGCACAATCAAGACCCCTCTTGAATTTTTCGCATATTGAGTTTCACCACATATATGCTCATCTACTTACCAAAGAAGAAGTCCCAAATCCCCCTCTTTCAGTGTTAATTATGCGATTGTGCTGGCCGATCTAATTATTTTCGAAGAAATTAATTCAATCTGAAGTTTGAATATACTGGGAAAGTCCTCCTGTTATCTGATTGGTCGTTGAATTTATTTATCATAAACCTGATTGGCTGCCTGGTTCAAGGCGCTTGTGTGACTCAATGGGGATTCCCCTCGCTAGCCGATGAATCGATTGTGTTTAATTCTGAAGTTTGGTTGTTATGTTGATTATTTCCGATATTTCGGCAATAATATACCCAAAAGTTATTCTCAAGATATATCCATGGTATGTGAGATTTTATATAAGCAATAACAATAGGACATCATTGATTGTCTGGGGGAGAGACCTATGGCATAACTCATCTTTAACAAAATTTATGTTTTAAATTACTTATTAAATTTATTACTATTTAAAAGATGGCGACACTTCTATGAAAATAAATGTATCATGTAATACAAACAACTTCGCCATCTTTCAATGACATTGATAAAAATTTGATATATACAGCTTGACAGATCGAAAATATTTTTTGATGAATTATTGTAAGCTTTGATGTGGTCCGTTTGTGCTATTGTTGGTGTCAAATGAAAGATAAGGTTCTTATCAATACATTGGACATTCTTTAAAATTCAAATAAAAGTCTTTAGTTTTGCCCAAAAACATTGAAAATATGTGGGCCTTTAAACGAATAAACATTTTGTATGATCTTTTGTATCACAATTGTACTGAGGTTCTAGGTGTATCATGTGGGGAAAATATATAATGTATTTACTGAGTGGTATGGATATATTTATATTTTCCCCATTATTGCTGTGGTCCGGGACATACAAAACCCCTCCCATTCCTACTCCATATGATTTTATACAATACAAAACATTTTGTATAATTTTGGAACCTTAAATATAGAAGGTGAAAATACATGCAGAATTTACTAGTGTGATACCTTTTGCCATATTCAGAACAATTTATGAATGAGTTTATCTCCTATTACCTAAGATACCTTGATAAGGTAATTGAATATCAGTAGACTCTAAAACCTTATATCAATTAAATCCAGACAGCACACCAATAAGACAAGGTACGTGTACAGTGATTAGGGAATGTTCTTAACTTTGACCAGTTTTCATATCATGATAAAAGAGGAATTTCTAAATGCCCAATTTTCAACAGTTTATCAAAATATATTTACTACATTGCACAAGTACTGATAACCAGAACCATGGTGTACAGTTCTTACAGCGAGACCCATTTTCGGCACTTTATCATAACTTATCCATACCACTGACTTTTACCATATTATCAGATTTCATGTTTTTCATGTTCTTGTTTATGTCAACGCCCTGAATGAGCATCATACACTGTGTAACCATATCCCTGGCCTGTTCTAGCTTTGTGTGACTGTCATTCACTTCTTCCTGGAGCTGTCCATTCACTTCCTCCAGCTCTGCTACATGTTTTTCAGCTCTCTGTAATCTTGTGTCATTTGTAGGATTTGTTTCTGTTGATTGGTCATGGCATGTGGCTGTGTCCACATTTTGTTCTAGAATTGTTGTGATGTCATTTGCTTCTTGAAGATTCGCTTTTGTTGATTGATTAGGTGTTGTTATTTTGTGATTTATGCTGTTTTCTGGGAGTATATTAGGAATGGTGTTTGCGTCCATATTTGTGTCCCCTTTCATATTGTTGTCCACACCCATATTTGTGTATGGGATTCCATTTGTGTCTGTAGTCATATTTATTTCTACTGTGGTATTTGTGTCTTGAGTTACATTTGTGCCCATGGATATATAAGTGTCTGCCCCCATATTATCATCAGGTGGGGTTATTATGATTTCAGGAATATCAACAGATGGCATAATGTTAATGTCACAATTCTTCACTAGGTTAGTAACATCCTTTCCATTGAGGAGCTGTTGCTGCTCAAGTTTATGTAGCTCCACTTGGTAAAACAAAGAGCGCACATCGGCGGCTTGCAAGCCTCGTCGTAATTCCTCCACAGTTTGACGCAAACATTCAAGCTCATCATTCTGTTGGTCGATCACTCTTTCCATGTGAGCAATCATTTGATTTTGTTTAAGTTTGTCCTTCGAGGTTGATTTACTCAATATTCTTGCACTCAACGATTTCTTCATTTCTTTCAAGTTCAAATCAAGATGAATGTATTTATATTTGGAAACTTTCGGGATATATCCAGTGTTATTCCCTCGAATTGTAAAATGGTGGCTAAGTTTTTCAAAGAATTGATTGAACGATAGAAAATCAGGCAGGTTTTTGAATATGTCAACATCATGTTTGTTAAGCTCTATATCCAGTACCTCACATAGGCTTTCGAAGTCTTTTCGCCATATTTCACCTTTGTCGTTATGTTCCAGATTGTCATATAGATCCTGCAGGTATTTCCCGAGGCCCAATGACATAATCATCTCAGTGTTAGATGCTTCTGTTGTAACACCATGAACAAACTCAAGAGTTTTCACTAACAAGCTTTTTTCCTTTGACGACATTTTTCTATTTCTTGTTTTGTAAATTCATATACTCTTTGACTTTTTTGTTGACTGCATAGCTCTCCATGTGAAGATTGTGCTGATGTGTTTACAGTTTACATGTGTGTTCCTTGTCCTATCTATCTCTCTAATATGAGGGTGATACCAGGTGCCATTCACTACGTTACCACTAGATAGAATCTCTTGTTAGGCATCATTTAAATGTAAAATGGATTGGCAAAGAGTGGATTAAGCATGGAACAAAGTAAGCAGGCACACTCATCTCCAGGAATTGCCCAATATCAAACTCTTTGAAATCTTGCATCACTGCAGATTGTTCTTTAAAATTACTGTAGAATAATCATGAAGAGATTTTATGTCTGGGCTGTAAACATATCAATCTATAAACCAAGTCAATTTCAAAAGTGCCCTTACCTGGCATCTGCTTACCTTGGTGTTACCTTTGACTTTTTAGTGGGTTGTTGTTTATTGTTTATCAATACAATTAACACTTACAAAATGTAAAAACAACATGCAACTCAATAACTTATAATATATTTTGGAATTGAAGTTGCAAATGAGGTAGAAAACAAAACTCTTAAAGTGAAAGTTTTGATGGGTCACATATTGAGAGCTAATAGTGTTATCAGATTAAGGTAGGCAGACTGGATTGAATAATATATGCCTTTATACAAAGTCCCACAAACTAATGTTACATACTTGATCCTCCTTAATATTATAGCTTTCTATCATTTAAATTATCTTTATTCAATCGTCTTTACTTCAAACACATTTCGGTTGTGTTGTTAAGTACATTTATTCTAAAGTGAAATCATTGACATTAGATATCATGAAATAATCCATTCTTGATTATAGTTAATGTAAGAATACGAGTCATATAATTTGATTAATCATTTATGTACCAACTTTTAATTTCACAATCTTTTTAAATTGCATTACCCACTTCTGTTCAACATCAATCTTAATTTAAACACTTCTTATTCTAAAAATATGAATAGATTATGAGGCCTTGTAAGATTAAAGATGAATGCTAACACTTAATACAATAGAAGAAGAAGTTGGTGGTGTATGTTAAAGTTGTGTGTGAAGCGGATTAATGAGATAAGATATATGGCTTACAATCAATGTGAACACACTCTCATGTTATATGGTTGCCAAGTTTACCCTAGTAACCACACTTCAGTAAAACTTCAAAGCCTGCTGCCTTGAATTAGGCAAATATCCACAACTGATAAACAAATATGTTCAATATGTTTAATTTGATTCTAAAGGTTTTGTAATAGTCCCTATGTAGTTTTATCTTTTCGAGATTTTGATATCCGTTGAAAATAAATATCATTTGGGGAAAAATTCTTTACTTGAATAACTCATATTCTGAAATGTGATTTTCATGTTTTATGTTTGAATCCTATTTAATTGCTCATTAGTCTCAAATGAATACAACAGTGTATTAATAAAATGTGTGTTGATTGTGTTTTAGGGAAGAGCACTATCACGGGCTAAATCACGTAGGAACATAGGCTATGACCAAGTGTTACAGTCACTACAGGAGAAAGGGATCTCAATCAGAGTTGCGTCACCAAAGCTTGTTATGGAAGAAGCACCAGAATCTTACAAAAATGTCACAGATGTAGTTGACACATGTACGTTCCCCAATCTTGCATTTTTATGTCACCACCAAAAGTGGTGACATATTGTTATGGTCTCCGTTTTTTTGCGACGGCGTCCGGCGGTTGGAGGTTGGCGTCCGGCGGTTGGCGTCCGGCGGTTGGCGTCCGGCGTCTGTAACAATTTCTTACAACTTCCTATAACTTAACAAATACTGTTTAGACTGACTTCAATTTTTTTCTAAATCATCTACATGTTCTCAGAAGTTCAAATCTGACTTTAGATTTGACATTTGACCTTCAATGACCTTCTCAAGGTCAAAAAGGTCTTTTTTCAACTTGCTTCACATTGACTCATTTTTTTTTCAAAATCATCTACATGTTCTCAGAAATTCAAATCTGACTGATTTGACTTTAGATTTGACATTTGACCTTCAAATCTGACTTTAGATTTGACATTTGACCTTCAATGACCTTCTCAAGGTCAAAAAAGGTCAAAAAGGTCTGTTTTCAACTTGCTTCAAATTGACTAAATTTTTTTTTCAAAATCATCTACGTGTTCTCAGAAATTCAAATCTGACTTAAGATTTGACATTTGACCTTCAATGACCTTCTCAAGGTCAAAAAAGGTCAAAAAGGTCTGTTTTCAACTTGCTTCAAATTGACTAAAAAAATTTTTCAAAATCATCTACGTGTTCTCAGAAATTCAAATCTGACTTTAGATTTGACTTAAGATTTGACATTTGACCTTCAATGACCTTCTCCAAGTCAAAAAAGGTCAAAAAGGTCTTTTTTCAACTTGCTTCAAATTGACTAAATTTTTTTTTCGAAATCATCTACATGTTCTCAGAAATTCAAATCTGACTTTAGATTTGACATTTGACCTTCAATGACCTTCTCAATGTCAAAAAAGGTCAAAAAGGTATTTTTTCATCTTGCTTCAAATTGACTAAATTTTTTTTTCAAAATCATCTACATGTTCTCAGAAATTCAAATATGACTTTAGATTTGACTTTGGATTTGACATTTGACCTTCAATGACCTTCTCAAGGTCAAAAAAGGTCAAAAAGGTCTTTTTTCAACTTGCTTCAAATTGACTAATTTTTTTTTCAAAATCATCTACATGTTCTCAGAAATTCAAATCTGCCTTTTCGATTTGACATTTGACCTTTAATGACCTTCTCAAGGTCAAAAAAGGTCGAAAAGGTCTGTTTTCAACTTGCTTCAAATTGACTTAATTTTTTTTTCAAAATCATCTACATGTTCTCAGAAATTCAAATATGACTTTAGATTTGACTTTAGATTTGACATTTGACCTTCAATGACCTTCTGAAGGTCAAAAAAGGTCAAAAAGGTCTTTTTTCAACTTGCTTCAAATTGACTAATTTTTTTTTTCAAAATCATCTACATTTTCTCAGAAATTCAAATCTGACTTTAGATTTGACCTTTGACCTTCAATGACCTTCTCAAGGTCAAAAAGGTCTTTTTTCAACTTGCTTCAAATTGACTAATTTTTTTTCAAAATCATCTACATGTTCTCAGAAGTTCAAATCTGACTTCAGATTTGACATTTGACCTTCAATGACCTTTTCAAGGTCAAAAAGGTCTTTTTTCAACTTGCTTCAAATTTACTTAATTTTTTTTCAAAATCATCTACATGTTCTCAGAAGTTCAAATCTGACTTTACATTTGACATTTGACCTTCAATGACCTTCTCAATGTCAAAAAAAGTCAAAGAGGTATTTTTTCAACTTGCTTCAAATTGACGAATTTTTTTTTCAAAATCATCTACATGTTCTAAGAAGTTCAAATCTGACTTAAGATTTGTGTGCAACTAGTTTTAACTTGCTTCAGATTGAACAATTTCTTTTTTCAAAATCATCTACAAGATCCCAGAAGCTCAAATCTTCAAAAACATTCTTAAGGTCAAAAGGTATTTTCCAACTTGCTTTAAATTGACCAAATTGTTTTAGGTGGTGACATTTTGTCATGTTAATGCCTTGTCTCATTTTGTACTCAGCTTAGCTTTCTTTCATTTTCATTAAATATATTCTTTTTTAAAATCCACATTCTTCATAATTCAAATAGATGCAAATGGATCAGACAGGTGCTTAGTAATTTTTATATTCTTAAATTGGTGCATCACCCAATTTATTATCAATTTACATACACTTTGGAGATTAACGTGGAACGTAACAAATTTATATAGAATGTAAAGAATTATCATTTAATGTTTCAGGTCATAAGGCGGGAATAAGCAAAAAAGCAATCAAATTACGCCCAGTTGCAGTGATCAAGGGATGATATAATTGTGATTGTGAACAGAATGTGGACTTAGGATAATGCTTAAGGCACTACTGCCATCTTTAAATAACTTGCAGTACTATTACTATGTAACGTTCCTTGACGTTTGAAGGGATCTCCTTATTTGGATATAAATAAAGAAACTTGTGGAGTAATTGGAAATAGATATCCCGGATTAGATGTACTTCAGAATTGTGTTTGGTTGGCTTTATGAATATAGTCAGGGGTTTCATGAGAATTTTTCACAACAGGCTAAATAAATAAAAATAACAGGCAAAAATTAATGGAAATCATAAATTTAACATGGAAAAGATGAAAAGTCCCTAAAAACAACATGCGATTTTGTGAAAATTGCCTGTTGCCTGCTGCTAATGAATCCCCTGATAGTTCTCTATAGTAATACTCATTCAAGCCATTTGGAACATAAATGTAGATGTACTTGTATTGTGTACTTGTAATGTTTGAAGAGTGAAAGTAAAGAGCATCAGTATAAACCCCAATTTGGATTTATAAAACTTGTAAAACCATTATGATTTATTTAAATTTTTTTATGTTTTTGTCCCCATATAGATAAGTTCTTTATGTTTACATGTATCTTATATGGCCAGTAAGATATGGTGCCTCATTTAGCAGTTTATCATGCTTGAGTGTAGCATAAAAGAGATGTTCAAGTGGATACTGTACTTCTACTTAATTTGTCGGATTTGCTGTCATGAACATTTGGCGGCTACTTAATTTGACAGACTTGCAATATTGAAAAATTTGGTGGATTTGCATATTTGAAAATTTGGCGGATTTGCAATATTGAAAAGTTGCACGCTTACAATATTGACACAATATCTTTAATAATATGTGCTATAACATGGTTTTATTTAAATCTTTTTTTTATTTCGACTTCGTAATTACAGTGTGTTAAATTCCATACAGTAAGGTACTGTATCAAATTTAAAAGAGGTCTAGGTGAACACAATATATAAGCACAAATGCCAAAGGGAAGGGTGACTAAAAACTTTAAAGAAACCCAACAAGAAAAGCAAACTGTAAGTGTAAATCTGTCATAAGAAGAGTAGACCCTATATATCCCAAAACCATAATCTAACGTGAAAAGAAACAATGTCTAACATCCCCCTCCCCCCTCCAATCGAGAACCAATATCACAATCCAGGACCAGAACACCAAGGGACATTTCATTCAACATACTTGTAAAAGTTTCTGTCAAAACAACTGTATTCAACAGGAAAATGTGGTAAATTTCGTGTTGTGTGAATCCCAGGAAATTTTTTGGCGACTTATTTCGGCAGACTTTTACTTGAAATGACCGCGAAATGAAGTAAAATACAGTAATCAGCTTTATACCTTTATACAGCAGAGTTTGATGCCCAATTTTAAGATTTGGTCATCACTTGAACCTTTGAATGCAATATCTCCTGCATTGTATCTTAGTATTTAATTGCCAAAATATGAAAAAATAAAAAGATGAAAATCGTACTTCCAACATTTTTGTCAATTATTTCATATAGGCCTACAGTACAATTTTTGTACATATTTTGATACATTTCAGGATTATATTTCGCGTTGTGCTTATTATTGATCCGTGTCGAGTAGATCGACTATGTCATAATCTGGGTGATAGAAAGAATGGTCATTAAAAGATGGCATTGTAGTCAACTTGTTGATATGGAATATCAAAGTAAAGGTGAAAAGTTAATTTAATTAAGTCTGGGTCGACCTCTCAAATATTGGTCATATTCTTCTAGACAAGTTTATGGTTACCAGGCATGAGGTATTATATCAGACATGTTTTCTACTATAACTATAGAAATAAATTCCAAAATCGATGGTAGTAACATACTTTAGCCTAAATGCCCCTTCTCTATATTAACATTCACCCAGTCTAAGATCCTGGCTACGCCCATGCTCTTGTTAACATTGTGTCCCGGGAATTATATTTCTGAATTTGTAACAGGTAAACATTGTTTACTAAAGTTTCGTTCAGTGTAACCAATCATATTAGATTTCTTCCAATATCCAATCAGAAAAGTCTTTACATGTCAGTTCGGTTCAACATGGGATTTTTTAGGAAAATTATCACAATTAGCTTTATTACTGCTTTACTTATTGTTTTAATTCATATTTGGATAACAAATAAAGAATACATATATTCAGAGGATGCAATACACTCACTAGCAAGAAAATATGCAGGTAAAATGGATGTGAATGAGAGAAAAGCTGCTCTGAATTTTTTTCAGAATAAATATTTTACTTCCTCATAACTTAGAGTCCATTTCACTGGTTCATTTCGCCAGTAGAACGGCAAAAATAAGAAATTGGGAGACGATTGTGCAATAATATATGGAAAAGTATATTCATAATGTACATGAATGACATTTGTATATCTTGGATTGCTTCTAGTTTGGCTTATAAAGTGTGTGGCCTCTTATATTTGGATGTTTCTCTGCCATGTTATTTTCAATAAGATTAACATGGCTGAAATTCTTCAAATTACAAGACGGCCCAGGCTCATTGCACAAAAAACTAAAAAATCTGAAATATACAAATGTCATTCATGTACATTATGAATATACTTTTCCATATATTATTGCACAATGGTCTCCCAATTTCTTATTTTTGCCGTTCTACTGACGAAATGAACCAGTGAAATGGACTCTAGATCTACATTACAAACGTTACATGTGTCGAAAATCAGTCACTTAGAGAACTATGAGTTTGAAAACCTTACCTTCTTCCTCTATATTACGACCTTACATCAAGTTTCCAGCTTTTGCATTTGTTTCATTCTCACTCGTCCTTTTATTTGCTTGCCATCTATGGGCTTTCCCGGGGGGCTTTCAACTGAAACCTCATGTAATTATCCCATCGAACGAAGTTCGGAGGGATATAGGGAACGCCTCCGTCCGTCCGTCCGTACGTACGTACGTCCGTCCATCCGTCTGTCCGTCCGTCCGGGCAATAACTCAAATACCGTTGGCCCGATTTTTTTCATATTTTGTACACATATACCCTATGGGGGTAGAAGTTCTGCTCGAAAGCCGATTTTCAAAATGGCCGCTCATTTCAAAATGGCGGCCATTTTAATGCCGAATTTACAGTAATTTAGGTGCAATATGTAAAACTGTAATAGCAATATGTTTTAGATGTAAAAAAATTATATAGGACATTAATAAAGCTAGAAATGTAGATATTAAAGAAGCACATGGCAGCCATCTTGAAAAATGGCGGCCTTTACTCGTTATTTTACGATTTTTGCTGTAACTCGAAAAGTAGTGGAGCGATTTTGTTCATATTTGGTATGTGAATACTATAAGCCTGACACACTGTCCTATGCCACTTTTGGTAGAAGGCGGCCATTTTGAAAAATGGCCGCCATTTTAACATATTTTACTATAACTCGAAAAGTAGTGAAGGGATTTTGTTCATATTTGGTATGTGAATACTATAAGCATGGCACACTGTCTAATGACACTTTTGGTAGAAGGCGGCCATATTTGAAAAATGGCCGCCATTTTAACGTATTTTACTATAACTCGAAAAGTAGTGAAGCGATTTTGTTCATATTTGGTATGTGAATACTGTAAGCATGGCACACTGTCTAATGACATTTTTGGTAGAAGGCGGTCATTTTTCAAAATGGCCACCATTTTAACGTATTTTACTATAACTCATTGAGCTATAAACTTTGTTTGTAAAAATGCCATCCATGGCTGTTCGATGGGATTCGCTACGCTTTGGCGTTGCCGTTGTTCTGGTTGCCATTCATACCCCCATTTTATATATCTGCTCGATGGGCTTATTAGCACTTTGCAGATAAAAGACATAGACACGTGAGACTGATTTGCGTTTTTTCTTAATTTTGACATTTTTTATCTACATTCTAGTTCAGGCTCCAAACTTTGCAGTTGGCAATAATTTCATGTGTTTTCTACGTATGTTGAAAAATAATGCCAGCCACGATGTTTGGAGGCCTAATTTGCCTAAAAAATTTCAAAAACAAGAAAAATGCCAATCAACCCCCACAATTATGAGGGTAGCTATTTGTGGAGACAATTATCATAAAGAAACCATCGTGTATCTTTTTGGTGGAACACGAGTTCAGTTGGTCTCACTTTATCTGTTGTAATTTTTACTTATTTGTTATTTGACTATTCGCCAAGAGCCATTTTACAGTTACCAACCAAGCTGCCAGGTTTAGAATGCAAAGTTTTTATGTCACCACCAAAAAGTGGGCCCAGAAATTTGTTTTAGATTTTGGGCCTCAAAATATTGTAGGGCCTCTAAAAATGGGCCTTTTTGGGCATACTTTGGTATTTTAGGCCTTTTTGGCCAATTTATCAAAAAATGGGTCTTAATTTTTCAAAGTTAGTGCCCAGTTTTTGGGTTTAGGGGCCAAAATTATTTTTCCGCGCTATGACCTTCTCAAGGTCAAAAAGGTCTTTTTCAACTTGCATCAAATTGAACAATTTTTTTTTCAAAATTCTTTACAAGTTCAAATCTGACTTGAGATTTGACCTTCAATGACCTTCTCAAGGTCTAAAAGGTCTCCTTTCAACATGCTTAAAAATAACCAATTTTCATCTACAATTTCTTAGAAATTTAAATCTGATTTTTACATTTAAGACTTGACCTTCAATGACTTTCTCAAGGTAAAAAAGGTCAAAAAAGTATTTTTCAACTTGCCTCAAATAAACCATCTTTTCAAAATCATCTACAAGTTCCCAGACGTTCAAATTTGACCTAAACCTGACCAAAACTTGTTGAAATGTGACCATATATACTTTTGTCGAATCATAAATTATAATTCTACTTATTTTATTAAAATCAATCAAAAATAACTTGTGATTCTATTTTTCCAAGTACATGTACATGAAATTTAACCCGTTTTGTTTATTATAGGCCAAGAGCATGGAGCTGCATTTGAAGAAATCCACACTAAACTCTTCCAAGCTTATCCTGGTCATATTCTTCCCAAAGATGACCTGCAATGGGTATTTGTAAATGCAGGAGGGTGGATGGGAAGCATGTGTTTGCTACATGCGTCGCTCACAGAGTATGTTCTGTTCTTTGGCACTGCAATTGACACATCAGGTCACTCAGGTATATAAATAAGATTAAGTAGTAGTATTTCCTCTTGATCATATCATGATAGTACTCGATCTGAGTTATTAACATTTCATAAAAAATAATTTAGCAATTTTCAAAAAACTCACTCAAGCGATATTACTATGCATTAACATTAATTGATAAGATGTCACGAAGGCCAATAGATACTTAAATGATCCCCATCCTTAAATCCCCTTTCCTTCATCTCTCATACATATACAGCGAAACCTCTCTAATCCTAATACTACTGGAACTGGCCAAAAGTTCAGATTAGCAGGTGCTCACATTTTAAGATTTTTTAACATGTGATTAAATGGGAGATAACAAGATTGTGCCGAGGAAAAGTGTTCACATTGAAAGGTGTTCATGTAAAAGAGGTGTTAGGGTATAAAGATTTTACTATATATCCCAATGCTTTCTAATTAGACCATACCTCTTCATGACTGGCCCTTATAAACCATATCAGATGCATGTATAAAGAGTTATGATTTCATATGATATTTTTTTCAGGGCGATATTGGGCAAACATATCTGATACAATTATCACTGGCTCATTCACACAGTGGGAGGAAGGCAAAATCAACAGCAGAACATTTGGTCCTGGTAAGTGCTGACCAGAAAAGAATACTGAATAGTCCTGTTTGTGATTATTTAGCGGGTAGCAGAAATTTCAAGGAAAAAAGTTGAAACAACTGAGAGTCCCTGCCACATTAATTTTCCATAGAAAACTGATGGTAGCCTCCTTTATTACTTCAAAAACATGTAGCCTGGTTTCATTTTTTTGTACTTTTCTCATATTTAATGGCAGAATCAGAACTATTGGGAAAAATTTTAAAAATTACAAGCAACATGTACAATTGACCTACCAATCTATTCCTTGCAATCTAAAATTCAATATCTCCCAAAAGATTCATGATATGTTATAAATTAGTGAAGTTACAATGGATTCAAAGTGCAAAAATGGGTGAAAATGTGTAAATTCTCCCACTTAATCATTCTTATAGAAAACTAATACATTACTGTAAAAATCATTAGTTTTCTGAAATGAAGTGCACACTTTTGGGATTTTTAGAAAATAGACATAAAAAGGTATGACATAAGCTAGAAATATTCTAAAATTGGAATAATTTTTTGTTAGGCTTCTCTCTTTAATGATATGATTTTACTTTTAGGTGACACAATAGTTCACAGTTGGGGTGAAGCAACTGGTGTATTTTTTAAAAAGGGCACCTGGATGGTGGAATATGGGAGAGGATTCATACCATCAACAATGGGATTTGCACTGTCTGATACCATATTTGGTACCCAGGATTTTCTGACTCTCTATTACACATTCCGCATATATGCCAAAGCCTTGCTCTTAGAAGCAAATATATACAATCATTACACAGAGACAAAATTGTACATGACAGAGACAGTGGACTGGATTGTAGATCATATATAAGTCTGACTGCATAAGTGGTTAATTGTTATTTTTCTCCTGCCTTATATCATGTATGTTTGTTATTTTTGACAATATGAAAGTGTTTTGCTCTGATATGGTATACGCATAATCAAATGTTATTTTCATTTATTTGAGTTTATCATTAAACTGGAATTGAGGGCTCATGATCTCTCCAAATCCTTTGGATTATTAGTTTTTAATCCATTGAATCCAATGTCATGAATCATGAAAGTTGATTAAAAGACTTTTATTTGTAATATTTTAGATATTTTGGCTTTTATAATTGCCACTTGTACAGCAAGTTATTTAAAACATATTATCTTATTACAATGTCAAAGAACTGTACAATTTGATACTGCAATATATTTTAATATATTTACATTATTGAAATGTAGTGTTATAAAGTTTTTTATATGACATACTATAGCATATTATATTACCATGATTATCTGTTGACATCCAAATGAAGATTCATTGTATTTTGAGTTTTGTAAAAAATAAATATTTAAAACTGTTAACCAGTCTTTTGCTCATTAATAAAAAACAATAATACTGTAATTTTTAAACACTCAGCCTTTGGAATAAATCAGGTAGCAGGGTAGGGGAGTGTTTCATTTTAATTTGTACCTGGTTATACACTCCTTGTCAAGTTATCACCCCCACCCTTTAAACTGTGCATTACATATGAAGTAGCAGTCGTGATTCAGATTAAAATTGGCATTTGAAATAAAATTGATTTAAATTACTGTAATACATCAAATAACAGTTTGATGAACTTAAAATGTTGCAATTGTCTTCTGATTTGGTCACCCTTTATAATGTATTTACATTATATATCTGCTTCATATGGGCTTATTAGCCTTTTGCAGATTATTGACATAGACAGGTAAGGTTAATCTAAATAGATGAGGCAAGGTTGAGTTAAGGCAATATAATAGGTAAAGGCAATGTAGCTATAGTAAGTTATAACAACTAGACTTCATTGTTACTGGCTAGTAGCTATGCTCATTTGTAAATATAGCAAGAACGACACATAATCCTATGACGTCAATGGTGGTGGTCATTTTGAGAAATGACTTTTAGCAGTGTTGTCTGACACTCAGCAGATGTATAGTTTCATGATTTGCTAGGCCTTGGCAAACTCTCTGAGAGAGGCTTATTATCAGTTCTCAGAATTGTCCCGTGGCGTCCGTAGCCATTATGCATTATGCACGTTAACTTCAACCTCACAAAGTGTTAGATAGTTCTGACCCTGTAATTGGATCCTGACATAACGGCCAGACACGGATGCTTGACAGTAGTATAATTCCCAGGCACTGCTCAGGCCTCCAGTTTGATGATGACATAGGATCCAATTCACCATATTGTTGCTTACTTCTATCTTAAAGTTGCTCAATCGTGCTATAATAAACAAACAAACACGATTTTGAACATCTTAACCCGAAAATGTTTTACAGTAGAATTAAAGGGCAAGAGTGCAGTGAAAAATAATAGGATATTTATCAGAAAGTTTTGGACTTTTGAATACATTATGAATATATACTCCTCAAAAAAAGTTAAAGACCAGTGGTTTTCCTCATAGGTTTACATGTAAACCCCCATATTTGTTTGAACGACTATTTTTTAAGTTTAGTTTATTTTATTATTTATTAAAGTGTCACAGGCATATTATTTTACATAATTATACGTACAATTATTCAAAAGCTCCAAGCCAACAATGGCTTATGAGACAGTCCATCTCAGAAATATTGCTAATAAAATGATTGATTTTGAATGAAAAAAATATTAAAGACACACAATCAGTCAATTACTAATACGTCGAATAATCCACTCATGCTAAGAAGGCTTATTTATGATACATGAAGGCAATGAGAGCCCAACATATTAATTGTAATATCCATGACATTTTACTCCAAGTTTATAGTCTAGAATAGGCGAAACAAAAGAAATCTCAATAAAGAAAATAAATCTGTATCTTGATTCTATTCCCTATAAGGTCCGCAACGTTTCAATGTTTTATCTCCATTACATTAGGTCAAAATTTGATGTCAAAATTGATGAATTTCATGAAATTTAACAAAAATGGCTGATCCCATGTTAAACAAATGGGGAATGGTGGCTTAGGGGCAACTCAGATTTTGGAATATCTATTCAGTAAAACATTTATTAAAAATACTTTCTAAGTAGAAAATTGAATGTTTTTACATTTTACGTGCTAAATGTCTCGCTTATGTTGTTAAAATTAGCGATACGGAGCGTTGAAGTAATTTTGACCACCTCACTGAAACACCTATGTTATTAAATAAGAGGATCATTAAAAAATTATTGAATTTGAAACCATTAACTTTTGTAAAGCCTGGACAATTAAATCATATTTTTGTCGAGTGGACAATTTAGCAAATTTAATTGTCTCCTACAATTTCAATTTTGAGAGCAATCAGATGGATGGATCGTTCCTCATATGACTTATGGCAACCCAACCATTCCCCATTTGTTAAACATGGGATCTGCCATTTTTGTTAAATTTCATGAAATTCATCAATTTTGACATCAAATTTTGACTCAATGTAATGGAGATATAACATTGAAACGTTGCGGATTTTATAGGGAATAGAATCAAGATACAGATTTATTTTCTTTATTGGGATTTCTTTTGTTCCACGCTTAGAAAATAGTCGTTCAAACAGATATGGGGGTTAACATGTAAGCGTATGAGGAAAACCATTGGTCCTTAACTTTTTTTGAGGAGTATAGAATAGAGTTTAATAAAGTATGCCTTACATGGCGCAGAATTTCTGCAATTGACCACTTTGACAGAGTATATCGTGTACGTGGCTTGTAGGTCGACCATCCACCATGCTCTTACATCATTCCTTGTATGCGTACAAGACCCATGGTACCAGTCATCATCGGGGTTCCCATCAACGGCCAAATTAGAAAACCCTTTGTTATAGCCATAATAGTTCGATGATTGCATAGTTGGCTTGCCTTCTGCTACGTTCCCTGTTAAAAAATTCAACCTAATTTTGAGAGATCAATGGTTTTTCAATGGTTATTTCAACGGTTTATTAATAGTGTCACCGGGAAAAATACATTGTTGTCAGTTGTCACACATTAATAATATTCAGTTAAAATACCCAAACTAATGTCAACATATATTCGAATGATGTGTAAATGTTCAGCATTTTATAGAATAGTTAGTCGACTATACATACAATACTTACATGTATATTTTGGCTCCAACCATTGTTCACTGTCAACTGCACCAGTTGCAATGGTGAATACAAACAGAACTGTTAGCAGTTGATGATTCATGTTCACGATCAAGTTAGACTACTGGCAAATAAACAAGATTAAATTGTTTTTCTTTAAAATGGAAAGTTTGAAAAACATCTCCCATCATAGTAAATAAAATATCATGTTTCTCCTTAGAAAATGGGAAACGAAACTGTTTGTTATCCAAAACATATTTGTTTAACCAGGCTGAGGTAAATAATTGAACGTTTCACTTCACTCAGTTTTAGATCATGTATTTTGTGCATTATTAGCTGTTTCTGTTGCCTACATAGTTCATTTTGTTTGTGGTGGTGTTGTTGACATATTGTTATAGTCTCCATTTTTGTGAACGGTACTCAGCGGTCGGCGTCTTTAGCAAATGGCCGGTGGTGACATTTTGCCTTTTAATTGTTTATGCTATTAATTCACAACGTAATTACGCGATGGTTATAATTCCCGATTATTTCAAGCGGCATGTCTTCCTTTCTAGATTTTGAAAATTAACTCTCGTACGAATACCTGCTGTCAAATGACGTGAATCCACCCGTTTTGAATCACGATAGATGATACAGATCTTTTGTTTTTTTGTTCAGACTTGTTAGAAAAATTCAATATATGAGGGTGAAAACAGAGTCCGTGATCATATTAAGAGTACTTGGCGAAATTGGCTAAAAGTAGCACATGGTAAAAAATAAACGTTCGTTTTTTGGTTCCTTTTAGGGATTAGATTGAAATATATTATAACTCTAGCTGTGTAATATTTATCACTTTATGTTTTTTTAATCTTTTTGACAAACATTTTCCACATGTTTTATATTTATTTGCAAGCTCTGCGCCGCCAGTTTGCTGCAAAATGTTGTTTTACTCACTGCAAACATGTATTCCTGAAATATAACACTGATTGAAACCACCGTCTCCTAATCCTTGTTAAACTGAATAAATCATCCTAGCCTGCACACACCCCGGGGGTTCACTCCAATATACCTATTAATACCTATATGCCGCGCCAAAGACCCCCTTTTTGAGCATTTTTTCCATGTCAATTTCCTCTCAAAATTGCAAAGTTTCCATGTATACTTCCTCTCGGACTTATAAAATGGAGTAACTTTCCTGAAATATTGGTGTTTAACTATAAAATTTTAGGTGATTTATCCCAGACCTCGCCAACTGATTTTACCGATTTATTTCCATTATTTGTAGAAAAACTGATTTTTGACATAATAAAGGCTCTCTCTTTGACAAATTTTCCATGTTTTTTTCTCTCAGATAGGCCAGCTTCCATGGTTTATGCCCTAAGCCAAAATTGCCCCTGCTGCACATGCCTATCCAAAGTATTTAGAGTGAACCCCCCGGGGCACATACACGTTTAATAAGACGTCGTAAACATATTTACAAATCACAATGTCATGGCTACGAGACAGGGGGCTACGAGAACAAAATGACGCATTCTCAGCGTCGTCGGTACATGTTAACTTGAATTTATTCGCTAAAATTACAAAAGATAATTGTGCATAGAAAACAGAATCATTCTAAATAAACAGCACTGAGAAAATAAAAATGATAAATCATTTTGTGTGGATGCTCGTCTATACTTCGAGAGATCCTGTGTTTTAACTAGACCACGGGTCACATACAAAGCAACGCGTGCAAGGTCTATAATTGAAATACTCTTACTAAAAGCCTATAATATCTCACAACTGTTGTAAATTATTTTTGGTCAGATATAACAAATTACATGCTTACAATGTTTGGATTCATCAAGAACAGACAAATAAAACCATGGGCTTTCAACTAGAAGGGTATGCAACTCTATGTAATGACATGAGACCTTCAAAATGAGCAATGACATGCTTCCCTTTTATGGCAATATTTCAAAAAGTATTAGACAAATGTATATGTTTTAGTATTATTTTGAATAAAAATCAATTTTTAATATGATTTAAGCATAAAATATATTCAATATCATATAAAAGTAAACAGAAGAGACCAATAAGAATAAGAGTTATCAAGATGTTCTCTTTGAGTATTGCATTGTGGGTAATTATTCAAGAACACATTCCAATAAAAACATAATTTGTGGGAGAATGTTCACTTTCTGTATTGTCATAATTATGATGAATTCCAATTTTTATTAAATTATCAAGATGTATGTAGAAGATCATGTTTTTATTTTGGAGTTATTTCTTTTAATCATCAATAAAAAGTACAAAATAAGATTTTCTTGGAATGTGTACATTCTCCAATTTTGAAAACCCATGGCAATGTTTATGTATGAAATATGGGAAGTTGCCTACCCTTCTAGTTGAAAGCCCATGATAAAACTGAATGGATTCACCATTTAATGATGTTGGACGACTGCATTGAATGTTCTACCGTTCTGGGGGGGGGGCAGATTATTTCTCTGCTATCAGGGAGGGGAATCACGTTATTATATTTTTAACTCGGATGTTTTAGTGAAGTATGACTGAGACCTAGTGTAATAGAGCCATTTTATCTTTGCCACAATACAAAAATAATATTAAATTTTCTTGTCCGCTCTATATACCCCAATAAATGTCAACTACTTATGTATTGAAATCTTGGGGTTGGAAATAAGCCAGATTAGTGGTCATCTTTTTCATTTATTGGCCAAATTATCAAAAATTAGCCTGACACTTTCAATTTGGGCCAAACGTTTTTTGGACCCGTTTCTGGATCTGACTATGGTTAAAATGAAAAGTAAAACAACTACAGGTAGATTATGATGATATGTTCGCGCCGTTTTCAAAAACTTTAGCCCATGTTATTCGCTGATCAGTGAAAGGTTAACTTATAAGCTCTGGTAGCAAACCAAATATACTAATAGTAAAATGAAAAAAATAATCTTGAAGAATATCTCACTACTGAAAATAACTTTGAAAAAAGACTATTTACAAAATTGAGACTCGGTGACCATTCATCAGAGATTAAAGCAGGAAGATACAAAAATAAAAATGTAAATGAACGCAAATGTACAAAATGTTCAGATGATTGAGTTGAAGATGAACTTCACGTTGTTATGAGATGCAAAAACTACGAAAGTGAGGCACTGTATTCTTAGATAAAATTCAATTATTAAAGGCCCACTTTGCGTATTTTCAATGTTTTTTTGCAGTTTGAATACTATAGTTATTTTATTTATCAATCTCTCAATTCATCAATCTCTCGTTTTCTTTTGGCAAAATAAAAAATTACATTTAATTTTTTAGTATTTCCAATGTATTTATATGAACCATATCTTTCATTTGACACCAACAACAGCTCAAACGGACCACATCAAAGCTTACAATAATTAATCAAAAAATATTTTCGATCTGTCAAGCTTTATATATCAAATTTTTACCAATGTCATTGAAAGATGGCGAAGTTGCTTGTATTACATGATGCATTCATTTTATAGAAGTGTTGCCATCTTTTAAATCAAAAGTAATCTAAAACAATGGTTTGTTTAGCATGTGCATGCACTACTAATGATCTCTGAATTTCAAATGCTTTTTTATATGTGAGTTATTTTTTCTTGGTTCAATATATAAGCAAATCAAACTTTGTTTCATATTTGAGCTAGTGTGTGAGTAACATGTTTCAATGATTATTTCTTTCTTTTTTCTTCTAAATTAAGTATAGTGGGCCTTTAAATAAATTTTCTAACATGACTGAGGAAAACAAGAACCTGGCCCCAGAAATTTCGTTGGGCTTAAAGAATGGGACTTTTTAGGCAAAACTTCCATTTTTGGGCCTTATTTGGCCAAAGATCAAAAAATGGGCCTCAGATTTTCTTAGGGCCAATTTTCGATTTTAGGCCTCCCCTCCCCTTGTTAGCTCCTGGATCCGCCAGTGATAATAACCATATTTTACAACTTATAGACTTATAAACTTGTAAAGTGCACGCAAGTGTTCGACATGCGTTACACACTGGCGGATTAGGGGGGGGGCCCAGGGGCCCGGGCCCCCCCCCCCCCCTTGGGTGGGCCCAGAAAAAAAAAATTGGGCCCAAAAATTTTTTTGGGCCAAACAAGGCCTTCAGGCCCCAAAAAGTGGGCCTCTTTGGTCATTACTGGGCCTTTTAAGGCCTTATTTGTTAATTTCAGGCCAAATTTTGAAGAAAATGGGCCTCAAAATTTCAAAATTTGGGCCCACTTTTGGATTTTAGGGGCCCAAAAATTTTTGACGTTTTTTCTCTGACCTGAAATTTGGGCCCCCCCCCCCCCTTGTTGGTTCCTGGATCCGCCCCTGTTACATATCCTTGTAATGATCGATATGCATTACACACCCCTGTTGAAAAGCGTAATCCAGCAGTTTTGCAGCAAGTGACTTCCGGAGGAAAATGTAAAAATTAAAAATGTTTCCACTGTTTGAACTCGCAAAAATCCTACATTTTCGGTATGATAAAGAAGGAAGGGTAATCAAAATTCACAAATGGGCTTACAAAGAGATCGGTGAACTTAGTCAAGTGGCGTTACTATTGACGAATGGTGAGTTTACACTCTATTCTATGATTTAATTTTTAACTCAAAACAAAGTTCAAAAAAGTTTGTTCAATAGAGTAGATTTCATGGCCTGACTTCGTCGGTAGAACTTGAAAAATAAGATTTACCTGAAGATTAGGAGTCTTACTTACCCTCTAGAGGCTAGAACACACATTTTATTGAAACTCTATCACCTTTGTTGCGTCAACTATAGAGCATTTAGCACAATATCCAAGAGGTAAATTATGGATCGTGAAAATGAATGATTTCCTAGTAAGTTCCGGAAGTTTCAATACGATAAATTACCAAACATTTGTGAAAATTGAATCTTTGTTCGTTGATTTTATAATTTACACGTGCGTGAATTCATCTACACTTTGGTCTAAATTATAAAGCATCACAAACAGGTCCTAGAATATTAATAGACTAATACAGCTGACGACCCATTCATACTTTCCGCGCATAATTTCATTCAGACCAATAGTTCAACTGTAGATCATGCACTTTGTCTATCTTAGAACAGGCCATCCTCCCCTGCCCTGTCCTAAACTCGTCTGCAGAAGAGACCACAAAACATTATCTTCAAATAGTTTAATTATTTTTACATCAGACATGGTTGGATGATATGTCACAAAATTAAAGGTCAAGGTCAATACAGTATTTCGTGATAGAGGCAAAGCAGTCCCGGAAGTAAACACGAGGAAAATGGAAAAGTCCAAAAAGCACTAACACAAATTCAATCAAGTACTGTGCTTATGCTTCATCATGAACAAAACATAGCTGATATGGTTTCATTAAAATGTGTGTTCTAACCTCTAAAGAGTAAGTAAGACTCCTAATCTTCAGATAAATCTTATTTTCAAGTTCTACCGACGAAGTCAGGCCATGAAATCTACTCTAGCCTAATGCATAGCTCTTTTCAATATATATATCTGTGGACTAATTTCAAATAAATTGTTTATTCTTACTCTTAAAGTAAATACTGTAATTTGTATACACTTTATAAACCATAGACTCCAATCAGATTTTTTTCGAAAGAACATGGCTTTATTTTCTATTCTGGAGTAAAGTCGGAGACATTAATAAACCTCAACCATCAAAAGTTGTCACAATTAGCTAAATTCTAAGTTTCGTGTCTCAAACTCTTCCAAGCGGTAGAAAAATAATTCCCGTTCACTTTAAGTAGCACAATAAATGAATCCAAAGCTTCATACCTGCAAATGATGGATAAATTTCTACCAAATCGAACGAATGTTTTCATGAATCGCCATGTTTGTGATCCAAGGAGGATTGACTCCCAGAATGCAACATTAGTTAACCTTATATACTCGTGACAGGTTTCAAAATGGCGGAGCAGCATTTTGAGAGTGGCACATGTCTAGTTCAACAAGTCAAACCTAGTCTGGGCCTTATTTCCTATCTGACATATCTTGTGGCCCACCCTAGGTTTAACGTCCGTGCCTATTCAGCCCTTGATGCAAAAATTTTTGATGGTGTCCTATGGCAGCGCATGGAATTCTATGCACGTTTTATTAATAACTGATAGTGAGAATTTGCAACCAATGAAAGCATAGCACGGAAGTTAAACCCAATCACGGCAACAAGAACACTCAGATTAATTAAATGAAAGCCGTGGTATTGGGTTTAACTTGTTGAACTAGCACGTGTCATGTTGCATTCTGGGAGCCAATCCTCCTTGCGTTCTAATCGGACTTACTAGGACGGAGAAAATAGAGCACTGAATACACTGAGGTAAGAATTTATTACATGTGCGACAGCATGTATTTTTCATAGCTATAGTAATTCGTTATGCCATATGCTTTTAATAATGTCTCAACCCTTATAAAAAATTCAACCTTGAAAGTCCGAATTTAACCGTTGCACAATCATTGTACAATCATTGATCCGATCATTTATGCAACCATGCCAACCGTTACGATGCAACCATTACAATTTTGGTTGTAAACTCATTGAAATATTTCAATCATATGTAACCATTGTAAACGCTTGACAATTTTGGTTGCATTTCTTGCAACCGTTTCAATCGAATGCAACCCTTTAAAACTATGGCAATTTTATCTCAATACAACATAAAATAATTATCTTGCTCTTTAAAAAATATATTTCAAATGTGTGTATTTCATGCATACTGTACATGTCAGAATTTAAATGGTTTGATCAAAAAGATATTTAAAGTATTGAAATAGTTAAGTAAACTTGTCTTGTGAATGAAAATATATTGAACCAAATGACTATTTTACAAAATCACTTCACTACTTTTTAAGTTATTGCAAAATCATTTGAAAGATTTTTTGATTGGGTCAAGTCTTGGATTTTACACTTCACCTTGCAATCATCGCAATTATAAAGGAAGGAAGATGTGTCTGGAAGGAAGAAATCCTTCAATGGGAAAATAATCTGTTTTGATTTGATATTTTTGATTTGATAGAGAAAATGCAATCAGACATTACAGGATGTGTTTTAAATAATTAAGTCATTAAGCATACAGTAACTTAAAAAACTCTGATTACAGTTAGACTCAGTCTATCTAGTTTGATTAGAGTCTGCTTTGAAGGATGTGTGTAAAGAAACTTTATTAATCCATTAATCCATAAACAAAACAAAAATAATTCGGCAAGGCAAAACAAACCTTATTATATCAGTTTGATTAGAGTCTGCTATAAAGGAAGCATCCTATGTAATTTAAATTATTCCATACACAGAACTTGATAAATAATTTGCCAAAGAAAATCTCCCATATTTTCCTCCAGATTTTTCCAAGTTTAGAGTTTTGAAAAATAAGCCCTGTTTTTGGTTTTTATTTTTTAATCATCAACACCTATCATTTAGACTGAAAACACTTTTCAGTACAAATGCTCTGCCCTAGTGAATAAAGTAAAACCATGGACTTTCAATCTATTGAATGTCTATGGTAAAACAAACTAAATAAAAATGAAATAAAAAATTCTGAAAATATTATTTGCAGTTTCATATACTTGCTATTTGAGATTTCTCAGCACTTATTGAAGTAATTGAATAAAGGAATAAACCCTCAAAAATCTGAAAACACTTTTTAAATTTTAACTCCCCCCCCCTCTGCATGAAATAGATAATTAAAATAAATATATAGTATAACACAAGATGAAAATAGATATAACAGAAACTAGGACTATGAACCCTTTTTCTGGTCAAGCATTTTAATTAGCCGTTCAACCGTTTTAATTAGCTGTTCAACCGTTTTAATTAGCTGTTCAACCGTTTTAATTGGCTGTTCAAGCATTTTGATTTTCTTAAACCCATGAGAATATCAATATGTAGTAGGTATTGTTGTGTTGAGCATTGTTATAAAAAATATTTGCCAAGAAAGAACATGGTAATTAAATCTGTTGTGAAAATGTGTTTCACACATAATATACAGTCAATATCAAAATAGTCCTCTTGTTTGTATTTTTTAAATTTTAGTGAGTCATACTCTTGATATTTGGTGTTAACTACACATGGATACATTTGAAGACCCATTTTGCTGGGGGGGGGGGCTGACTACTGGCCTGTTCATTGTATATAAACTTTTGCGGGGGTCCTGAGCTAAACCCTCCGATATCAATATGTTCCCAAACCAATCTATTTGTATATCATGGGTATAGCAATAATCCATCTACCTTGACAAAATGTTACTGAAATTATTAATTCAGATGTTTTCCATTGAAACTGTGAAAATTAAGTCTTTGGTGCCTGAATGCATTATTACTATAAAAACATTTTCACTAAATAAAGCAATCAACTTGTGATTACATGTTTGTATTATTTTGTACATCATACCCTGCTTCTTTTGATCATACATGTATATCAGTCTAATCATGAACAAAAACAATGGTGTCTCATCTTGTGATTTTGTTAAGTTTAAAAGATATCTTAAGATTTTCCTTGGTCAATTACTTAACCTAATTGGAATTTTGCTTAATTCTTTTCATAATTAACATTAAAAATACATTATTTTGGCAATATCAGATAACGGGAAATAAACACTAGATATGGTACTTTTAATTGAGTAAATAATGTAAATGACAGAGAACATAAATTATCATATGCCATTGAGTGGAAAACTAGTCTGGTATCGCGTTCCTAAATCCGTACTGGAGAAAGAAACATATGAACATGAATTTAGTAATTTACTATAATAAACATGCATGTATGCTTGCAGAAAAAATATCCTAATATACTGTTGTTGAATAGAGGTAGATTCAAATCCTTACTTAAAGATAATTTTAATTCAAGTAAAATGATTACTTTTTTGGAACGATACCAATTCAGGATGGTTGCAGGGCTTGAACTATGTAATCATTGAACAAAACGTATTGCAACCATTTACATTTCAATGTGAAATGGTTGCAGTTTACAATCGTTGCAGATTACAATGATTGTATAGAAATGGTTGCGCAGTCATTGAAAAAGAGTTGACTTTGTTTGGTTGAACGCAATGGTTGTACAATGATTGCTTATCATCGTACAATGGTTTTTCAGTATTCAATGATTGATGGAAACGGTTTAAATTCGGACTTTCAAGGTTGAATTTTTTATAAGGGAACTGACAACTTAGAAGATACATACCTCAAGCAAACAAAAATTTTGTCTGAGAAGTTAAACATATCTTTTTGTAAACATATTCTAGGTGTTGGGAAAAGGGCAACTAACATGGCTATTTATGGAGAACTTGGGAGGTATCCACTATTTATAAACATATTTGATAGAATTATATTCAGGACTCTGATAACCTGTTACTCAGTCAAGCATTTCACAACACAAAAAATCAGAATTCTATGTCATGGTATATGTTGTTCTTAAAATTGATTAAAATATTAATGAATACTGAAGAAATACTAGATATAACACCAGAAATATTATCTGAATGCAAGCAAAGTCTAAGGAGCCGATTTCATGAATTCTGGAAGAATAAAATCTCTAATGATACACAAAAACGAAAGTGCAATAGCAAATTAAGAACTTATAACACATTCAAAAGTAACTTTGCCTATGAAAATTATTTAGATTATATAAAACGTTTTGACCTGCGTAGAGAGTTTACTAAACTTAGAATAAGTGCACATAATCTCCAAATTGAACTTAGTCGCTACACAAGACCAAAACCGACACCTCTGGAGGAGAGAAAATGCGAAACATGCAATATTATAGAAAATGAAGAACACTATCTCCTTCACTGTACGAAAAATAATAAACAAAGAAGTATAATGTTGTCTAAAATAAAAATGCCAGTACAAGAAATCCATTTATTTATTTGATGTCTGGTAAAGATCAAAACTGTATAAATGTAGCAAAATATATATTTACATCCAGTACCAATAGCTATATCTCTAGTGCACCAATGCATCATCATCATTAATAGTAATATTAATAGTTATGTAGTTTTTAACATGTAAATGTCTTTTTTCCTTCCTTTATAATTGTTATAATTTTTGTACATGTACTTGACCCCAAGGGGTGTGAATGTACTTAAAGAATAAATAAATAAATAAATAAATATGTTCCCCAGTGCTGATACAAAATAATAAAGGGTGAATTTTCAAACTCAACAGAGTGTTCCTACCAAAATGGATTTGTCTACATACCCCTGACACTCTTATCTGATAGATAGAATGCACAAATAAAACAAAAGTTTTCCTAATATAATTAAAAAGTTCTCTCAAATTTTGAAGTGATTTTACCTGTTAATTCTGTCATTGGTCCGCCATTTTTGCGGAAGTTACACTGAAACACAAACTCCATGAAATGAAATGAAATCACTAGAAAAAAACATGGCACACATCGTGCTCACGTGCATTAAAGTTTAATCCAATCAGATTATTTGATTAATTTGCGCACATGAATTATTTGCTTCTGAGCACTTACCATTAAAAGCTAACCACAATAAACAAACCTGGTGGAGATGACCCTTACTTCATTTTAGCGAAATTTCAGCTCAAACTCGTGACAAATGCATTATGCATACGCTGGTATGAAGCCTTGGAGACACTTATTTTGGTAAATACTTTTCTGCAGTTTGTGGGAGTTTGGGACATTTAATGTTAAAATTCAAGAAAATATGCCAACAATACGACTTATCAATTAATTTGTATCAGCACTGTATGTATCAACGAACAGTGTAGTTGTCTGTAGGCTCTGTAGTTACTTTTCTTATATATGAAACAGTGGATTGAAGGGCTCAAGTTTACTCAGACTTTAGTCATTTTCGCAAACTAGTATTCAATTACAGGTTGCCTTGTTGGTGGGCTGATGCGTGGTCTAGACTTCTTGATTGTTTGATGAAGATAGGTACATCACAGCATAATCTTGCAAAACAAAGATGACATTTCTGACAGTGATCAGTGCACTTAATTCCCAAGAAGATCCTAACTAGACAACAGCAACACCAAAGCGTAGCAAATCCCAACAGCAATGGCTGGCATTTTTACAAATGAAGTACATAGCAAAAATCTTAAAATAACAAACAAAAAATTGCCATCATTTTCAAAATTGTCATCAGAAAGTGTAATAAAGCGTTTAAGTAGGCACATATAAAATCTCAAAAAATCACACACATGTACGCCTACTACCCAAAATGTCATAAGACAGTGTGCCATGCATATGAGTATTCACATGTCAAATATGATCAAAATCGCTCTATCACTATATGAGTTATAGTAAAAAATCTACCCAAAGTGTCATGGCTCATGAATATTCACATATCAAATATAAACAAAATCACTTAACTACATTTGGATGTACGGACATCATTTGTTGCTGCTGCATCAGTGTCTTCATTCGTTGTCTTTTTTCTTCTTTATTGTCCTCTTTTTTCTTTCTCCATCTTGATTTTCTTGTATTTGATTGTTTTTGATTGTGATGTTAGTCATTTTCATTTTTTCGGGGCCCACAGACTTGAGACTGCGCGTAGAAGATGTTCAATATTTTTGTTTATATGTAGATATTTACAAATTGTGATAGAATGCATAATTCAAAATCAAAATATTGCATTTTAAAGTTCAAATGGCATGTCCCTAATTTTTTCAGCTTTTCGTGAAAGTGCAGAAGTACATTATACATGTATATTAAAATGTTCATACATGTACATTGTGTAGATAATGCTTATTGTCTACGAAGCTGTAAGTGAATCCAGGCCTGTCAACCTGGGAACACCTTAGATAAGTGACTTACAAATGTTCAACTCCTACCTTCAAGTGTATGCTGTTCATTGTCCCTTCAGATTTTATTGCATATATCCAAATTTTGGACACCCCAAGTTTTCACGCTCATTTCGCTCGCATCCACGATTTCTATCAATGGGGGAAGAAAAAAAAGTGTGTGACTTCAATTTCTTCAGCAAATGCGTGACAAATACGCAAATTGCGGAACAAATGGATGGCCTGTTAATCCTATAATTTGCAACCCTTCAGATTAAATGATGAATGGCATTATGTTGAGTCACAATATTCCTTTAAGTTTTTCATATTATAGCATAGCTAATATTATTATATACCATGAAGGATCATGTCCTCTGCGTCACGTCATTTATCCATCATAACCATAAAAGCCAATGTTGATGTCATGGTTGGGTGTAATGTTAGATAAAACGGCAACATTCTGTCTGTTTTGGTAGGTTTCTTGGTGTTTTTGTTTCATTATCTATTTGTTTGTGCTATTTTTATATTTTTAGGTTATGTAGTACTGAGGCATCATGTGAGTGGAAGGAACCCAATAATTCGTCAGTTTCTCTGGTACCCTGATAAAACAATAGAATGCATGACCTTTGACCCTACAGGAACATGGCTTCTCATTCTAGTGCGGGAGTGTAGGCTGTTCATTGTTCCGGCACTCTGCATGTTGGTGAGTCTCATGAATAGATACGAAAGCTACAGCATAACTAGCTATATAAGACAAGGGAGATTGCCTCACCAGGCATAGCTAGCTATATTAGCTATATGAGGCAAGGAAGATTGCCTCAACAGGCACAGCTAGCTATATGAGGCAAGGGAGATTGCCTTACCAGGCATAGCCAGCTATATTAGCTATATGAGGCAAGGAAGATTGCCTCAACAGGCACAGCTAGCTATATGAGGCAAGGGAGATTGCCTCACCAGGCATAGCCAGCTATATGAGGCAAGGGAGATTGCCTTACCAGGCATAGCTAGCTATATTAGCTATATGAGGCAAGGAAGATTGCCTCAACAGGCACAGCTAGCTATATGAGGCAAGGGAGATTGCCTCACCAGGCATAGCCAGCTATATGAGGCAAGGGAGATTGCCTTACCAGGCATAGCTAGCTATATGAGGCAAGGGAGATTGCCGTACCAGGCATAGCTAGTAGCTATATTAGCTATATGAGGCAAGGAAGATTGCCTCAACAGGCACAGCTAGCTATATGAGGCAAGGGAGATTGCCTCACCAGGCATAGCCAGCTATATGAGGCAAGGGAGGTTGCCTTACCAGGCATAGCTAGCTATATTAGCTATATGAGGCATAGTTTACTACCTCTGCCATTGTACTTGCAAGTTTTAAAAGTGTTTACTGTATATTTATTACTTATTACTCATATAATTACCACGTATTTTGAGATCATTTTTTATTTTATATTTTATTTTACTTTATTTTATTTTTTTACTTTATTTTTAAATTAATGACTTAAAGGACTCAAAAGCGAAAGTGAACCAGATTTGGAAGATTGATGACATCACAGAGGTGAAAATTCCTAGGAGACGTGGATCTCCAGTTTGCGTCACTTGGTGGTACACACTTGCAGATCAGCACATTGCTATTGTAGGAACTACGGTAATTATGCCATATATAAGTTTGTCCTGGGTGACTCAAAAGATTCTTTTTCTGGAAAAAATTGATCAAGTTTGGAAGTTATTGGTGATTCATTAATGACCGATTAGAATTAAAAAAATATTGTAAAATTGCAACAATTGTTTCCTACTCGTAAATTTAGAATATCCAGAGGACTTCCATTCAACTATCATGGGTTTCATTAACAGCAGACAAGCTCTGCTTGTTTTGCTTGTTGTTTTCTTGAATTTTGCAACTGTTTCCACATTGAATTATAATTTACAATAAACATAATTTCACCCATTCTTTTCATTCTTCTCACCTGTTGCTAGGAATGCTGATAAAACCCCTGATTATTTAAAAAATTGTTTTACATTCAGAGAGGATCTATGCTTCTGATTGACCTCATATCAGGACGACCATTGGTTCAGTCTGATGTCCCAGAGCCAATTCTGAACATAGAACTCATCCAGAACAACTCACAGACCAAAACATACGCACTGGTAAGTATTCATTTCATCCTGAAAATGATCAAAGATTAAATCTGTCGATTAGTGTAATCGTACATGTTTGTCTTTATCAGATGTAGAGTACCACAGCATGAAACTGTTGGGAGTCTCTATAATCCTGAAAAAGTACTCATAGATAGATTTATTAGTGTATATATATGCATATTTTACTATATCTCTATTTCAGATTAGTACCACGGCAGGAAACCAGTGGCGACTGCTATTGGAGAAAAAAGAGAACAGACGTACATTCACAGATTCTGAGTTAGACACATTGGGATATGAACAAATAGGCAGTGTCCAGTCTCCGATGTACTCCATCATAAAGATAAGTGAAGGTTTGTAAATGGACATGTATCAAGCTATTACAATACAATATGTGTATTTTAATGTTAATATACAATACATAATGTGTATTTTAATGTTAATATACAATACAATATGTGTATTTTAATGTTAATATACAATACATAATGTGTATTTTAATGTTAATATACAATATAATATGTGTATTTTATTGTTGATATACAATTTATAGAGGATATCCTATGATTTATGAGTGATATGATTTTTATCCACGAATGGATATGATATCTGCACGAGCGAGCGTAGCGAGAGAGTGCAGATATCAATATCCACGAGTGGATTAAAATCATATCACGAGTAAATCATAGGATGTTCTTTTTATTCCATAGTTAAAGTCATCATCAGAATCGTCGGAAATTAAGTTATTTAATTCGAATTTCCAAACGATCCGGCGATGTTGACACTTAGCCTCGTTTTGAGTCTGAAGTAGCAAAAATCCATTAACCATCGCATACGACGTCGTATGTCATGGCTAAAAAACCGTATGTTATGGTTAAGTGAAAATTTGTCAAAAATATCATATTTTACCACTGATTACAAAAATACCGTTTTTATTTTCACATGTTATCCTATGAATATCATGCTAACTATGGAATAAAATACATTATACAATACTATATGTGCATTTTAATGTTAATATACAATACTATATGTGTATTTTAATGTTAATACAATATGTGTATTGTATTGTTGATAAACAATTTAATACATTAATTTTAATGTTAATATACTGTACAATAATCATATTTTTATTTTTTACTCTCCATTTAGAAGATGACTTGGATTCTCTGGAAAATATTCCCAACAAATTCTATGAGTTTGAGGAGTGGGTGTATCTAACTCCACAGTATGCTAAAAGCAGATATTTTATGAGTGTATATGATACCAAACACTACAGATATCAGGTACACTATTGTATACATTTTAGTAGGATGGAAAATTGATTAAAATTCATGAACATGTATTCCCCTCCATAAGTTCATATTTTGAGCTTAAAATATGCTAGGGTATGTTTGCTGAACACCTTTGCATGGAAATTAAGTGATCTGACCCAATGTTAACCTGTCTATCAAATGTAAAGCGCTAATACTTTTGAATTGTATTCTCCTGTACTTTTGAATTGTGTTCTCCTATAGTTTTGAATTGTCTTCTCCTGCACTTTTGAATTGTATTCTCCTGTACTTTTGAATTGTTATGTCCCCACCACATAGTGTGGGGCCATATTGTGGGCCTAGGTGCGTCCGTCTGTCTGTCCGTACATCTGGCAGTTTTCTCAAAAACCGCTACAGATATCACCTTCAAATTTTCAGGTATAACTTATGAGTGCATACAGATGTGGATAAAAAAAATTTAACTCGATACCTACTTCCTGTCGGCCATTTTGAAGTCAAATGCTAAAATCCTTGTCTGCAAACTTTAAGAAAAACGGCTTAACAGTTGCTTTTAAAACTTTAAAATCTTGTTCAGCTCACTTCATTCTACATATGATTAGGTTTTGGACCTGTTAGCTCAGTCACATTAGCCATTTTGAATGTCTTAAGAAAAGTTAGCGCGCGATAATACTTTGTATCATATTGAATGGTGTTTTTGAGTTTTCATACATTAACTATTAGTAGCTTTATAAATAATGTTACGTTCGAAAATAACAGAAAGTAAAAACAGCAATTAAAATATGATAACAATATATTTATATTTTGAAAACTAAATAATATAACAATAATATAAAGGAGGTTTAATACTTAAGTGATGTCCAATCAATGATACGGCTTATTCTTGATGTCGATAAATGTCGTTGACGATCCTTGGGAATGTTCCAGATCACAAAATGTTTCAATAATCGTTAATAGTTCTCCAATGTTTGTAATAATCCAATAATGTTTGTTGTAATCCTATAATGTTCGTATCCAATAATGTTTGATGATAATCCACAAATGTTTGATGATAATCCACAAATGTTTATGATAATCCACGAATGTATATGATAATCCGTATATAGTGTGTGTTGTATTATATGTCAATATAAAGTCCTCAGGTTGTATGTTTGTAGTGTTATAAATGTTCCCACAGTATGTGTTTGTAATTTTTTGCTAAGAAGATGTCACCCTCACAAAAAGATCAATGGATTTCAATGTAATATCACAACCCCATTTCATTGAATAACAAGGCAATGAACTACCATAGTTCGATGCTTGATCAAGCATTGTTGAAATAGGATTTTATAAAGAGACTACTATTGATCAAGGGTAGAAAACCCTAGTTTCCATTGACAGACTACACCTTGAAATTGAACCTTGATCTACACCTTGAACTACCCCTTGATCAACACCTTGATCACATACAACTCCTTGAAATAGTTCTACCAATGATAAAATCAACTCCTTGACACATTTCATGGAATTCTGACAACAGTAGAAAGATATGTCAATGCCATGATTTTCGTTAAGTTTACAAGTACATTTACAAGCTCTTTATAGGAATATAGCTTTGAAGCCAAAATCTACACATTATCATTTTGTATCCCAGGATCCCATCCGGGAATACTCGTTAACACCAGTTTGTATACAAATACAAGTACAAGTTTGTAGAGAAGGCAATTTGATCTGTTTACACATATACTTATTAGGAGAAATTTCAAAGAAAGAAATACAGTTATAGAGTTTAGTTTAGTTTTATTGTTATTTTCGGTGGTAGGTTTACATCAGTTAATTTAGTACAATACAAAAGAGAAGTAATGAAATAACAACTCGGCCCACATGGGCTTATCAGCCACTTAAAGTAAATATACTTGTAAATAAATATTACATCTTTTTGACACAAGTATAATCCATTTAATATTTTAAATTGCATTTCTTCTTTTAAAATAGCACAATTTAACAAAATGAGCAGCTTGCCGAGGCATTTTTTCAAATAAATACTGTAACTTAATTCTACAGCTGATTCTCTTTCATCAAAATTAGATGATTTTGTTAATATTTTTCCCTTATTTTTTGAGAAAATGTGCAATGAAAAATAAAATGATCTTCATCCTCAATGTTGCCAGATTTACATAAAGTACATGTACATTTTCTATTTTCCAATTTCTAGAATAGTAGAAATAATAGAAATGAGTAATGGGATATGAATATTTCTCGGTAACGTATTTCTGAAATATTATTGTGTGTGTCTAATTTTTATTATATTAGGTTTGAATAACTTAATTAATGGAATACTTTATAGTATATAGTACAATGGTAGTCAAGTCAATGAGGTAAAATAGTGGAGGAAGAGGATTGTGACATTTTGAACATTTCTAGGACTTTCTTCATATTAAAAGTATGTTAGTGAACAGTTTTTGATCGAGTGAGTTTTTGTAATGTAGTGAGTAGGGAGGGGGAATGCAATATTTTGAATATTCATAATGATCATTATGTCTCAGAATATTGATTTCTAATATGTGTCTAATTCTGATTATGTTAGATGTGAAAAACTTAATGACATCAGAATATATAAATTGTCCAACTTTCATTTTTAAATGATGGCTAAAGTGGGGTAGGGGGCTATGTCTTTATGCATTTCAATGTCAATGCCTAGTACATTGGTAGACAGTCAATGCTGTAGTATAGAGGAGAGGGAGGGGGATGCAATATAAAGGAATATTTACAATGATCATTATGTCTCAGAATATTTATTTCTAATATAATGTGTCTAATTCTGATTATGTTAGATGTCAAAAACATAATGACATCAGAATATATAAATTGTCCAACTTTCATTTTTAAATGATGGCTAAAGTGGGGGGGGGGCTATGTCTTTATGCATTTCAATGTCAACGCCTAGTACATTGGTAGACAGTCAATGCTGTAGTATAGAGGAGAGGGAGGGAGATGCAATATAAATGATTATTTACAATGATCATTATGTGTCAGAATATTTATTTCTAATATTATGTGTCTAATTCTGATTATGTTAGATGTGAAAAACTTAATGACATCAGAATACATAAATTATTAATTGTCTGTCCAAATTTCATTTTCAAATGATAGCTAATGTGGGGTAGGGGGCTATGTCTTTATGCATTTCAATGTCTACGCCTAGTACATTGGTAGACAGTCAATGCTGTAGTATATAGGAGAGGGAGGGGGATGCAATATAAATGAATATTTAGAATGATCATTATGTGTCAGAATATTTATTTCTACTATAATGTGTCTTTATGTGTAATTCTGTAATGTAATGATGGCTATCTGTTACATATTCATGTAATTCTGGTTATGTAAGATGTGAAAAACTTAATGACCTCAGAATATATAAATTCTTAATTATCTTTCCAACTTTTATTTTTAAATGATGGTAAATGTCGGGGGCATGTCTTTGTGAATTTCAATGTCAACACCTTGAACAATGGTAGTTAGTGAATACGTTATTATATTGAGTAGGGAGGGGGTATGTAATATTTTGAAGAACACTTTCTCATAAGATGTAAAAAATATGTAAATCTTAGGGAATGTTTGTTTTCGAAATTAAAAGAAATTATTCCAAGTTTTGATTGTGATGACCCAGATATTTTTAAAAGGTTAATGGCTACTGAACACTTGACTGTTCAATTATACATTGGAAAATTTATATATCATGGATTCAAAATTTAAGTGTATATGTTTAATAGTGTGCATTACACTGTATAATAATTATTATTTGTAGTTAGAATAGTTGTAGTAGTAGTTTGTAGTGTTTCAGTGACTAATGTATCAAGTTACTGATATAAATTGTCAATAAAAGATATAATATAAGAATCATTATGTGTCAGAATATTGATTTCTAAAATAATTTGTCATACTCTGATTAAATTAGATCTGAAAAACATCAGAATATATAAATTCTTAATTATCTTTCCAACTTTCATTTTTAAATGATGGTAAATGTCGGGGGCATGTCTTTGTGAATTTCAATGTCAACACCTTGAACAATGGTTAGTTAGTGAATACTGTATTATATTGAGTAGGGAGGGGGAATGTAATATTTTGAATATTTATAAGGATCAATATGTCTCAGAATATTGATTTCTAATATGATGGGTCTAATTCTGATCATGTTAGATGTGAAAAACTTAATGACATCAGAATATATAAATTGTCCAATTTTCATTTTTAAATGATGGCTAAAGTGGGGGGGGGGCTATGTGTTTATGCATTTCAATGTCTATGCCTAGCACATTGGTAGACAGTCAATGCTGTAGTATAGAGGAGAGGGAGGGGGATGCAATATAAATGAGTATTACATACCTAGCGAAGCATTTGTATGGAAGTCAATGGAGCTGAAGCACGGCTATATATTCCTGTATAGCCGCCAAATTTTTTACCATGACAATCGTATGACGTCACGTTTTATTTCTTACATGTTCCAATCGCACACAGACGTGTGACGTCATTGATATAACATGAAAACAAAGCATTTTTGTCTTTTTTCACGCATTTCTACATATTATATTCATGAAATATGTAAAATGTAAAATGTACTTTAGGTATGTAATACAACAATTATGTCCGTATCATTGAATATATGCCTTCGGTCTGTCGTAAATATAACCCTCGCAAGCTCGGGCTATATTGACGTCAGACCTCAGGCATATATTCAATGATAGGGACATAATGGCTAAATATTTACAATGAGCATTATGTGTCAGAATATTTATTTCTAATATAATGTGTCTAATTCTGATTATGTTTGATGTGGAAAACGTAATGACATCAGAATAAATAAATTGTTAATTGTCAGTTCAACTTCAACTTTCAAATGATAGCTAATGTGGGGGAATATGTATTTATGGATTTCAATGTCTACACCTAAAACATTGGTAGACAGTCAACACTGTGATATAGTGGAGAAGGAGGGGGAATGTAATGTTTTTAATGTTTCTAATGATGGATAT